AATTCTTACCACCGGTGTTGTTGAGGCCACATATGATGTTGGATCTTATCCACGGCTCCTGGACCAGAGCAATAGCCCTGTCGTTGTTGTCCTCCAGCCACTTCCTGAGTTGAGCCGTTGCGGTGCGACTGTGCTGGAGGTTAGTCTGGACATTGACTTTAGTCGGTGGAGGCGCCATCGGACGCAAGCAAAACATCGACATCCACCTCCTGCCTGATGTCGATTCCACCCAGTTTGTCTGCCCTTTCGTCGATGACATCCGCTGCTCCTTGCACACCCAAAGTGGGATCCGCCGGAGACGGAGTTACTGTCACCTGATTCTGGTCGGGCGTGGATGCTGCTATGCCCCTTGATGTGCTCGGCGACGGAGCAGATGTTGGTGGCTCTAAAGGCGGCAGGCTCTCCAGGTATTGACCGCCCTGGTTCCTGAACCTAACGTACACCGAACCCATCAGGTAGCACAGTCTCCTTTCTCTCTCCAGAAGCTTCCCTGCAACATCCCTGGTGGTGCTGAACACCAGGAACGTGTTGTCATTGCCCCTGCGATGGCCTTATGCAGTAACCATCGGTCGACGTCTGCTTGTTTGTTCTGATAGCGCAGCGGCTTGGCTATCATGTGTGGCTCCCTCGTATCCGGGACAAGTAGTCCACACACCACCTTCTTCGGCCTATCAATTTGGCGCTGCACCATCAGTTCATCGTCATACCCCGGGACCTTTAGGCCAGCTACGGTCTTTTTTACCCACTCCAGCGTGCGGGGAGTCTCACACCAGAGGCTGAGAGCTCCGTCTCCAATGATGGGCTGGCCCTTAAGGTTCGGGCCTCTGAGGAATCGTGAGGATGGGTTTAAATTGTCTAGTGTGTGGAATCCAGTGGTACGTATGTGTAAAAACCGCAAAAATCAAAAAAGTGTCGTTCCGCGATCTGATGCTGTGAGTATTGTGTGCCGGGAACAAATGCGAGTGAATAGTGAGAATGTGACCTTTGGTCCCTACCAAAGTTGGTATGGAACGCAGTAAAAGACAACGTCAGAGGGTAGACCGATATGTCTGCCAATAACATCTACCGGCAATTACTTCAGTTACTTCGTGATCATGGCGATTGCAACAGTGCCCAAATATCGGAGACTCATAAAAAACAAGGTACATGGTAATAATACCTCTCAAACTGTACGTTCTTGTTCTTATAAATGGTTATCGGGATAATGTCAAAAATAACATTTGATTATTTTTATTAATTTTCCATCTACAGTAGCGAATAAAATATTAACAAATCTTCATAAAACTTATAGGTATTCCTGAAATATTATGCAAACGCATCAATTTCGGAAATTATTGTTATCGTTACAGTAGATTGTAGGATGGCCAAGGGGGAAGATCTTCCTCTGAGATGGGTGATGGTAGCTCGGGGGACAATCTCTGCCCATGCCACTTGATTCAACTTTGTCCTCGGTACGCCGCCTCACGAAATGACTTTCTCGTAGTCACAAACAATTGTCCTGAACCCTACAATCTCCGCATATTACTTAAGAAAAACGCTTACGTAGAAGCGTATTTCAAGCACGATTCTACTATAATACACACACTCAAAAAATTTAATAATAGTCTTATATCAAACCTCAACAAAATTAAAATTATACCTAAAATACGCTTAAATGGCATTGCTGAAGCATGGTGTAAACTTAAAGCACAGGTTTTCCAATGAAGAGAGGATAAAATAGCTCTTTATTAAAAAAAACGATGCCAAACGTCAATAAATAAATAAAATCAATGCATCTAACCCGTTGAAACTTGTTTTATTTATCGCTCCAGCCGTTTAGACGTGAAGAAGTGAAGAAGTAACAAACATACATATTCACAAACTTTCGCCTGTATAATATTAGTGTGATAATTATTTATAATTAAACTTTCACTACCTATAGAGCGAGGAAGTACTTCAAGCTAAACACCGGATGTTGCTTTACAAAGCATAGGCCGGTCGCAAATGGAGTTCTATTCTAACTTCTGAGTTGGAGCGCTGGAATACTGCTGGTGTTCCACAAGGTGCTATTCTTAGCCCTCTTCTATTAATTTTCTCTTTCCTTCTCGCTTGGCTGCTTTTATCATTTCTATGCTGACGATTTGCATGTACAGACTACTGCTGAGGAAATTGCTGCTGGTATTTCTCAGCTGGTTATGGATCTGTGCACTATTAGCTCTTGGTCTGCTAACTTTGGAATTGCCGTTAACCCCGCTTAATGTCAGGCAGATTGATTTTCGTCTACTCTCTACTCTACTCCCACCTGTTGTTTTTGAAGGTTCAATAATTCCATATAGCATAAGCGCCAAGAATCTCGGCCTTCATATTGATACCACGCTAAGTTGGACATGGCAGATTGCGGAAGGGAGCCAAGCAGTCACATATTTGCTGCGGTCCCTTAATCGCTTCAGGAAATTTCTCCCCATTAAAACTAATATCACTCTCTTTACGTCTCTTATTCTATCACTCATTGATAATGCCGACGTCAGTTCCCTGATTTAAATGCAGATCTTCTAAATAAATTAGGCCGCCTTATTAATAACGCTATTCGTTTTATCTTTTGTCTCCGTAAATTTGACCACGTTTTCTCCTATCTATATCAACTAAAATGGCTTCCTATTCGTCAGCGCAGGCAGTTTAGATCGCAGACAAGAGCGCAGGCAGTATCTTACTGTGTACTCTTTTTCTATCCTGAATAATCCGAATTCTCCAGAGTATTTGAAAGGCAAGTTTCATTATCTTTGTGATAGTCACGACCGTCCTCACAGCCCATGTGATTCATTAGATCTCTATATTCCCCTTTCTCATTCAGGCTATATCTCCAACTCCTTTACTCTTCAGGCTATACAACTGTGACCTCCCCGACTCTATCAGAATAAAACTCTCCGAATAAACTCATATTTAAACGGAATTTTTACACTCATCTAATGCAAAATTTAAGATAAGCCACTTTAATAATCATCATCAGAATAACCGTGTAAATGTATTTAGATATTATTATGTTATGTATGTACTTATGTATATATTTACGTTTGTATTTAAGTATCATATCTTATATTATTGTTTTACTTATTATGTTTTAGCTTTATGCCGCCTTTTATAAACTACGTGTTTATTGTTTTATACCTAAAGGTTGACTGGTAGAGAATGATTTTAGCAGTGAGTCCGTCTTTTGGTACCACTTTAATGTGATAGTAATATAAGTTATTTACGGGATTTTTACCATGTACCTTGTTTTTAGCGAGTTTCCGATATTTATATGAGATGGAAGAAGACAGAAGTGTGGCCTTTCTGGACGTGAAGATTCGGGTGAGGAATGACGGTTCGCTTGGTCATTCCATTTACCGCAAATCTACACACACTGACCGCTATCTCAACGCCTCCTCGCATCACCACCCTAAACATCTTAACTCTGTAGTGACTTCACTGACGAACCGTGCATATGACCTGTGTGATGAGGAACATCTTCTAGAAGAGTTGGAGCATGTACGACGAGTCTTACAAAGTAATGGATACCAGGGACATTTTCCATCTAGACACAAACTAAGACACCAGAGACACAGAGTAGATAGACGACCTGTTTATTTGCCATACGTCAAAGGAGTGACTGACAAGATCTCAAACATACTGAATAAGTACTCACAGGTACTCACTAAACACTGTCTTCACTCCTGTGCGAAAGGTTTCATAATACCTACGGTCTTCTAAAGACAACTTCCCCTTGGAGAAACCTGGTGTCTATAAGATCGATTGCAGCTGTGGCAGTTCGTACATTGGCCAAACAAAACGAACAGTATCATGCCGAATGAGGGAACACATAAAAGCAATCAAGAACAGCGATACGCAGAAATCAGCCATCGCGGAACATTTGATTGATTCTGGTCCTAACCACTGGATTGAGTTTCATAAACCACAGATTATCTCGACAGAACGCCACTACATACCAAGATTGGTCAGGGAAGCGATTGAAATAACAAAACATAAAAATTTCAATCGTGAGGACGGGTTTAAATTGTCGAGTGTCTGGAATCCTGTGGGTCGTATGTGTAAAACCGGATATAATCAAAAAAGTGTCGTGTCGCAATCCGATACTGTAAGTGTTGTGTGTCGAGAAGAGTTTCGAGTGAATAGTGAGAATGTGAACAGTGGTACGGGTATCGAACGCAATAAAAGACTTCGTCGGAGGGTAGACCGATATGTCTGCCAATAACAGCCTACCCGTAATTACTTCAGTTACTCCGTGATCATGGAGCTTGCAACAGTGCCGAAATATCGGAAACTCGCTAAAAACAAGGTACATGGTAACAATCCCGTAAATAACTTATATTACTATAATGTTAGTGACCATGAAAGTTTAAAACAATACACTTTAATGTGGTCAAATAGTTTGTTAAATAAATGAATATCAGCTCCCTCCTCTTGACCGGATACAAAGGTTTGACTCATCGACGATCCTGAACTCACTGACAAATTGCAACCCCTAAGAGCGCACAGAGACCTTGCGTCCTTGTGCGTGTTGTCCCGTCTATACAACGAACAGTGCTCCTAGGAATTATTGAATCTGGTACCAGCGGCCAAGTTCCTTCACCGCACCACACGCCGCAGAGAGAAGTTTCACCCCCCACCATCTGGACTATATGTATGAGGGTCTTCAACAGGCGGGTATAACTTTTTCTTCAGAGTCGGCAACCCCTTCTTGCTGCAATTGCCATGAACGGCAATGGCCACTTATCATCAGGTGGACTTATAGCTCGTTGGCTAGTATACTCATAAAAAATACTCTAAAAGTGGAATTTCTCTTCCCTCCCCCCTGCTCCATTTTTACATCTGTCCTCTTAAAGAATTACCTAATGTTATGTATGAATTATCAGTAACCTTATGAGCGCTACTGGAAATTTCTACGTAGGTAGCAGTTTGGGTTTTCTGTTTACATTTTGTATTGATTCCCAGTAATCCGAAGAGTTCTTAGTTCGTTATAAATACTGATGTCGGTTGATCAATGTTATTATTTGTTGCAGTCGGTATCGCCGCCGGGTCGAGTAGTGCGCGGCCGTAGGGTCAGATAATATATAACTAAATCTTCATTTCTCGGTGGTCTATAACAACGGACGAAATGTGTAGATTTGTTTTATTCGTGATCTCTTTAGTGTTTGGTGAGTTTTTGTTTTCATTATTATCACTTGACGTTATATAAAATGTATTTCGCAAATAGTTTTATGGAATTTCATTTTACTTGATATTTATTTTAATTAGAAAGTAGTATTTGAAATGTCAAACTAATCCGTTTGAAATTACTAATTGGAATATGTTAAGGTATACTATTTTGATCTGATATGCTGTTGATTGTACGCAAAATAGCGTGCCACTAACTAACATCACTCTTATTTTTTACTATCAAAGATGTTGTCAATGTGAAATGATATTAAATAACGTGGTAACTTCTGTAGCTACAGTTACAGTTATCGATGGTAGGTATCAAGACTTTATGACAAATAAATAATTTAATCGTTAATGTAAGTGTTTACATTAATGGTACAGATAACAAAGTCAAGGAAAACAAGATAATCACTTGTAAGTTTTTTGTGAACTAAGTAAAATACGGATTACCCACAATTTTAATATAATTAAACCAAAATTTATAAATTCTAAAAATTGATTTCTTAATACCGAAGTTCGCTTTGACGTTTACTGACTAGGGGCCTACCGCCTATCGGGATTGCTTTGGCTATCGCTATAGCTTATGATATCATTTTGTTACTTCTGACCGTCGAAGGTATTCAAATACCTCGCGCTCATTTTCTTTAATTTTGTTATTACCAATGCAAAAAGAGAGCGAGGCATTTTGAAACCTTCGGCAGTCAGAAATTATAAAATGAAATCATTAGCTATAGCTATAGCAATAGGCAAAGCAAACCGGTTAGTGGGTAGGGGGGGCTCTCAGTTCTCCATTGGTCTTTTTCTTGTAATCGGTAGGTTCGGTAGGTATATTTCAAAGAACAATTTAAAAAATTGCGTTTTTTTATAGCCAAGCAGGCAAATGACTCTACCCCACCTGATGTTAAGTGGTGATAAAGTCTAAACGCGAATATAGCTAATGCAGCAGTAATAAACTGCCACAACAACCATCTTCACCTTGCCAGCCAGCAGAAATTCTTCTGCACGCCTCTTATAAAGGACCCCAGATTGTAGGAAGGTGGGAACACGTGCACGTGCAGAAAAATGAGCCAGACCCTGTCAAAAGCTTTAGCGATGTATAGAATTTGCGTCCTTACGGATGTATGTAGGTCAGCAGTATGATGCAGCAGTTTTACCTGCTACACTAGTCATCCTCACCTTGGCAAAGGGAGAATGAAGGGAGAATAACTCCTCAGAACACTCGCGAAGGTGTAGTATAGACGATATAATGCGCTTAATGACGCATGACGATAAAATTAAAAACTCTAATTCACGGCGTAATTAAACAGGATTTTTTTTATTGCCTTCGAAGGCAGACGAGCGGACGGGTGACCTGATGTTAAGTGGTCCCCGTGGCCCATATACATCAGCAATGCCAGTAGGAGACAGCCTTGCCGCTGCCTTTCGTGGAACACTCTATATAAGCTCATTAAGATCGAGGTGTTTAGTCACCTCCTTATTGCCAATGATGCGGATCGTGCGCCTCTGTAACTTATCCAAAGCATCTAATTAAGTACTTGGCGGAGCCATCCCAGAGGTGCGAGCAATATTCCAAGAAGTTATACTTGCGTCTTGTACAACAAACGTGAAAAAACGCCGCCTTTTGTTTAAGACTCCGAGCACAGATTAGAAAGATTACGTCTAAAGACTCCGAGTATCATGAAACTGTTTTGATCACGGCTTCGATTTAGTCCTTGGGATTCAGGTCTGAGCAAACCTCCATACCGAGCATGGCGATGTTGCTCTGTAGCGCCAGTGTTGTGCCCTGAAAAGAGGGAAGGGGAAGGAATACCTGGGTATTTATAGCTCTACCCCATTAAGCAAGTGAAAGAGGTATCGCTGTATTGTGCTCTACCCTAATTACAAAACGGTACCTATACCTGTAGGTAGGTATAGGTAATTTAATGGAAATTCAGCAAATACTCAATGATTGGACAGTAAACAACGATAATAATAACTTACCTATCAACCTACAAATTGAACTATGCATAAATATTTCAACTTTATATATAATGATAATGTAGAAAAATTTATCAAGTGAATGCTGTCTCCCTTAGGTTTGCTTAGCCTACATTGTGTTGTTTTGGATATCTGGTAAATATTATACTAGTGCACACAGATAAAATCTATAAAGGGTCAGGAATGGAAACGTTCTATATTCGGAAACTATTGTAGGCTACTCTGGCAGCTATCACTTTTGATGACTTTGCGAGTGTTTATATATTTTTTACTTTTAAGCTGCTTTTACAAACAAAAGCAGCATTGCATATTTGATGCTCTAACAATGTTGCCAGCGATAGTATGGTGTTAAGGTATGAAGGTACATACTACATATATCCTAACCGTTAGATACGATCATTAAATCGCTGTATCATCATTAGTACGTTGCAATAGTCATGTTGGTTGGTTTTTAATCAAAGTAAATTCAAACGTAAGCATCCATTTGACAAACTGCTCTCAATTATAAGTATGATTATTGTAATAGTTATTTTGCACAAACCCTGCATCTACAGTTGTTAGCGCCCATCAATGCACACTTGGTCCGCGGGGTGGGTCATGAGCTTATACTACCTATTCCATTGATATGGAAGGTCTGTGTCCAAGCATTTAGTTAGTTCAATAAATGATCAAATGCTAGAATATTCTTCTTATATTTGTTATAGCGTCGACAGTGGCGCCACTTCCGGGCACCAACAAGGTATACCGTTCCGACTACGTTTACAATAGGAAAGCCGATGCTTTCTACAAGTTTCACACTGAAACACTGAGTAGTACAGAGGCGAGCTCCGTTTGCCAGGTGGAAGGATCAGTGCTAATGACACCGAGTTCACATTACGACATCGAACAACTTCACGGCATGGTCAAGCAGTTCCCTGATATTGGCGACAAAGTCTGGGTCTCGTCAGACGGCGAAGAACACGAGTCTGATGAAGAACCTGCTATTATTGATTGTAAGTTTAATTTGTGACCCAAATACTATATAGGTAAGTAATAATAAACGGTCAAGCCACAATTTTGCCCTAGGTTTAGAGTTTCTGAAGTTAGAGCTTGGCTCTAGATGAGATCTGACAACTTTTTATAGTGCGAGTCATGTGGTCTCGTTTTGACAACATTATCATGAAAGTGTTTTCGTGGGATTTCATTTATTTTAGTATGTTGCTTGTGACATTTTGTTTATTAAATTTTCCTAAATATGTGAATCCCTATATGAGATATAGATATTTTTTATCAACCATTTAACACAAGTGTTACAAAAAGAATAAAAAAGCACATTTACATTAATATAAAAAAACTAAACTAGAAAAAGAACTTCAATCGACAATAAATTTTCAGAACTCTATAGTCAAAATTGCGTTACGGGTTTTTTTTTATCGTTTTTGTACCAATACTAGCTTACACACCAAATTTTAGCTTTCTAGTTATTTATATTTTCATTAGTTGTTTATATTTACTACTAGCGGGCGCCCGCGACTTCATCCGCCTTAAGTTTGAGTTTTTTTTTCTTTTCTAAAATTAAAGAAGTTTTTTTCCAAATTAAAAGTAGCCTAAGTTACTCCTTATTAAATCAGCTACCTGCCAATAAAAGTCCCGTCAAAATCGGTCCAGCTATTTCAGAGATTAGCCGGAACACACAGACAGACAGACAGACAAAAACTGTGAAAAATGTTATTTTGGTGTATGTACCGTATATTCCTTTGATGTAGTAAAAAGCGGTTATTTCGATATTGCAAACACACACTCCAATTTTATTTATATGTATGCATGTTTTATATGTATGTAATTTAGTGATGTAACGAATATTCGCATCTGCATTCGCATTCGCAAATTTTCGCATATTTTTGAATATTCACATTCACATTCGCATTCGCAAAATCTCTGCGAATGTTTTGCGAATATGAATATTAGAAAAAAACGAGCGAGCCTTAAAGTAGTCGCATATGATGTGTAGACATTCGAAACCTCACCGTATATTAGTAAAAAAAAAATAAACCTACTACAAAAGGAATAAGCCATTTGAATATTATGTTCTAAAATCAAATAGCTCGCGCTTTCGCGACTTCCTGTTACACACTTCCGTCCCATTTCACGAAATCACTCCCACAAATTGCAGGAAAGCGAGAGGAAAGATGTTACACATCAAAAAACAATTTGAATAAGTTGTTTTTTCTTTCCTTGAATATTCATTGTTACACAGCTTGCATTTAGCTCGTGAAGCATCGCAAAGTGTGGAATAAGTCCATATTTCATTAGAATTCGATTTACTCATGTTAATAAATCACTATTCAAACTCTTTACCACAAAATTCACTTGTTTTGTTTACGAATAGACCGGCGCGAGCGGAATGACACTTCAGTCGGATGAGTTCATATCAAGTCGGCAATTCGAACGAGACTGCCACGATGCCATAGACAATTGGCGCCAATTTTGAACAAAATCCCTATATTCGCATTCGCATTTGCGAATGGCACTACCAGATATTCGCATCCGAATTCGCGAATGTTCAAAAATTGTCATTCGTTACATCACTAGTATGTATGTATAACTGTATAGATATAGATGTTTATATGTATAGATTACCCCAAGTATTTTGATTATCATCAGGGAGACAGTGACGAAATCAGGGTTTTTTACACATTAATAAAATCTAAAGTATAAGAGCTATGCAATTATTACTTTATATGTTTAATAAATAAGTGCACTATTGACAACATATCCCAAGATTTTATTGATTTGGTATAATCCGAACCCAAGTTATCAGGGTTCAAAATCACGACGTAGCGCTTCGAGAAATGGTCATCAGGCTCATCTTGTCATCTTTGTGGGGGCAATACTGTGCTCCCTGATAAGCACACAACAACACACAATACGTTATGAAACAGCTGACGGTCGTGCCCGAAAATCTTGACGGAAATACCCTGTGCTGCGTTAAGCGGGAGTACTTTTATGTTATTTTATAGAGCAGCGCTGCATGAGGCGGGTCTCCCGCGCAGCGCTGTTCTAGGAAATGACATAAAAAAAGCACGCGAAGCGAACGTCCGCTCCGTGCTCTCGCCTAACGCAGCTCAGGCAGTAACACTTTCTTTTGCATATCCCACATCTGCCAAGTTTTGTGTGTTAAGGAACTTCGTTCCAATATTCAAAATGTCTGTGTTTATATTGTTTCAGTGGAGCCTCGACCTGATCGGTTCTCGTCACAGTTCGACCGTACATGCGAAGTAGTGACGCGCCATGGCAAAATCGAGGCCACTTACTGCTCGCGCAGGCTTCCCTTTATCTGCAAGGTCCCGGCCAGAGATGCACCCTACAACAGCGAGTGCGGAGTTTACAGCACAGGTTAACATTTCTAAGAATAGATACAATATCATTGATAAGACCAATAAGGGTTAAGACCTAATTAAGGGCTAAAGCCCACTTACACGACTCTGCTCCAACACCGCTCCCACCCAATACCACCTTAAACTGTCGCGACAGCTAGCAGTAGCAGGTACCCAGCTGTCTACGCACCGACAGCTAGTTGTAAGCAGATTACTTAATAATAATGCGAGAATAGCCTACTAGCAGCCAGCACGCGGACATCGCGCAGACCACTTGCTTGCAATGCGTAGTAAGCTAGGCGTCAACTACCTACCAAGCAGTCTGATGGTGATAAGGATGCTGACAGCGAGTTGTCTTCTAATTTATGTTGCTAAAGTAAAAATATCACTAAAGAGCAGTACTATATTAAAATAATATTCTTTTTGTCGGGTGGTAACGGAGTCGTGTAAGCGGGCTACTAAGACCAGGGCCCGATCCAAGGGGGGGCGAGCCGAGTATTTGCCCAGAGCGGCAAAAATTAGGGGTGGCAAAATTACTAAGGATCAGCCGTAAAGTACGTTACCAAAGGGCGGCAAAAAATTTTGCCCGGTGCGGCAAAATTTCTAGATCGGGCGCTGGCTAAAACCTTAAGTTTGCAAACGTAGTTTGTAAGAGATTTCTATTTACCTCATATCATGTATAGAGACTGCTAAATCTCAAACGTTAGAGTTCTCATACGTTTGGCAACACTGCGACAACACAGGCCGTCGGACAGCTTGTTGAAGCAGATTTGTCATAAAAATAATATTTCCAATTGTTCTTAATATGTTTGCTGGTATTGGTTCTAGGCTATATTAAAGGGCAGAACGTCAGCAGCTGCTACAAGATTCCTCGCATCGCATACACCTGGAACCAGGCGTATGCAGAGTGCCAGGCGCAAGGAGCCCACCTGGTGGTCCTCAACTCCCAGGCGGAGAGTGACGCGGTCTTCGAGATTATGAAGAATGACGCGAAGATCGAAGGGGCGCACTTCTGGTGGTTCTTTTTCGCCGGCTTCAGGGCTGAAGTGCCGACGGACGGGTCTCCGAGGGTGTTCAAAACGATTTTCAGTATGTGTCCCATTCTTCTACTCCCGTTGTACCAAATGTACCATTGACGATGATGACGATGAGATGAAACTGAAAAGTTTCGTTTGGCCATTTTAATGGGGCAAACGAACAACAGTTCCTAATATAGTGTCTCATCAGCACCATTTTGATGATACTTATACTATAAATGCGACAATATAATTAGGTATTTCTCTTTGCATGTTATAATAAAAATTTAAAATGTTATCAAGTTGGAGTACATTTTCATAATAACAATGAGAGAATTTTTTTATTGTATATCGAGAATCGGAGTTTGTTTGTTCGGAATTAATTTGTTTTTTTAAACATTCATTTTTTTATGAAGAGTAAAACGAAATCAATCAGTAACATCTACACTATTAATGGCGCAAGTCAATGATGCATTTGGTACAACGCCATTCTGCTATATTTTTTTATTAATTTCACTATATAGGCTAGCAGCATTTTATAACAGATATAGTAACTTCTCATCCTCCTATGATTCGGGTAGCGTGTAATAATAGCATACCATTATGTCATGCTTTTGTCAGTAGTACTCCGTAGCTTAGTTGTAGGAGGAGCACGATGGCGCCAGTGGTTAGAACGTTCGGCTGCAGTCGTTGAAGTTGAACAACTTTCGCAGTGGTCGGTCATTGGATGGGTGACCAAAAATTGACTATCTCGAGCTCCTCCGTGCTTCGGAAGGCACGTTAAGCCGTTGGTCCCGACTGCATCTGCAGTCGTTAGCACCCACCAACCCGCACTGGGCCCGCGTGGGGGTCATGGCCCAATCTCCCTAATCCATCCATAGGGAAGGCCTGTGCCCCAGCAGTGGGGACATTAATAGGCTGATGATGATGATGATGATGACTCCGTAGTAGCAAAAGAATATTATATGTGATAGATTTATCCTATACTACTTCCTATTATGCTTCTTACTAATATTATAAACGCGAAAGTTCGTATTTATGTGTGAGGACGCTCAAAAAGTTGAACAGATTTAAATGAAATTTAGCATATCGTCTAGAGTGACATATATGATAGCTTTCATCCCAGAAAAGGTTTCTATGGGATTCTAAAAAAGTTATTTCGACCGAAATGTATTAAATGTTAGGCATGCATAATCACAAAGCTGAGACAAAATGAAATCTAAGGAATTGGTTCGGTCTAAAATTTTCTTTACAGTTCTTACGAAATTCTATATTCCATGGCCTCTCAGGGATAGTTGGAGGAATCACTTATATCAATGTTACTTTATTTTCAGATGAGACTTTAGAAGAAGCTGGCTATAGCACTTGGGCGGAGAATGAGCCCAACAACGCTTTGAACAACGAAAACTGCGGGTCAATATTCAAGAACGACGGTAAACTCAACGATGTGTCCTGTACACATTTATACGGATTCATATGTGAGAAAGAGATAACACACAAGTGATTAAGTACTGTATAATACTAGAAATATGTGCTTGGTTAAAGTTAGTTCTTTCCAATAAAATGTTCGTTGAAACGAATTTTAAAATCGCAATTTCGTAGATGCGTTTGTTGTAAAGCTATCTCTATCTATCTATCCAACCTGAAACATTGCCGTTGCCAAATTGGTGCATACAATGTCCTTGATAAGGTCAGTAAGGTAGAATTAAATTGTATTTATAATGAAAATATGGGTCTATTGCACAATATTATTAAGATAATATTTTTTTTACTTCTGAATACCTAGTATGGTCATGCAAGGTGTTAAGAGTATTGCGTAAAGCATATCATACATTGAGCTTAAGAAAAAGATGCTATACGGAGCCAGAGACGAAGTAAATAACGATTAATTGGTAAGAGACGATCTGTTCGCTAACTTCAGCTTGGCAAAATTTCCTAAAGTTCGGTGCATTATTAAATAGGTTTTGCAAGTGAAACACATAAACATATTATGAATGAAATATTATATTTTTTATTATTAACTTATAGCAATTAAATCAGTATTGTCTAAAGATTTTATTTTTTTATTTCCATATCATTTGTGTCGTCCGCATTCATAGCTTTTGCTACCGGCTTAGTTGGCTTCACTCCATATTGCCTTCCTAAGTTTTTCTGTAGTCCCAGTATGATGAGTTCTTTCCTATAATTATAGGTAATATATTTAAATATAAATGAAAATTTATTAAATCTATCCTAGGGATTTCCTCCATTTTCATTGACAGTTAATAGATTACCACTAGAGTTATTTATTCTACTTTATGTAAATATATCTTGTTGTTAGAATATTATAACTTGCTTATTGATTAAATAATAAATAAATACATTTGAATAAAATACATTTCCATATACATTTAATTAAGAATAGAAATATTAAGAAATCTATAATACACCTTATTTTTTTTTGTTAGAAGTAATATTAAGATTTTTTGAGAATTGATTAAAAGGAACTGGAACTCGAATAAATATTATTTCCACTTTCGTTTTGGACAAAACATGTTTATTAAATTGTGGATTTTAAACCAAATGAGAAGACGAACCATTTCAAAAATCAATGTTGGAAAAAAATCCACTCGTTGACTATATCTTCGTAATACCTACTCACCTGATTTTTTTGCTATCAGTTACATTTGATGGCAGTTCTTCGCTCTTTGTATTTTCGGTGTGTATTTCGGCCGTTGTTTTGGGTGGATTTTGTGGTAATTTTTCACATTCGTTTAGTTTAGTGGGCGCGGTTACTTCTGTAGCTGGTGCGTCTTTAGCTGTTGGTATTGATGGTCCATCACTTGATGCGCTATCATCAGTTTCCTCTATAAGATTCTTTTCATCAGATTGTGAATTTACAGATGTGTGGACGATGCGTTTGCTGTCGCGGTCCATCATAGAACGGCGCTAAGTAGAAATTGTTGTTATAAGAAGAATATCATACGGAAAGGGTTTTACTTAATTTATCCATAATAGGTAGATAATTTTTATAAAGCGTTGAATAAAATTTCAGTAATTACTTGCTCAATTATTGTGTTTGATTTTCAAGCGAATTATTGTTTCATTTTCGATTGTTTTGTGTCTAGGTACCTGCCCATAGGCATTATGTGTCTAGTTAAGTACAAAACATAGAAGATATTCTTTACTTTCCCTATTATGCCATATGCTAAATACATTTTTGACTATATTTTGGCTGATGCACGTAGAAGTTTCTTTTTAAACTTCTGTTCAGTTATAATTTTAGGATCGGCATTGTGCAGTCTTTGTATTTGAAAATTTAATAATTTATACTAGTCATAATGATGAAATTGTTGAAATCAACTTTCAACGTTAAGCAAATTTCGCTATGCTTGGTCATTGGATGGGTGAACAAAAACTTATTATCTCGAGCTCCTCCGTGCATCATTAAGCTATTGATCCCGGCTGCATCTGCAGTCGTTTGAACCCACTAATTCACACTGGGTGCGCGTGGTGGGTCACGGCCTTGACTTCCTATTCCATCCATAGAAGCGTGGGCCCCTGCAGTGGGGGGGACATTAATAGGCTGATGATGATGAAGTGTATAAAATATAATGTATGTTGATTGCTACTTACTATGGTCTGCCTGTGAACACTGCGCTTTAGCTTCTCCAGTTTCTCTCTGTTTTTTCTTCTCAAGAAGCCGCACTGTTGGAGAGCCAAAAATACATTTAGCTGCATTGCTAGACAAGTTTGAGTGACTAATTGGTTAGTATTTTAAGTAACTATCGCAAAGTCTAGTGGCATTGGAGTGAAGTTAAAATTCATTAATATTTATTATCCCCTTCGGACTGATGTTTCTGTTGACGGTTCCTCAAGGGGAGACTGTCTTCAGAACGTACTTTTAATTTAAAACTTTTCCCTTGTTCAGTTTACATTAACAAATTAAACTATACACACACATAGGACACCTTTTAGTAACATATAATTTAAGGTGTTCTTACCTCGTACAAGGCGAAAGCGATCAACGCCATGATCAAGAGACCAACGAGAGTAGCCGTTATGATCACCCATAGAGGCACCACAGATTCCTTCTTCCGGAGAATACTCGTTATACTAACAACATAGACAATGGTGTAAAAATATTGGAAAATTGGTCTTTTAATTAAGTAAAAAATCAAATATATATATATTTCTAAGAAAGTAAGTTGTTAGGACTGCTCAAGGCCTGCAAGGATATCAAGAAACTGCTGAGCTTTTTGGGGGAGCTAAGATGGCATGATTAAAACCTTCCACTGACGCAAAATAGGCACATAGTATCGAGTTGCGGAGAACACCCACCGATGAGAAGAAGAAGAAGCACTGTTAGGCCGCGTTTGCACCGACAAGAAAACTTCTGCGAGAAATGCCCGACAGTCTGTCCGACAGCAATTTGCAAATGTACTGAACTACGTAGCAAGTAGCAACAAAACAGTTTACGGTCGGTCATATTTCGCAGAAGTTTTCTTGCAGGTGGAAACGCGGCCTAAGGCTTGTGTTTTGGGATACTAAGGTAACGGATAGAATACATATACATCAGAGATATATATATAAACATTCATGACTTATGAACAAATGCTCATATTCAGTATTCACCTCTGAGTCGGCGACCCCTTAAAAACCGGCTTACACACCACTTAGCCACGAAGGTCGTCCTATCGTAGCATAAGTATCGTAGCTAGTATTTCAAATGGCTTTCGTATTTGGTGTGTTTTTATATAAGCCAAAACAAATTACCCCACGCCACCTGATGTTAAGTGTAAGTGGAGTCCAGTCGCGAAGATAGATGAGGCGGCAGAAGGTATACTGGAACTGGAACCCTACTCACAAGTCACTCACTCTCAAAAGTTTCTTTTAAATTTACGACTAGCAGCCGCCCGCGACTTCGCCCGCGTTAACTTTAGCTTTTTTCAATCTCTCACGAACCTGGATCGGTGAAATTATAAAAGATACATTTCAATCAAATCAAACTATCAATCAAAAGTATGATATAAGCACTGGAAATCAATTTCTAAATGAAGTCGTTGAGACGGCTTTTGTGATATTGATTCGTTGGTGGCAGAAGTGGTGGGAGGCGCCCGACGTGATGGCACAGTGGCAGCATCCGCGTGAGCTGCGCGCGGTATAATACGATTCAACTAAGAATAGCCATATTGTGGCGTCATAGCTGTCAATTCAAACCAAATAGGTAGCGTGAGCAAAAAAAAATATTTAATAAAACTTATTCACTAAAATTAAGTGAAAAAAGACATTAGATTTTTTTAACAAAATTTATTTACTAAGATTGAGAATAAAACAAACGATTTTTAATAATATTTATATACATATTAAGTGTGTGATAAGAAACACTATTTGTTATTATTTGTTTACAAATGTTTTGTTTTTTATTCTAGAATTGGCTGAGTGCTAAAAAAGGGTTCTAATATTTTTTTGCAAACCGTACTTTTCATGCGACATTTGACAGATGGGCTTTCCTATTCTTATTTGAATCGCACTATACTGAACAGTACTTGAATATTGCAACATTACTTTATTTTTCTCAAATAAAAGTAGCCTAAGTTACTCCTTGTTACATCAGCTAACTGTCAATGAAAGTCCCGTCAAAATTGGTCCACCCATGTCAGAGATTAGCCGGAACAAACAGAAAGACAGACAAAAAATATATTTATTTTAGTTATTTTGGTATATGTACCGTATTTATATTCATATGCATGTAGTAAAAAGCGGGGTTTTCAAAATTACAAACAGACACTGCAATTTTATTTATATTTATGTATAGATAAATTTTGGGGGTGATTTTCAAACTGCTATTTAATGTTGTCTATAAGACATTCTCTTGCATTCTTTCAAAGGAAACTCTAACGGATCAAAGATCCCTATCCCTAACTTTTATTCTAACAGCAAACGCATTCCCGTTTAAAATAAACTTGTCCGTTTTGACATTTCTACACGAATTATCGGGCAAGTGGGTCGATTGTCGAGTCGATTTGTTTAGTAAAACTACGTCGTAAAGAAGAATCTACATATAAATTTGTTTTTAAAGCAAGTCCTTATGAGCATCTGAACCCTACTCACCAGATACACACTCTTTCTACACACAACACCACCAAACGGTAGTGTTATTTTACTGTCATCTGTAAGGTAGAGGTTGCTTCCAAGGACGGCCGCTCCATTACGAGCGGGAAATCCGCTGTGCCCTATCATCTAATATTTGTCATTTCGACAGCATATCATCACACTTTGTCTGCAGCGAATGAAAAAGGGAGATTTTTAACTTCTCAGTATCTTCGCCGCACTTCTCCCGGTGTGCGCTGCGCCTACCCACTACAAGGTGCCTCGCTACGTGCTACGAGCTACTTGCTCAATTACTTACATTAGTGATCACATAAATTTCATACAGTCGTAGTCAGTGCCGTCTTTGATGTATTGGAGGCCCTGGGCATATTAGGATAATGGGGCACCTATGACTTCCGTTTGGTGATTTAACAGGAACTAGGGACTTTGTATTTGATCTGAGGGGCCCCCCTATCGATCGCGGGGCCCTGGGCACTTGCTCAAAGTGCCCACTGGGAAAGACGGGTCTGGTGGTAGTGTGCGGCAGGTTAATTGCCTGAAATTACTATGCACAGTTTTTACGATGCTATTAGAATAGTGAAATTTTCTAAAATGTACGTGTTGTAGGTTCTCCATTTTTATAAGTACCTACCTATGTTTCACTTGTTTTTCTCCGTAAGTTATTCGTATGCATGCCTCGGGGCATCCCCATGATGGGTGGGTCCGTTCAAGTCGGACACCCACTGCTAAGATCGCGGAACTATCCGAAAGGGTTTCCGTGGCCTCACCCAGTGCCGTTTCCTCGCTGGGCGGAGTGCCGCTAGATGGTGGATTATTAGCCCGGGGAAGACATGGCCCGTCGGTGAGGTGAGGGGCATCGTCAGGTTTTTAGTGGGTAGGGCTCCCCTCCTCTCGGGCAGCCGCTGAGCCAACCCTCGGGCTGGCTGAGCGGGTGGGCGGGAGGAGAAGCGGAGGAGTCCCACATAACCTCGCCGCACTTTCAAGGCGGTGGGGTATGCTTAACGCATTTGCCTGACGAAAAAAAAAAGGTTCTCCATTTTTATAAGTACCTACCTATGTTCCACTTGTTTTTCTCCGTAAGTTATTCGTATGTGGGACGTTTGGTTTAAGTTTTGTGTTTCTAGCATCCCCGCATCTGTAAAAATGTACACAAATATTTAAGCTACTATAAATTGAAAGTACGTTTCTATTGTATTTTGATCAAACAAGTTCAGACACTATCAATTCTTATAAAACCCGATGTACGAGTAATCGTACAGTTTAGGTTATAAATAAATGTTCTAATTTACGTCACTTAGAAACAAGTCATTTACGCGCGGTATTTCGCAATATGCTTAAAGCTACTAGTTTATAATATTGAATTTACATGCAAATAAACAGTGTTAGAACAACTATCATTGGGTTTGTTTCGTACATTAACTTTCCCTTACAATTATCTGGCACTCTTCTCATATACTGTAGACACACTATACCCGAAAATTAAACCCATAGAAAAATACATAAAATTTGATAAGTTTTGTCTATGATCGCGTTAAACGCATTAGCGGCATAGAGGTATAAGAATAGAGTAGGGGAGATATGTATTCTACTCATAGAGGTATAAGAATAGAGTAGGGGAGATATGTACTCTACTCATAGAAGTACAAGAATAGAGTAGGGGAGATATGTACTCTACTGATAGAGGTATAAGAATAGAGTATGGGAGATATGTACTCTACTCATAGAAGTATAAGAATAGAGTAGGGGAGATATGTACTCTACTCATACAGGTATAAGAATAGAGTAGGGGAGATATGTACTCTACTCATAGAGGTATAAGAATGGAGAGTAGGGGAGATATGTACTCCACTACAAGTGGAAGTGTCCGTCTAGTAGAAAGAGACCCTCAAGTTTCGACCCGAAAGCAAAAAGTGCCCATTGGACCTTATTTTGGTGCCAATTTATTTTCCATTCCATTTATTTTTTCTAGTACCTGGGTAAAAAATAATTAGTGTCCTTAAGTTTTTTGAAAATTTATAGAAGATTGTTCACTTGTATATTATATTACAAAGCTCACAGCTTCGCGTGAAGGTGCTTTTTGACAATATGCCTTACCAATGGTTTGAGGCATTACGTAAATGGAAATGATGACATCAAATTTTTGTTTGCTCTTTACTTCGGAGACAACACAAGCCGTTCCGTACAGGCCATTCTTGTCTTGAACAAGGTCGTTACATTTATATTCAGCTTCAGAGTCTATCTGTAATATAGAATTTGTAAAAAAAAAACGGTTAAAAGCTTTGATTAAATTCGTAAATTATTTAATATACAACGATAGTCAATGTTAGGTAGAAAACTCAGAAAATTTGTACTTACCGTTACATGCAAGCCATCGTAATAAGGTTTCGTCTCTAAAACAATTTCAGATTTAACATCCACCCAGGTTGTTACGCCTACGTTTATGACCTTAAATAAATAAAACAAACAACTTTATAGACTTGTTACTATACGAAGGCGTTATACAGACTATTTAGAACCAATATTAAATTCCGTTGCACTGTAGGCAGTAGTTGTGTAACGTACTAATATGATGTTTGTTTACCAAAGTCTTAATTGATTAATAAAAAACACAAACATAGAATTAAATAAAATAAAAAATAATATAAAATAATAATTATTATTACCAATTATTATTATTTGGTTAGTTAGGTACAAAGGACAATGTTAAATTTGGCCTCAGAACCAACACCAATTTGGCATTTATGATAATTCTTAGTATATTTTTTGCGATAATTATCAGTATTTAGATTGTGACAGACACTTCCAGTTAAGTAAGCTAAATTAAAAAGTTAAAAAAAAAATCTGAATCTACCATTTTATGTGTATAATCTATGACAGCGCTGCAAACAAAACACTCTTTCTTCCTAATGCCGGTACCTACTTCACTTGGCTATTCGTGTTTGCTTTTTGAATACTTGACATCAGTCTGTCCTTTTTATTCCATATTAAGCATGACAAGGACAGACTGTTGTCAAGTGAAGGGCCGGCATAAAACTCGATACTCTGTGGTTGTGGTGCAGAAGTTTTCATTCGTAGTAATCTGTGGCATTCGTGGATTCCTCTGAATAATCAGAGGTGGATTCTCGTTTCGGATTTCCTGTTGTGTGTGTTTATTTGCGATTGTTTTTCCTTTAAATCTAATATGCCATAGATGTTACCTAATAGCAGAGACCTTATTACCAAGTGCTAGAGAATCTGTGCCACAACATCCTGAGAGGATCATATTGCCAAATTATTCAAGAGCAGCTAATACACATTCACGCTGCATATTTACACATTAAACATGTGATATACAAATAAATACATTATGATACAATTATATGAAAAATAGTCAAAAATTAAGAAGCAAAACTACAGTTTTTATTTTATTCATGATTCCTACCTAGTTTTTCCTAATAGTTATTCTTTAAAATCGCACCGAATAAAAATGAATAAGTTGTAATATTAATTCAATTCACACTGAATTCATACTAAGTTCATAGATTGACCTATGTTTCATATAATATTAAACATAACCTCAAAAAATATTTAGTTTTCCTGATAATTTAAGTTCTCAGAAGTGTCAATAATCTTTGTTTTTACAGTCATTTACTTGCAAAAATTAGAAAATAATATTTCATGATTGTTGGTTCTTAGGGTAACAATGTATGGACGCAGTACAATGTCTTTTAGATGGTTTGAATTAGGCTAATGCTGCGTGTGCATCCCCATGACAGTTAATACTAGTACAGCCGTGGGCCGTCAACGAACCTTTTAAACGAGAATGTTATTTTTTTATTTAATTCCTCTAATTAGTATATAAGAGCAATTGTAGCTTTTAAGATAAAAAAAATATGTGTGGCACTCGGGGACTGCCGCGGTAAAGCTATTGCATAGCATTTTTTATCAACTTATGCAATTTTAATTATTCATTTATCTTATTTATGCAGTATTTTTTTTTCTTTGATATTAATTCAAATTTTTTCTTTGATATTAATAGATGGCGAGGCAGGCCTTATGATATTTTATTGGGCTACCACAGCAAACAACAGCATTGTCCGGCGCCTAAAAACTTCCACAAGCTCCACAGTTTACCATCTTTAGTTCAAAAATATAAATTATAATTATAAAGTCTAAATAAAAGGGAGACAAATAAAAATAAGAACAGGTTCTGGGGTCTAAAACAAATAAAAAAAAAAAAGAAAAAAAAGGAGGAAAAAATTATAAAAAGCGAGTGCGGGATTTGAACCGAGACGACCGCGGTGATGCGTCGAATGTTGGGCCCGTGGCAAAAATGCATCACACTGCGCCGTTTTGATTGCTACAGAAATGGCGAAAATTGTGTTCTATTGGTATATGCACTCTCGTAAGGTTTTTTTCGATACGGAATTTCTAGATACGGTCGCCGTGATCAAAGCCCGCGATAAAAGCTATACAATAGCTTAATAAACCATTTTTATTATTTGGGGGCGACATACCCTTATATAAACCTTAACTGTATAGTACGAACTTCTTGAATTTACTTAATTTATGTATTATTTCCTCCTTATATTAAAAAACTTTAAGAAATGCGTGCCGATGACACATTCGAGGTTTCATAATCATATGATTGCATACAACGAATTTTAAATGCGCGTACGTTGCTGTCAGCTATGCTATATCACCTTGAATGTTTTAATATTAATCAGCGGCTTGCATTAATTTCATTTCGCAGAAATTCAAAATAATTAAAAAAACAACCATCATATCGAATAAAATTCACAGTCAGAATCGGCTTCTGGCATATAAATATTTAATTTTTCCTGTTAAATCGGGCGGCGAAGCGCTGGCCAGTAACCTGATAGTTGATAACACAAGGAAAAGGTTAAGTTTAGGTCACCAAACTAACTTACCTTACACACTAACACAAACATCGAATATATTGCACTAAATAAGCGTAATGCTTGAAAAATATGCAGAATTAAATTTCGTCATAAAAATCGATTCTGTAATTTTTAAAAGATGTCATTGTGGACTTATAATAATTCGGCCAAACATGAATTATGTTCAAATAAAAATATATGTCTTAAAAATAGTCGTTTAAATAAGATTGTGCCAAGAAAAATAATATAAGAAGAAGAGAAATAATATTATGCCAGATAAAGCGAACCCATTATGAGAAAGTTTTGAGTTGTAATGCATAAAATCCATATTACATATTTTAACGACCATTGTATAAAATGAATCCACATAATGAAACTGACTTATGCGTGAAGTACGAACATGATTCTTTCATCACCTTTTTAAAGTATTCTATACCTCTATATGTATATATAGTAGAGGATATGCAAGTATCGAAATACGATAGCAGTTATTACTCACTGTATAAACATGAGCGAACTGTTTCCCAGTTTCATCGATTTCGACTGCTGAAAGTGAAATATTCCCACCATCAAGATTTGCCATCCTGAAACAGATGTTTAGTTCTTTAATTAATAAACCAAAATTTTGCAAATCATCATCATCAGCCTATTAATCTCCCCACTGCTGGAGCACAGGCATTCCCTATGGATGGAATAGGGAGATTGGGCCATGACCCACCACGCACTTAATGTGCCTTCTGAAGCACGGCGGAGCACTAGATAGTAATTTTTGGTCACCCATCCAATGACCGACCACTGCGAAAGTTGCTTAAGTTCAACGATCGCAGCCGAACGCGCTCACCACCTGCGCCATAGAGCTCCTCAATTTGCAAATAATCATAGATAAATTAATTGCTTATCATAAACATTTTGACAAACGAAAAGGTCTCTTCTTAGCACATATTGCCGTGAAAGTTTACCGTCGTCCGTTTATCGTCGGCCGACAACGCCCGTTTCCCGTTGTCTGAGCTCATCATCTTTTTTATTTTTTTTGGCAAAATATAGTCATGTACATCAATGTTTACAATCATCTTAAAGAAATACATAGGTTTTAGACCTTGAATGGCTCCAATTATATTGTTAATAATGGAAGTGATAAATCTGATTGGAAGCAATACAATGAGCTATATCATCATTATCAGGTTTTGTATATCAGTTATTACAAATTACACACAATATTTTAAGGCCAAATTTAATTATCATTATCATTATCTCAGCCGTACGACGCCCACTGCTAAGCATGGTCCTCCCCCAAGGATCTCCACATGTGCCACGCGCATTCATCGACTTCCCGCGATCTTCACCAGATCGTCGGTCCACCTGGTGGTTACCGTTGTCTGAGTTCAGATCAAATAAAAAAGTCTATATAGAACTACTAACTACAAACAACAAAGTGGCACCGGTTGAAACTAGCCCCGCCGTGTATGTAGACAAATACGCACGCACGATTACCCGAACGTGGCAGATTAACATAAGTAACCCTAACTAACCCTTGAAAATATTGATCCTCCCCCTTTTATAAGCTAAACTATTGGCTTGAAAAACCTAAAACATGAAAAAAAATCATCGTCATTCGTTTCTCGAAAACCTCGTGCCTGAAGAGAATAGTTCGTGTTGCCAGTGATGACATATGGAGCCGAGACATGGTTGTTGACTATGGGCCTCAAAAGAAGGCTCAGAGTTGGGGTCTTGCACAGCGAGCGAGGGACAGAGCTATGCTCGTTGTTTCTCTACATGATCGAAGCAGAAATAAGAAAATCCGTAGAAGAACTAGAATAACCGACATAGCTCAACGAATCATCAAGCTGAAATGGCAATGGGCACGGGGCACTTAGTTTGGGGGGGCTGATGGACGTTGTGATTCCAAGGCGGTTCAATGACGGCATCACACCGGGAAGCGTAGTGACGGTAGTTCCTTCAAAAGGTGGAATCACGACATCGAGCGAATCGATTTACTTATAGGATTCGGAAACCGCAAGACCGTTGTGTGTGGAAATCCCTATAGGAGGCCTACGTCCAGCAGTGGGCGTGCATCAGCTGATGATGCTGATCTGAATTAATTTTGAAGAAGAAATACCTAAGTAGGATATAAGAAACTCTGTCAACATGTACTAATGATTTTAGAAACTACAATACAATGAAAGTCATTTGACATACGTCGTATACTAACTAACATAACACTCATCATAAATGGTATTAGTGTATATTAAGGGCGGCAAAAATATTTTTTTCCCGGAGCGGCAAAATTTCTAGATCGGGCCCTTTTCTCGAGTAGACGGCACCTTGAAACCTGGCGTACAATCATTAGATCAACGGAGGTTGTCAAACTCTAAAATTTTTAGATACAATTCATGAGATATTCCGCTGATAGATAGAGGGACAGCGGTAGCCTGGTGATAAGATTCCGTGTCAAGCTTTGGCGCAGCGCACACCGGGAGAGGCGCAGCGGAAATACTACATGCGACGACTCCGAGCACGGTCTGTAGCCATAAAGCGGCGCGCTGCCTAGAGCCATGGAGCGGCACGTGGCCACTTTGAGTGCGGCCTAGAGCCATGGAGCGGCGCGTGGCCAATTTCAGCGCTGCCTAGAACCACTGAGCGGCGCATGGCCACTTAGAGCGCGGCCTAGAATCATGGAGCGGCGCGTGGCCACTTTTTGCGCGGCTAAGAGCCACGGTGCGCAGAACTCGCACGCCAGCTCTCGTGGCCGCTTTGCAACGCTGTGCACTGCTTGTGTTTTGTTCCATGTTTGACATGAAATTGGAATTAAGGTTTGACTTTATTTGTTAACTTCTCAGTGTATCCTCCTATCTCCGCCGTACCTCTACCGATGTACAAATCTGAAACCAGCGTAGGACTTTTATCATACATACCCTCTAGTAACCAATCCGTTAGGGTCCGTAGCCAGTGTGATTTCCTTGGTCTGAGTGGTTTTCAAGTCTGATGAACATTGCTCGTACAAGTCAACCGTGATGGTTATTACTTTATTGTCACTTCTCAAACTCCTGGTCTCCAGCTCAATGGCACCCGAATTCTGTAGGAAGTTTTAAATCAGTTTTAGCAGATTGTATTCAGGAAACCCTGTAGCTTCAGCATTGTGTATCATATAAGTATGATACTTTTCTTTCTCGTCTTTTTGACAAACTCTATAAGTTCTAAACTAAAGTATAGTAAGTAAAGTATACTTTGATAATTGAGCTAGCTAAAAGGGATGAACTAGGTACCGCCAGCTGAAAAAATTGATATGTGATAAACATTCGAAAATGACAGTAGCTATTAAAATTTATAAATAAATTTTATTGATAATATAATACAATAAAGAATAAATATTAAAACTTCAATAATTTCACGCAGCTTGTGCTGTTTAATCAGTTGCTGTTCCATCTTAAAGAATAAAATATGTACAGAAAAATAGAAAAATGCATCAAAGAATTCATAATTATTTTTCTAAAAATTTCAGAGAGTTGTCGATTTCATGCCTCCTACCTCATAACACATCGCTTTGTTACTGGTATAGAAGATGTATGAAGGTTTCCACCCAGGTGGTGTGCATTAAATCATTGAATGCCGCGTTGCTTAGCTACTATTCCATAATAGTAGCTATATAACCGTATACCCATGCATACGGTATAAACGTATGAGGGATCTCACTCAGTTATTGTTGTTTCTGTGCGGTTGCTACGATAACACGCGCGAACACTGTAAACGCAGAGACGCGCGTGTTTAGCAAACACCGATACTTATTTGAATGTAACTTAAACCGATATGAAGCAACTCACCCAGGCGGTGTTGGTTAGCCTGTACGCGGCCGGCCAGTGTCGCACACGCGCGCCCGGTACGGTGACGCATGTACTCGTATGAAGCACCTCACCCAGGCGGTGTTGGTAGGCCTGTACGCGGCCGGCCAGTGTCGCACACGCGCGCCCGGTACGGTGACGCATGTATAAAGCACCTCACCCAGGCGGTGTTGGTTGGTCTGTACGCGGCTGGCCAGTATCGCACACGCGCGCCCGGTACGGTGACGCATGTATAAAGCACCTCACCCAGGCGGTGTTGGTAGGCCTGTACGCGGCCAGCCAGTGTAGCACACGCGCGCCCGGTACGGTGACGCATGTATAAAGCACCTCACCTAGGCGGCCTTGGTTGGCCTGTACGCGGCCGGCCAGTGTCGCACGCGCGCGCCCCGTACGGTGACGCATGTATGAAGCACCTCACCCAGGTGGTGTTGGTTGGCCTGTACGCGGCCGGCCAGTGTCGCACGCGCGCGCCCGGTACGGTGACGCATGTATAAAGCACCTCACCCAGGCGGTGTTGGTTGGCCTGTACGCGGCCGGCCAGTGTCGCACACGCGCGCCCGGTACGGTGACGCATGTATAAAGCACTTCACCCAGGCGGTGTTGGTTGGCCTGTACGCGGCCGGCCAGTGATGCACGTGCGCGCCCGGTACGGTGACGCATGTATGAAGCACCTCACCCAGGCGGTGTTGGTTGGCCTGTACGTGGCCGGCCAGTGTCGCACGCGCGCGCCCGGTACGGTGACGCATGTATGAAGCACCTCACCCAGGTGGTGTTGGTTGGCTTGTACGCGGCCGGCCAGTGTCGCACGCGCGCGCCTGGTACGGTGACGCATGTGTGAAGCACCTCACTCAGGCGGTGTTGGTTGGCCTGTACGCGGCCGGCCAGTGACGCACGCGCGCGCCCTTTACGGTGACGCATGTATAAAGCACCTCACCCAGGCGGTGTTGGTTGGCCTGTACGTGGCCGGCCAGTGTCGCACACGCGCGCCCGGTACGGTGACGCATGTATAAAGCACCTCACCTAGGCGGTCTTGGTTGGCCTGTACGCGGCCGGCCAGTGTCGCACGCGCGCGCCAGTTACGGTGACACTTGTATGAAGCAACTCACCCAGGCAGTGTTGTTTCGCAGAGGCTGATTATGTGAGCACACGCCGCTGTCTGAGCGCGCACGCCTGCACGCCCCCGGCCACTGACGCACGCGCGCGCCTTGTACAGTGACACGCGCACACGCTGTGTACGCTGGGTCGCCCGCATTCTTAACGGTCACCGATATTTGCTCGCTGTCACTCGAGCCGATCACGTAGCCGTCCCTGCATCAGTCGTCAGTTCGTGAATATTTTTTGTCATCAGCCTATTATGGTGCAATTACACTTGGTCGATAGACCGCATACGAATGCCTATGGAATTCTGACAAACGATTAAGTAAATAAACGGAGTCTTCGAGCCCGTGTTCGAGTAAAAACAATGTAAATATTGCATCGGGTGCCCGAATTCGAGTAATGTCTTTCGTGCACCAGAATACAGGCTATCAACCAAATGTAAATGCGCCTTTATTCCGAACTGTCTCTAGCCCAAATAGAGGCCGTGTGCGATCATTATTCTTGCGCCCTCTTAAGTGGTCGGACGAAATCTGCTAAAATAAAACAGCAAGACTTGGCGCTAAAATAGGTCGGACATTTGTTAATAAATACCGGAAATTCTATTTCTTTTTCTCTTCCTTGCTACGCGGGTGAGTAGCACAACTAAAGTATATGCAACAAAAGGTCAAACGAAAGCGAACATAATATCTGGAATCAAATATTTGGCCAGACACATCGCAATAAAGCTAAACTTTTTTGTCTTTAGTCATCCAAATGGTAACCCTGAACAGCCTTCCCTGGCATATTTTGGTAAGACAATCAAGCCTAAATATTTTTTATTGACTGATGGATTGGATTTTGGCTTGATCAAGTCTTTTTGATCGAGCCACTAGATCAAGCGGCTTGATGTGATGGTGAATGGTCATTATTATACTTGCATGCACTTGTGGCTTACCGCATCGAAGTTTCAATTCCGAAGGTGAGAACTGGTTCGCATATGTTTTCATTGGCGCAGTCCGCCACCCACACCGTGTCTGCCAACGTGAGAGTGCTGCGGTCGCTGAGCATCGCGATAGCAGGATTAAAAGTCTTCAAGCCCATCGGTGGGTTCAGCTGCGATACCGTCACTTGATACTGTATCACGGGCTCGTAACTGCCTTCCTAAATGATGTTTTGCAATATCGTCAAAATATTTTTTGTCTTTGTTAGAGTAGCAAACAAGTTTAATGGTAAGCGGCCACCATGGCGTCTATAGGCCACTTGCGACCAAAGTTTTCACTTACGCCGTCGCCTAGTCTAACCCAATCCCCTACTTCGCAAAGCTCTGTAATTTTACTCACCGTCAGAAACACCAACAAAAGGCAATTTTATTTACCTGTGAGGTGAAGGTTTAGAACATTAGTATTGTATTATTTCTTACTTTTTAGTGGTTTTGTTTTTATGTAGTCGCTTTTTATTTTTATTAAAAAGGTTTTATTTTCCACTTTTTGTAAGCCAGAGTAACAACATCAACTAAATAAGTATTGGTAACCTGGCCTGCATTGTCTCTTTCATACCCTTTAAAATAACCAAATGCGAATTGATTTCTTTTTGTAATTGAGTAGTTTCATTGTTTTCTCTGAAAGCACTTATTAGATCTTCACCAAATTGATATGGGACAATTTCGCCAAAAAACTAAGTCAAATAAAAAAGAAGCCTCATAATCGGTACAAGCATCATATACTGACGAATTCGAACCTCCTCCTTTTTGAAGTCGGTGAAAAAAGAATAAATACGTGTGGCACTCGGGGACTGCCGCGGTAAAGCTATTGCATAGCATTTTTTATCAACTTATGCAATTATGATTATTTATTTATTGGAACGAAGTTCCTTACGGCAGGCTTGGAGGGGATAGGGATTTTGCTGCGCGACCGAACTGAAAAAATGTGATGGTAAAACCGTAAGAAAAAATCCGTGGAAAAAATTGCGTGGAATAAAATCGTTAAATGAGACGTGCGCAGGCGCGACGAAGTTCCTTACGGCAGGAGAGAGAGCGACGAGGGTGCATCACTGAAATATTGTGATATTACACCAACACTGAATATGTGTGAAGTTATAGGGAGTGGTAGAGCGACGAGGGTGCATCACTGAAATATTGTGATACTACACCAACAGTGAATATGTGTGAAGTTATAGGGGGTGGTAGAGCGACAAGGGTGCATCACTGAAATATTGTTATATTACACCAACACTGAATATTTGTGAAGTTATAGGGGGTGGTAAAGCGACGAGGGTGCATCACTGAAATATTGTTATATTACACTAACACTGGATATTTGTGAAGTTATATCAAGCTGTGGACCAGTAACGCCTGTGAGACATGATTATGATTACAAGGTGAGTACTTATCAGGAGGTGGCAGAGCGACGGGGGTGCATCACTGGATTATTGTGACATTGTAGTTTATTCTAAACTGTGGGCCAGTCCTGCCTAGCATCCTTTACGAACGCTAGCGGAACATGATAAATGATAATAAGGTGCTTATGTAGGGGGTGGCACAGCTACGAGGGTGCAGCACTGGAATATTGTGACATTACACGAAATCTGGATATTTGTGACGTTATACCGTGCTGTGGACCAGTAACGCCTGTCATCTGCTGTAAACTTAAGCTAGACATGATAACAAGGTCAGTACTTAACAGGGGGTGACAGAGCGACGGGGGTGCAACCCCAAATTATTGTGGCATTATACCAACACTGGATTATTGTCGTATATTATACTAAACTGTGGTTAAGTCCAGGGGGGTGGCACAGCGACGGGGCTGCATTACTGGATTATTGTGACATTGTAGTTTATTATAAACTGTGGGCCAGTCTGCCTAGCAATCTTTACGAACACTAGCTGACCGAACTGAAAAAATGTGATAGTAAAACCGTAAGAAAAAATCCATGGAAAAAAATGCGTGGAATAAAACCGTTAAATGAGACGTGCGCAGGCGCGACGAAGTTCCTTACGGCAGGCTTGGAGGGGATAGGGATTTTGCTGCGCCACCGAACTGAAAAAAATGTGATAGTAAAACGTAAGAAAAAATCCGTGGAAAAAAGTGCGTGGAATAAAACCGTTAAATGAGACGTGCGCAGGCGCGACAGTCGCATACACAAGCGAGTTTGCAATTTGTGTCGATTCTACATTAGCCGAAGGAACTTCGTTCCTACCTTGTGTCCCACGACACCACATCATTTATTTTATTTATGCAATATTTTTTTTCCTTGATATTAATTCAATCGAATCAATGCGGATGATCTAGCATTATTGGGAAAGTGCGAAGAAGAAGTCCGCAAGATGGCGGATACTCTAGAGGAAGAAGAAAAGACTGAGTACTTTCACATGAAAAGGTACAAAATCACGACAGAGAAACGGAAGGATCTGACTGTTAAAGGAACCACCTATAAGGACGTCAGTAAATTTAAATATCTGGGCTGTACGGTAACTGACATCAACAGAAGAGAAGAGGAGATCGACACCCGTATCCAAGGCGCACTCAGGTGCACAGCTGCTCTTCACAAAGTCTTGGTTTCCAAGCTATTACTAAGAAAGTCCAAGATTCGGATTTACAACACAGTGATTAGACCGATCTTGATGTACGGTTGTGAGGCTTGGACGCTAACCCTTAGAGAGGAGAATAAGTTGCTGGTCGCCGAAAGAAGGATTCTGCGGAAGATCCTGGGGCCGACTCAAAGAGAGGATGGCAGCTGGAGAGTGCGGACGAACATCGAGCTGGAAAATCTAGTGTCCGAATCCAACATCATAGGAGAAATTAAAGCAGCTACACTTCGCTGGCTCGGGCATGTAGGGAGAATGGGAGAGGATCGGGCCGTGAAAAGGGCGTATTTGGGGCGAAAGATAGGACGACGGCCCGTTGGACGTCCCAGATACCGCTGGAGCGCCGAGGTGCAGAGGGTCTTGCAGTCTTTGGGTGCCGACGGCTGGCGAAACCTAGCCCGGGATCGCAGAGCATGGCGTCATCTTGTGTCGGAGGCCAAGATCCACTTGGGATCGTTGCGCCGCAGCAGTAAGTAAGTTGATATTAATTCAAGTTTTTTCTTTGATAATAATTAAAGTTACACTTTTTGAGCGTGGTGACCGATAAGAAACCAAATTTTGCGTACAGCTATTCACTGTTGTTCACAGACGATTGATACCCATACACCTATATACTTTCACACCAACAGCTGCTCACGTATTCGTCCGATTTCGGAGCAGCTCGTCTCGATCCGTGCGAGCTTCGTACAGTCGTACCATATACATGCACGTTAAGGTTCAACTAGTCGCGGGCTCGAATTCACTTGTGCTGTTTCAGCATTGTGTCTAAAATAGATAGAATCATTTATGAGCAGTAAGCTGCTAGTCTACACGCATACGTCTAGTCGCACGCACACAAACACCGTGCCGAAGTCTGCCGAACTGAAACGATGTTAGGCGATGCACGGCTTTCAACGCCGCACCGCTGTGCCGGTCGGAGTGGGGGGTGGTAGGTTTATTTTCGTTACGGAATTTCTTGATTCGGTCACCACGCTCAAAGCTCGCGATAAAAGCTATGTAATAGCTTAAAAACCTTTCAATATATTTATTCTCTTGAGGACCTAATATTTTTCATCAGTCAGTTTAGTGCATCTTGTAATACATACCTCAGGCATTCCAATTTTGATAACATTGCAATATGACTTTTGCATAGTACTGGTTGATATCTTGTACTTCATCGACCCATCGACATTTGATGAGGTTATTCGCGCCGTCGGATGCGTAATAGATACCTTTACTTCTAAGTCTGCAATAATTTAAAACAATAAGTCAGATGTAATGTTTTGGATATCATGTGTGGTAAAATCGGTCCAGGTTTCAGAGAGGGTTTTAACCCACATCTTTCACTATCCGCCCGTGTATACTTAAAATAGAAAAATATAATATTATTCTTCATTTAAATATTTAACACTTGTAAAGGTATTTCGTTTGATATTGTGGGTTACCTACAATGAGAACAGATGGAGCAGCCTAAGATATTTCAGCGAGAATGACATGGTCATTCTTGCTAGCATAGTTGGTTAGTGAGTTCGCCCTGATAGCGGAAGATACGGGTTGGAATCCCGTCTAAAACCTGGACGGAGTGGTTTTTTTCTAATAAACTTGAGATTAAAACTTCTAACAGTAAAATGCTTAAACTGAAAATTTTATAACATGGTAAGAGTCAAAGAAAATGGGAAAAGCAGAAATCCACAACTGATTCCATAAATTCTCAGTAATTTTTCTCATTCAATTATTTTCTTTCATCCTTAGCCTGCCGTCATGAATACTCACCAACATTTATAGATTTTGGCTTTGCAGGATATTCGATGACGATGCACAAATCAAACTCAAAATGTGTGTTGTTTCTTTGCTTTCCTGTATTCATATGTACCTTAACAAAAATAATTAGAACTGGAGGGCAAAGAAACCGGGTCACTTACTCAGTACCTCAGAACTCTGATTTGATTTTTTAAAAAAGTATAAAACTTACAACTATAATGATAGTTCTAAGATTTATACTTTTTTAAACTCACTTTAAAGCATAAGGCATTAATCAAATGAACAGGAATTTATCGAGATTAATCAATTTTTTAAGTTTTTATGAAGCCTTTTTCAAAGAAAAGTCGTATTCCAATTGTGTTTTTAGCAGTAGAAACAAAAAAAAATCAATATCAGTTAACAATAACAGTTATAGAGTAAAATAATTTTTTTATCATCATTAAACACACTAGAAAGTGTGTGTTATAATAATGTATTGTAAAAACATTCTTGTCACGTCAGTTATACTTAACGTTGATGGTTGTAAGTTCTTTACTTTTTGAGAAAATCGGATGAGAGCTCCAAGGTACCAGCGAGTGACACTTTTCTTTGCGGTGGAGTGTACAAAAACATATCATGTACAATCTAGCAATTTTTACCAGTTCCATGGAATAAATAACTAAAAAAAATTTATGTATGTAAAATATTATGGGTATTACCCACCAATCCGCGAAGGGTCCGCGTGGCGAGTCCACGTTCCAATCTCCCTTTTTCATTACTAAAAAAAGTATCCTACCCACCAATCCGCACTGGGACCAGTGGTCGCCCACTTCGCTTACCATCAAGGTTGCCTAAGGTTGCCGGGCTAGTTGCCTAGCTAGCAGCGTCGCTAGCTACCTCGCTAATTGGCTAGCTAGCTGCCTAGCTTGTTGCCTAGCTAGCTGCCTAGCTAGTTGCCTAGCTAGCTGCCTTGCTAGCTACCTAGCTAGCTGCCTAGCTTGTTGCCTTGTTAGCTACCTAGCTAGTTGGCTAGCTAGCTACCTAGCTAACTGCCTAGCTAACTGCCTAGCTAGCTGCCTAGCTAGCTGCCTAGCTAGCTGCTTAGTTAGCTATCGGGCTAGTTGCTTTTCTAGCTGCCGGGCTAGGTGCCTAGCTTGTTGCCTTGCAGCTAGCTAGGCAACTAGCTCGGCAGCTAGTTAGGCAACTAGCAAGGCAACAAGCTAGGCAACTAGCTAGGCAGCTAGCAAGGCAGCTGGCTAGGCAGCTAGCTAGGCAACTAGCTCGGCAGCTAGCTACCTGCTGGACTAGTTGCCGGGCTAACTAGCTAGGCATAGCTGTATATATGCAGGCTATCAAGAAAAATTATAATGAAAACACCTTACTTTTGGAGACCTGGTCTCCACACAAAAAAGAAACCTTTCCATGGCGATTTGCGATTGGCCGTTTTTTATCATTAACAACGTACCTTGAGCTTCTGGACATGTACAGTAACTTGTGTCAGACATCTGTAAAACAGGACTACATTACTTGCTGGAGCGCCGATTGCTAGCTCTGCAATCAAAAATGTATATTTAAAGTTGTTGTTATAGTTAAAGTATAACAATTAAGCTTATACAGGATGTTTGGAAGATCAGATAAGATCAGAGAAGATAAGATGAAGAAGATTTGATATTCGAAACTGATCGAGAGGTCATCTTTCAGCAGGATGGGTGTCCAGCCCATTGGACTTTAAATGTAAGAGAGCATTTAAATAATTGCTTCCCCTGATAGCTGGATCGGCAGATATGGTCCAATCTCTTGGTCTGCTCGGTCACCCGACCTTACTCCAATGGACTTTTTCGTGTGGGGTCGGCCCAAGGAATTAGTTTACACATTAGTTACATAGTTTACACATGAGTATGTGGAGACACAGAAGAACAATTAATGGAAAGATTATTCTTTCTTTATATGCAGCATTTCAAACGATGAAACAAAAGATTATGTTGAAAATAACAACAACGGAAGTAAGAAAACGGGTCTGTGCGTATGTTAGAAATCGCCGCGAACATTTTGAACACGAATAATAAGTGATTTCAGTTTAAATTTTGTTTTAATTTATTCATCTAAAACATAAAAAAAAACTTCCTCAATTAGGATTTCTGATCTTAGTTTCAACAGTTTCTAAACAATTTGCTTAAACGATACCTCAAAAGAAAGTACAATAATTGAATATGTATTTAAAATTAAAAAGCTTTGAACAAAGAAAACACCCTCCGTGTTTTTTTTGTAAGCCTAAAATAAACAGCTTTTTTCCATTTTAAAATTTTACGATAATATTAAATATCTGTAAAAAAAATTGTTTGCTTATACAGATGCTTTGAACATTTTTTCTTAAATTGCTTTCACATTTGCTTTATCAAATAAAATCAAAAAGAATTCATTTATTATTTCAGTTAGCCATTATTTGGAACTAACTGTGTACTTTTAGGTTTTTTCCTTTAAAATCGTTAAAAATTATTAAAAATAAAATGGTCAAACTTCGCCTACGACTTCGAATTTTTCTTAATGTCTCCGTTAGCTTTCATTGAAAGCTTTGCACTCATCTTCCAAATACCCTGTATGTTTCCTGATATATAGTACTAATGTACTATGCCAACAAAAGAGGCATTGATGGACGAATGTGTGAAACGTTGTCTATGTCCATCAATGCCTATTTGTGGCCGCTTCATCTAGCGGCATGAAGGCGTTCCTTGGTTGCCATGATTCGGAATAAAAGATCGTTCCATTATTAAATTACAGGACATTTATAAGTAATTTATTTGACATGCTCAAAGTCTGCTGTGACAAAGTATAACTACTTTAATCGCGTAAAACAGTAATCACAGCATGATCACAGCGCACTTTGATGTTGGCGTTCAATCAAAGTCACCATGGACCGCGTTCACTTTTCGCCAACTCAAGCCAACTTTGATGTGAAATAACAAAACAAAATGGCGTCTAATGTAAAACCGGTTAAGTGCGAGTTGGACTTGCGCACGAGGGGTATCGTGCCATTATCTATACAAACATTAGACTCTATTCTACATTAGACACTTATCTATACATCTATACATATAAATAAAATTGGAGTGTCTGTTTGTATTAACCGCTTTTTACTACATGCATATGAATATATATACGGTAAATACACCAAAATAGTTCAAGATCAAATAACAAATGCCACGGCGACACTTTTCTTTAGTAAAACTATAAAATCAAGTTTTTATCATAAAAGATATGGTTTGTCATGAATGATGTTATTTACTTATTCGATATTTGTTATCAAGTAAAGGACAACAATACAGCTCTGCCGTTTGTAGTGAGAGAAAAGAAAACGCAGTCGGTTGCCAAGCGACGCGGTCTCGCCGTTTCGCTCGCGTTGCGTTGAAGCGTACACTTCTGTATCGCTCGCTCGCTTCAATGTTTATTTAAAGAAGTTTGCGTGTGTGAGAGTAGCTTATGTAGTTGAGTCGAAGCATATTATATTTGCCTTTGAGCAGCTCGATGGCGCAAGTGGTTAGCGCGTTCGGCTGCGATCATTGAACTTAAGCAACTTTCGCAGTGGTCGGTCATTGGATGGGTGACCAAAAATTACTATCTCGTGCTCCTCCGTAGTTCGGAAGGCACGTTAAGCCGTTGGTCCCGGCTGCATCTGCAGTCGTTAGCACCCACCAATCCGCACTGGGCCCGCGTGGTGAGTCAAGGCCCAATCTCCCTATTCCATCCATAGGGAAGGCCTGTGCCCCAGCATCGGGGACATTAATGGGTTGATATTATATTTGATGCTAGTATGAACGTACCGTATCTTCCATTTTTGTTTTAATCTAAGGCACTGAGGAGCTCGGTGGCGCAGGTGGTGAGCGTTCGGTTGCGATCGTTGAAGTTAAGCAACTTTCGCATTTGATGGGTGACCAAAAATCTTCTATCTCGAGTTCCTCTGTGCTTCGGAAGGCACCATAAGCCGTTGGCCCCGGCTGCGTCTGCAGTCATTAGTACCCGCCAAGCCGCACTGGGCCCGCGTGGTGGGTCATGGCCCAATCTCCCTATTCCATCCATACGGAATGCCTGTGCCCCAGCAGTGGGGACATTAATAGGCTGATGATGATGAAGGCAACACGCCACAAGATCTTGGTGACACTGTTATTTATGGCGTCATCATCCCTGTTGGTCGTCTTACCGTTACATCCATTGTCATTATCTTGAAAAGCACTCATACTGAAGCCAAGAGTGGATAAACCCTTTGATTGAATCTTCTGCAGGTAGTGGACTTTGTCAGCTGGCTCGTCTGCCAAGATATCTACTGCAGAATAAATATAAACGGCTCCACTGCCCGAGTCTTCGTATGGAGCTGATATTGCTATTTCTAAAAACAAAAAAAAGAACATAAATTAGCGAGCATCCGAATCCAGGGTGTTTGATAATTAACGATATCTTAACAAGTAACAAAAAAAACACGACGGGTTTTAGAAGTGAAAACTTGAATATTAACGTTGTGCATTTTTGATATTTTGGAATGGTTAGGGAATAATTTTGCACGAATTGCTTTAATATCAGTAACACTTTATATACACGAATTTTACGAATACACAGCAGTGTGGCCACTACACAGACGGTCGAGCCATCAGCTGTCACTATCCATGGATCCGCGAGACACGCTGCAACACACGAACATTCGCGCAAGCGCCCTGCCGCCTAAACGAAACAGCAGGCGCAGGCATACATTTCGCCGCGCTGTAGTAATAAGGAGTAACTTAGTGTTTGGCATTTCTGTGCGAGACGGAACGCACCAAGGTAAGGTTCGGCTCGGTCACCAATCCGTATGGTGCTACATCACGCGATATCAAAATCGACGTTGCCATTGGTCGCTAAATATTGTTCCCAACCCCTCTTCCGCGAATTATGTAACAGATTTTTTTTGAATACAATATACGCTATTAGACTTTCAAAGATATCACATCTTTTATTTAAATATCCAAAATCTCAGTCTGAAAAACTCTGTAGCTAAGCTATACGAAAACCAAGTACCGGTGGTCGCTATCCGGCACACTTAGGCTACCTTTATTTTTCTGTCAAGCGTGAACTGGCATATAATTTCTAACCCGATCGCGATCCCGATACGTAACAGTGTGATATTGCCAATACTTGTCATTCGTCAATGCTAATGTAAATTATGGTGGAGATGAATAAATTAATAGCGTGGGAGTAAGAATGATACTTGCCATCTTTCATGTCACCATCCAAGTCACCCAAGTTCAAAATGGCACTCCCAAACCGTCCTCGGTCGGCGGTACCCAATATAGTTCTATGGTGCACTACGTCCTGTAAAATGAAACCATGTTTATAAAGAGTGTCATTATTCCAATTTTGGTTTCTCAATTATTTGGTGGGAAACATCTATTGCTTACGAGCGCTAGAGTCACTTTTTTCAGTTGGTCTGAATAATTATTGGTTCTGCTGGACGCGTCCTTTCGCAATGGCCGGTCGTCGGATGGGTGGTCAAAAGGTTTTTATTACATAGAGCTCACTCGTGCTACGGAATCGAAATGGACGCTAAGCCCTTCATCACGGCTAGCACAATTGCTTCGTCAACATAAACGTGGGTCATGGCCCATTAAGGTCTAAGCCCACTGACACGACGCCCGCAGCCCCTTCCCGGCAAAAATAATACATATACTTTAAATATAGGCTTTAGGTATTGTTCTTTAGATATTCTTTGCATTGGCAACATAAATTAGCAGAAAGCTCTCTATAAGTGGGCTTACGGTCGTCAGTCTAGTCGATAGTTGAAGACTTGCTTACCACGCACTGCAAGCAAGCTGCATGTGCGGTGTCCGTGAGCTGACTGCTAGCAGGCCATTTTCGCATTACTACCAAGCAATCCGCTGACAGCTAGCTGTCGGCGCTTGGACAGCTGGGTGCCTGTTAGCTGTCGTCGTAATGACTGCGAGCAGTCACCTTAGTTTAGGGTGGTGTTGGGTGGGAGCAGTGTTGGAGCAGAATCGTTTAAGTGGGCTTAGATCTTTTTTAAGTAAGTACTGAAAGGGACATATATAAGTATATTTATATAGAAATACATATTAAACATCCATGACTGGAGTAAAAATGCTCGTATTCATCAAACAAACATCTGACCCCACCGGGATTCGAACCCGGGACCTCTCGAGTCGGCGACACCTTGAAACCCAGCGTACAAAATACTCGACCACGGAGGTCGTCAAATCTTTATCTCTATTATTTCTATAAGGAGAGAGTTGAGTATCGGGTCTTCCTTAATATAGTTAATTATCTATTTAAAATGGATTTCATGATTCAATACAAACTTACTTGATATTGCACATCGAATTGATATACGTATACAGCTCCGACATCCACCATTTCCTTCTGGAAGTATAGCGGGGCACCAACTAACAAAGCCTCTCTCTGGTTCAATCCGCGGAGCTTGGCCGAACATAACGACGCTCCGAACAGAGACCCAACCGGTGGATAATACTCCCTGGGGTTACGTAAAGCCGTGTGCGCAGCGCCATTTGTAAAAATCACCTGTAATCATATCACCTCATTTTTGTTTTATTTTTTTTACTTGCTAAAGGACAATGTTAAAATTGGCCTAAGAACCAACACCAATTTGGCATTTATGATAATTCTTAGTATATTTTTTGCGATAATTATCAGTATTTAGATTGTGACGGACACTTCCAGCTTACCTAAGCTAAATTAAAAAGTTAAAAAATAAAATGAGACAATAAATACCATTTTATGTGTATAATCTATGGCAGCGCTGCAAACAAAACACTCTTTCTTCCTAATGCCGGCACTTCACTTGGCTATTCGTATTTGCTATCTTAAAACATGACATCAGTCTGTCCTTTTCATTCCTTATCAAGCATGACAAGGACAAACTGTTGTCAAGTGAAGGGCTGGCATAAAAATCGTTACTCTGTGGCTGTGGTGCATGCAGTTTGCATTCGTAGTAATCTGTGGCATTCGTGCATTCCAAAGAGTAGTGTATAATATACCGGAAAGTGCATTCTCGTTTCGGATTACCTGTTGTGTGTGTTTATTTGCGATTGTTTTTCCTTTAATTTAACTATTTCGGCTATCTAATATGCCATCGATGTTACCAAAGAGCAGAGCCCATATTACCAAGTGCTAGTGAACCTGTGCCATAACATCCTGAGAGGATCATACTGCCAAATTATTCAAGAACACCTGATACACAAATAATAAATACAATAAACAATATGATACAATTATGTAAAAATAGTCAATAAATAAGAAGCAAAACTACAGTTTTTATTTTATTCATGATTCCTACCTAACCAAGTTTTTCCTAATAGTTATTTTTTAAAATCGCACCGAATAAAATTAATAAGTTGTAATATTAATTCACTTCATACTGAGTTCATACTAAATTCATAGGTTGAACTATGTTTCATTGAATATTAAACATAACCTCAAAAGAAATTTTAGTTTTCCTAATAATTTAAGTTCTCAGAAGTGTCCGTCAATAATCTTTGTTTTTACAGTCATTTACTTACGATTTTGAACCTAGAAAATAATATTTCATGATTGTTGGTTCTTAGGCTAACTATGTATGGACGCTGAACAATGTCCTTTATATATACCGTACATATTGATATTATTAAAACGAGAGTGCACACTCTCGCAATGTCTGTATGTTTGTTACCTCTTCACGTTTAAACTGCTCAAGAGATTTAGATTAAAAAAATGTAAACAAATTTTTACTAGAAAAAAATCCACGCGGCCAGGCAGCTGACGGGCCTCGAACCCGCACCCACTATCCGGGCGGAAGCACTGTTCAATTACGCTACCGCGACCTTAACGGCCGTGTCGAATTCCTTCTAGCACTTCTTAGGCTGGAAGGCAGTGCTATCTCTTCGCATTTTAGGTAAACGAAGTCGCAGGCACCCACTAGTTGAATATCTTTATTGACGGGGCTAGTACCGGCTTTTTGTTTTTAATTCATTGACGTATAAAATTAAGCAGACTCCCAATCGCTTAACAAAAGTGCATCAAAAAATGTCCGAACGGCGTTTAGCAGAAAAAAGTAAAAGTTAAGGAAAAATAAGTCACTCCCGGCGCCGCCGTCAGGAATGGTGCCCTGGAAGCATTGCCACGTTGAATGGCAAGGCTGATCCGTTGACCAAGATAGCTGGCAGCCTTTTGATCACCAGTAACCTCGGTGAGTCTCTTTGATAATTCCTTTAATAAGGAACGAGAGCATGGACCCCATGGGCCCATGGTCTCAACACCAAATGGCACAAATATATAGTTCTCATTGAGAGCTGAATATTTGCGCCGTTTGGAGCACTCAGCAGAGGCCGCCACCGCGCCTGCAGCAAGGGAGGTGCTCCCTGTATGGCACGGAGCAAGCGTATCAGATGTAGTATACAAGAACCGGTAAGACTGTGCAGCAGTTACAAAATAACTCAGACTTATTATTACAAACATTCACCACGCAAAGATAATGAAATCGACAGGCAGAGAAAACATTAATAGAGTGAGCATTTGCATACAACAAATCGGATTACATTTTGAACATTTGGTACATTTCGTTTTTTATTACTTTTTGTTGAATATTTTTGATAAAATGTGTAATTTTATGACTTTTCTTTCATTTAAAATGCTATGTTATTGAGCAAAAAATAATTGTTATGATTAACTCTTTCGATGGTTATCATAAAACATGTAGTGTTTTTTTTCGAAATTTCACGAGTTCGATTCCCCGTTTTAGCAGGCGATTTTAAGAAAATCTGTGAATGCAGTCAAGTTATAATTAAAAATTTTCAATATTTAATATACTTTCCCTCCGTGTGAGGTACCCATGGGACGCCCGGTAAATACGTCATACGTCTCGTAAGTATGATAGTGATGTTATCAAACATCTATAAAATATCCAAAGTTATTATCGTTACTACGTACAAAATAAAATTACCATTCCTTCACCGTATAGCCCATACGGTGAACTTATTGCGTATTGCATCTTGCGTTCATCGGTGGATTTAAATTGTCCTGAAGTAATACTGTAACCTAAAAAATATATAAAAGTAAGAAAATTCATAAAATGTTTTGTGACATTGTAAAAATGAATAGGTAAATAACAAAAAAAGCTAAAATATTTTTCGATTTATTTTCCTTTGTTAGTGATAAACAATATATATTTTTGTGATTGTTCGTCTCGAAATATTGTAGTTCTATTTTTGCATTCATTATCACTAATATAAAATTATGCAAATAAGAAATTCGAGTGTGAGTGTGCGAATATTTCTAGTAAAATATACTTACCGAAGTTGTAAGCAACCCTGAATGGATTTGCCATCATTTTTGGATACGACGTTACATTAGAGTAAAATATCGCTCGACCTTAAATAGAAAACAACATTTTGGTGGATTTAAATGAGTAATTATTTAAATAGGTTGACAGAGCCTAAAACCTATGATAAGTAAAAAAAATAAACATAAACATGCTTAATAAAATGACATTTAAAGAAAACTATATTACTAGAAAGAAATCAACTTCGCCCAAATATTTTTCTCGTTTACTTTAACAAAATAAAAAATAAAAAAATGATTGACTATCTGACAATCAACGCACAGCCCACAGCAATGAGTCAAGAGACTCCAAATTTGGCACGTGGGTTCCTTATGAGGTCTAGCGGTGCACTAAGAAAGGGGTTTTCAGAATTCGAAACCCCGAAAGTGTTCAATTTAGTTGTCACCCCAACTGAACGTGCGTACAAAATTTCAGCTGAATCGAATGAATATATTTGCTTCAAAATTGAGCATGATTCAACCCGAAAAAACATACATTGCAAGTTAAATAAAAGCTTTTAATAAAAAATCTCATTTCGAAAATCTACCTCCCAGAAGGTAAAAAATAATATCATTATTTTATATCTCGAGCTCATATTTTTTCTTTACCTGTGTGCATTGCTGGTCCGCCGACCATTATAGAATCGTGTTTGTCAACGTAAGTAGCCCAACCAAACGAGTCCATGTACTTTTCTGTAAGTATAATTTAACATAATTAAATTCATTATTTATTTACCATTGAAGCGTTAGTGTAAGAGTTGGTTTAATAGCTAAATGTTTGGCGTAATACAAACAATAATATTCTTAATACCCGTATTATAAAAAGATTCTCAGTGATTGATCTAGTCTTGAGCATAGTTAGAAAGGGATGTCGTTATATATAGCGCATAGCGATATCCCTTTCTAACTGTACTCAAGTAAAGATCTTAGTTGTCATTCTGTAATACGGGCCTTAGATACGTTCTTATCCCTCGTTTACACCAAGGCATTATACATGGATATAAAAATGTTTATACAATGACTTAAATTTTTGTTCACAATTCTTAACATGTTTAAAACATGTAGTATACAAAACTTGCATCAAACTTGTTGGATACACAAAATATGTGATATTAAATAGTATTTCTTATTATACTTATAAAGATACTCGTTGCAGTGTAAACGCAAGAATGTACCAAAATGTTTTCTAGTTTTCTGTAAAACTAGTATAAGTATGACTGGTTTTTAGTGTAAACGAACGGTTACATATCCTTGTACATGCTGTCTGGTTCTTGGTTTGAATTCTGTGACACAAGATAGGCAGAAGAAATATTTAAATAAAGGATATAATAGAGATTGAGACATTGAATTTCATTCCTAACTTATTTCAAAGGTTAAATATTTTTCACCTTAATACACCAAGTTTGTAAAGAAACAAATAATTTTGGGTAATAATAATAATTTTTAAGCATTTATCTGCTAGATGTTTAAATCTAAAGAAAATTTTGTTTAATATTATGTACGATCAGACAATTTGATTGCTAACCCACCTGATAAGTTTATTTTGTAGAACAATTTGTAACCGTTACATAACAATGAGGTAGTTAGACTTTCGCTTAAATATGCGTATCCATGGAAACAAACTTGTTATTTTGAGAACTGACGTGACAGCTTTTGCCCTCTCCCTGTGTCATATTGTTGAATTTTTTTTGTAGAAAAAGTCTCTTTAAAAAAAATTCTGGCGCTTCGTCGGCCGCTGCCGCGACACGCTCGCTTCGCTAGCTCGGCTCGCACGTTATGGTCACAACACTAACCTAACCTAACCTGGTAAGAAGTATCACCACTTAGGTCCTGGAAGTACAGTTAGCCTTTTTTTCCTAATGTCAAGAAATCGAGAGTTTCCGTTATATTTACGATTTTAAAAGTTATACAGAAATTTAAATTACTACCTACGAATTTCATCTAAAAGATTATTTACTGCATTTAAAACAAAGGTCAAATTACAAAGACCTCATCATTATCATTATTACGGTTTTCCTGTTATTTGAAGGTGTTACGTGCAATTACTCTTTCTTTAAAGAAGAAAACTTGCCGGTTTTGGAATTTTTAAGCAAGTTGTCGGAAAAGTGGGCCAGTTTCTTCGATTGTACTTATATATTATAATATATTTGACTATTAAATAAAACTAGTTTTAACGGGTTAATGCACGAACTTTATTTATTTATTGACGTTTCGCAGCCTTTTCAGGTTTGCATCGTCAGAATAACAACAATTAACCCGTTAAAACTAGTTTTATTTAATGAGTGACGTGCATGAAAACCTAAGAAACAAATATATTTAACTATGTTAACATACCGTATGGAAAGAGGTTAACCCCTTTGTTTTTGATGTTTAAAATCTTCATTTGTGTCACGTTACCCGAAGAAGCAGTATAAACGTAACATCTGCCGAAAGTTCCTCTCTCTAAAACAACATTTAACATACTAAATGATGATTGAAATTGTAATGAAATACAAACATAGGTAAAGAAAAATTGTTACTAACATATATGAGACCAATGTCTTGAAATAAATGATTTTTATTTTATTTTTATTACTACCTATTCAATAAAAAAAGAATCAGAAATCGGTATAGAAACACCAAACTTATACATGAAATAAGCCATCGCGCCGTCGCACGTGAATACTGAATCACGCTATAAGGATTATTTTTGTGTAACGGTTGCCGCGCTCGACACGGGTCGCGGCGGCGGTAGGTATAAGAAGAATGCCATTGTGTATAATACAGGCCTGAGAACAATAACTATAGTCTACACTTCAGCTCTACACCGATGCGAAGCGAGGGCGGGCCACTAGTACTAAATAAAACTAAAAAAAGTTTTAATTTTTGTCAAAAATGTTTTAATTTTCTACCATTTCCAAGCCCGAGGAACATCATCACTTAAACTCATCTCATCACTCCCGGACACATCTATCAGCCAACTTATTGTTATAAGTTTCAGCGGTCCGGTCTATTGCAAAAATAAATGTTTGCGCGGCCATTCGGAGACGGGTTCCGCGACCACACCCGCCCTCTCGGCACGCACTGGGGGGACTGCGGTCCTCATAGTGCGTGTCGGGTGACGGTGCAGGAGTATTGTCTGGTTTTTAGTGGCCCTGTTCAGGGCGTAGGTAGGGCTCTGTTCACATCAGCGAGCTCCAGGACTGGCTGAAGGGGTCAGGGAGGAGTCCCACATACCTTCTTCTCGCTCCCCCAGTGGTTAAAGGATGCGTAAGGCATTTTTCAGACACAAAAAAAAAAGGTTGAGCTATAATAACATATTTTTTTAAAACACACGAAAAATATGGTAAGTATATCAGCTTCAAAACTGCGTAAAACTTTTTGCTCAATGTAACTTAATTTTTAGTTAGGGACCGTCAAAATTTAAAATGCTAGGCAGCCTGGAAGGTTGCAGTGAATCGTACGCGAACTGCAACTTTTTCTGACATTTCGTATGGCGCTAAACATTTGACAGCTAGTTGAGATGTAAACGTATCACGATTGGATCGTACTCCAGTGGACTTTAGACATAAACGTAAAGTAGATTTCAGTTGACAGATTAATAGTTGACAGTTTTCGTATGAAGTCAAGTTGCAATTAGAATTGGACTAAGATTGAACCATGATTGAACTTAGCCGGATCGTTTAAAATAATTAATAGTGCGATTGACCTGCTAATAGTTGTGTCTGGAAGCTTATTTAGTGCGAGTTACATAACAATGAGGTAGGTAGACTTTCATCTTATCGTTAACTGTTATGTCATGTAAAAGTCTTAGGAAAATTTAACTTTTACTAGCCCATTAACTAAGACTTCAATATGGCAGTTAAAACTTTGTTTCGACGTGGGGAAATGCATGAATACCCGTTCACTAAAGCAAGAAGGTGAGCGAGTTATGTTGGACTCTCCCTTGCCCACCCACTAAACGAAAACAAAATTTCCCCCTAGGCGGTAGGCATGGACCTACCGACTAAACCCAACGTTGTTTCGTCCTCAGCGATGGGTTTTAAAATCGAAGTAACAGCCAGGCCTTGTCTTCGAAAATTCCACAAGTCATCACTACGTCCATATCCAGATCCATCTTCGCCAAGGTTTCTCCGGTCTCCTCCACCGGGCGATGACATTCAAACCTAAACTAAGTTGTTGAAACTCACGCTTAATTTTTAAAAGTGATAAAAGAGGAACGGTATACGTAATACCCCCTCCCCCCATCCACTCTGCTTCCTCATTAGTCGCCGACTCGAGAGGGCCCGGGTTCGAATCCCGGTGGGGGCAGATGTTTGTGTGATGAATACGAGCATTTATACTCCAGTCATTGATGTTTAATATGTATTTCTATATAAATATACTTATATATGTACAATATATGTATTGTATCCGTTACCCTAGTATCCCATAAGACAAGCCATACAGTGCTTGGCTTGTGCTGGGGCTAGGCTAATTGGTGTGCGTGTTGGTAATATTTATTTATATATTAGTAGTTAGCCATCGACAGTTAAACAAAGCAATATTACTTATTACAAATATTTTGCTATGCTCCTTTGAAGAGTTCCATTCCACTTCTGCGAAGTCCTCTAGCAGATCATGTCAACTTTTCTATGGGACCACCCTTGCGATAACAAGAAGGAATTTGAAATTCGGACCTGCATTTGAATTACTTCTGATAAAAGGACTCAATCAATTTATCCCACCTCGTTGCTTTTAACATATACATAACTGTAGTTAGGTGCTATCTGTCTTATTGAAGCTCAGATCAATTACAAAAATATTATAGAAAACCGGCCCTAAATTGACGGAGAAATCAGGGGAAAAATATGCAGTTGAATTGAGAACCTCCCTTCTTTTTGAAGTCGGTTGAAAGCAATTTAGCGCCAAAATTGCAGCAGTTGTCTGTCTCATATCTGTCATTGCCGTAGTTGTCTCACTGAAGACTATAGCTGAAAGGCCAAACAAGTCTAAAATCGTAGCGATACGAGACTTCAGTTAAATTTTGAAGTAATTCAACATTATAGAAGAACGGGCGCTATTATTTTTTACCCTATGTTCTACCCCATAGTACGACCGCCCTTAGTTCCGACTTCAAAAACGTTACGTGAATCCTCCCAGTAGCTTCTATTCAAAAGACTGACGATTTGGACACGACCAAACGACTTCTAGTCGTTTGTTAATTTTTTGAAATGAAAACTTCTTTAGTACCGTCTAGAATTGAAACTCGATGAAACGCAAATTTAACAGTATTTGACACAAGGTATCCGTAATTTTGTAACTCTCTGCAAGAGACAGATAGCCGAACGGTCTTGGGGTCGACACCAAATGATCGGTGGTTCGATCCTGAGCTCGGTTACTTTTTAATTGTTTTTTTTTTCTTTTCTTAAGCTATTATTTATTCTTTCGACACAATATAAGTGTAGAATATTTAAATTTGCCCAGTATTTTACAGTACCTAGTCATGAATGAAGGACTCTTAAGTGTTCACATTTTTATAGGTTTCACTTCTATCGCATGTGAACAGTACCTGCCCGTTTTTTGCTGCCCTAGCCGATTGCTTTACATAGAGGCTTCAAGTATGGTGGAAGTATTACATAAGGTGCAAGGTTGCCTACGGTAAGTTATTCTGCTGCGCTTGAGTAAATCCAAATATCCCCCGCTTGTGCTTAAGATTTATGGAAATTATACATAAATTGATACATTTCAATGTATGTCAAAGCTCTTAAAACAACACTCACTAGTAAAGATATCCTCAGGTTTCGCTTCTTCGGTGAATCTCGGTGCGCACATCTGGAAATGATATCAGATTATAGGCGTGATCCTATATGGGTCCTACTGAGAGCTATCAACGACATATTAAGTATTAGACGAGGAGCTCGGTGGCGTTGTGCTATCGTGCAAGTTAAGGGACATTCAAAATGGCCGGTCATAAGATGGGTGACCAAAAACTTATTGTTTCGAGATCTTCTGTGTTTGGTGCTTAAGCCGTTTGTCCTGGATGTATCTGTAGTTGTTAGAACCCACCATTCCGCACTGGGCCGCGTGGTGGGTCATGACCCAATATCGCTATTCCATCCATAGGGAAGGCCTGTGCCTCGGCAGTGGCAACATTAAAAGGCTGATGATGAAGCATTAGATAGTGAGCTAATGAAAAATAGTAATAAATTATCAAGAGCCCTTACGACGGTGAAATCGTTGCCTGTTGCGACTGTAGCACCCAACCACATGTCCGTGAAACCAGCGGAATCTGAAAAGATAATAAATAAGGTATATAAAATAGAAAAAATATACAGCCGAACACAGAACCTACTCCTTTTTTGAAGTCGGTTAATAAATCAACTCTATAGCCAAATAAAAAGGGGTTTTTCCCATGTCGAAGAGTAAAACACATAATGACATTACAGTTATAGCTATTAACGAGATTGTTACTATGTACCTTGTTTTTTAAGAGTCTCCGATATTTCGGCACTGTTGCAAGCTGTGGTTGCAAGCGCCATGATCACTGTGTAATTGTTACTCCAAAAAACCAAGGTACATGGTAACAAACCCGTTAATAGCTATAATGCTAGTGACTATGAAAGTTTAAAACATTATAACATTACAGTTTGATTGTAAAGAGACAGAATTTGTGAACGGCTATTATTACAGTACCATAAGACTCTACACTTTGTACGCATGACATCTGTAACACCGCTGCACCATTTAAACAAAAAATGCTTCATTTGCGACTGATTTGGAAAGCTGAATGTATACATGTTGGCCAAGCGAATTTCATTATTGGCGTATGGACAGCAAAGTATAACCTTGTTGTTATTGGCGAATAAATGGTAGCGCCAACCTGTATATACCTCATTTGGCTAAAATCGAAGGTGCCTTTCCAACAATAAACACAAAACGATGGCTGCATAGCTTTACCTCTTACAATAGATTATAAGAATAATAATAATAAAAAAACCTTTATATCACATTGTTTTTTTTATTCTTCCGATTTTTAGACTACAAGGGAGCCTTAACGACCAATAGTTATTTGGGATATGATTTCGTTTATATTTTGTGAAGTACGCGCTTGGTTCTCTCTCTTCAGACACAACAAAGACGTTATTATAAAAATAAATACTTATTACATGCTACAGTATAGAAAATAAAAGAAATTTTCTCACCTTTTTTTATGTGATCTAGGACGATTTCCTTACATGGGCCGTTCGTCGGTTTACAACTAAACACTTGACCGACTGAATTCCCACGTGGAGCGCTCACGATCAACCTAAATTAACAAATTTTTACTAATAGAATGGTATCGATTCTGGCAGGGTTCTCTATACTTAAAACTAAATTCAATATAAGTCTCTCCTTTTCATTATGTATAGAGAATGACAGGGATACACTGTTGTCAAATTGAAATTTAGGTTAAGAGAATCATGACAGAATCGACACCAATAACTCTGTTGCAAACAAAAGTCACTACAAAGCTATATATATAAAAATGAAACCCGTTTTCCGTTGTCACGACATAACATGAGAACGGCTTGACCGATTTGGCTGATTTTTTTTTTGTAGTTTTCTAATACTCTGTACAAGGTTCTTACGGAAAAAAATATAAAGAAAAATAAAAAAATTGAATAGGTACTCATACATAAGATAGGTCAGCTATACAAAATAAAGTAGTGCATCAAAGCTACGCTAAGGCGGTACGAAGTTCGCCGGGTCAGCTAGTAATGTTATAAAAATTACAAATTAACATGATGATTAAGTAAAACTTATTTTTTTTATAAGTATTATTACTACGTAAATACCTATAAAAGAAACGGTTTTTGAACAAGTAGACTATTGTCTTTTTATGGAAAAATCGTATAAGTCATAAGCTCTAAGGATCGGGTTACTATTCCCGATCTCATCAATATATGTGTAGTTTAAGAGAAATGTGGCACAGTGTGATGAACCTGCAGGTCTCAAATTATTTCTAGTGAGTAGTGTAGGTAGCGGAAAACTTTTTAAGCAAAATCGCAGACAAGTAAACTTGTGCGCAGTAGACGTACTCGTATGTAAAATTGCTACTGCGCAGGCTCCGTTGTCCATGGTTAATGCTCAAGAAGTTTGCCCGAGGTGAATAGCTTCACGGGGCTGGAAGATGGTTTCAGGGGTTCCTACGGTGAGAATGGTTGGCGTTCTGCCATTCTACCTTTTGTTATGCTTTGCTTCCGCATCAGCTGCTTTTAAAGACACATTTACCACTTTCACTCAACATCAAGATGGGTAGATAAATGTATTGAGCCTTGTGTATAGAAAAAAATATATAAATACTTGGGAAGAGTACTAGATAGTTTCACCAAAGCTTAGATTTTTTCATATGAATAGCCTGCTGCCTCTGAACGTGACCTGCTTTCAAACAAGCTAGTAGCTTAATGTTCTTAGGTAAGTTTATACCAAACTATTATAATGTGGAGAATAAAATTTACAAAACAACAAAAGGTAGATGGAACGAAAGCAAATACGAAGACAAAAGTTAATACTTTTTTTGAATTTGTAAACAGTTTTTGCAATGTTTAGACAACGCGGATAAAAACTTAATATTGACGGGACGTATTTACAACACGACGCGTTGTAGTGTACTGATGCGAGTTTGTATTCGCTTCTGATTCGTATTTACTTTAGTGGCCGCACTTGCGTATTCGGTGCGTTCCATCTGCCTTTTATTCTGTATTGAATACACCTATCATACCTTTGGATGTAATTATGGTATTAGGACATTGTATGTTTATGTGTTGGCAATTAGCTAACTGTTTCAGAATCTTTAATCGAAGTTTTAAATCATGGGAGTAGATAAAGAATATTATGTGTGTTAATACTAACCTTTGTAGTTTTTTTTGATAAGCGATACTGTATCCGAATAATCCGTCTGTTTTAAGCCCTTTTGGCGCATTGATCTTCAATACAGTTTCCTCGTGGTATACACCACTAACTCTCGCCCAGAGACTTACCGTCATTATTGATATATAAACTGAAAAGGCGAAAAATATTTTATATACTTAAACATTTACAATTTACAACCAAGATTATGACTACAGTTAAACCTTTGGATTTTTACATTGCATTTACTGGTAACTTTTGATAATCATCATCATCATAGGCTTATTAATCCCCTTACTGCCGGGGCACAGGCCTTCCCTATGGATGGAATAGGGAGATTGTGCCATGACCCACCACGTGGCAGTGCGGATTGGTGAGTGCTGACTATTGCAGATGCAGCCGGGTCCAAAGTCTTAATGTGCGTCCCGAAGCACGGAGGAGCTTGAGATAGTAAATTTTTGGTCACCCATCCAATGACCGACCATTGCGAAAATTGCTTAACTTCAACGATCGCAGCCAGCAGCAGCTATCCATTTGCACCATCATGCTCCTCAACTTTTTATAATACTATAAAAGTACTAGAGAATTATAAAAATAATTGATAAGTAAATTGCAGTCAGATAATTAGAATACATAAAGGAGGTGGAACATTAAAATTAAAAGTCACAAATAAAAATAATTAAATTATTAGTCTAAAAATATCACCACTTACATAAATACTGCATGTTGATGCCGTCATCTGAACAGAATTAATCACCTCTACTAACAAACATTCTTAGTCTGTCTATTAGTTTTCCTTAACAAACTATTAATAAATTGGATATTGGACTGAAAAACGTCATAAGCCAGTAATGCGCAATTTTTGTAACTCCTTGCCATTGGGAAATTTCGTATCAATACTTACCGAGCTGCGGCCAAATGTTCAGTGGTGAGTCGAAAGTAACATAGAAAGGTTTATTTATAGAAAATGTTTACTAAAATAAATCAACTTGACTCAGGTACTCAGGTAGCACCCTTCGCTATACGGGCGCAAAATAAAGCATTTTAACATATACTTAATAAAATTGTGGTGTGTCATCAATGTCATCATCGCGTAATTTTTGTATTTTCTTCAACATGAAAATGATGATAAATAACTATAATTAGTAAAACAAATAGTATTATGTGGTGTAATATTATGATTTTTTGGGCGACTGAGTAACAAACATACAAAATTTCACATTGATGATAATTAATAGGCTTCAACACAGATAACACGTAAACAGTGAATATTCTAAATTTTTTTAAAATGTTACTTATACTCTTTGACCGAGAGGACGAGTTTTAAATTTTCCTTAATAGTGGAAGTGTTATTTCGTAACGGTGTGAAATAATACAAATTTGCATCTCATACCATATTATTAGATACTAGCTGTCCTACCGAACTTCGTACCGCTTTAAAAAAATAGGGCTTGGTGGTAGTATGATGAAAAAGGGTTGTATGTATTTTTGTATGATGTATCATAAAAAAATAAAAACAAAAAAAATGTCTTAAAAAAATTTTGGACGAGCCGTTTCGGAGAAGTTCATGCACACCATGACACGAGAATTTTATATATTAGATTATTTTTTTATGAATAATCAGAAATAGTATATGTATAAGTATACTTGTTATGTAAACCTATAAGTTAAGTTAATTATTTCAAAAGCTGGTACATACATATTAATAAGAAAGTAAAATATTTAACGTACATACTCATCATAAATTCGTATATTTTTATTTTGCTGATAAAAGTATTTTAACAACTTAAGTTGACATCAAACTGTGACGTCACGCCAAAACTTCCAAAATAGCGCGCGTTTAAAATGCCCGCGCAAAGTGGCTATTTTCAACATTATTTTTAGACTTGATACACTACTATTTCGACGTTGAATTTTTATACTATATTAAGGGAATGTAAACTATGAAAAAATATATATATAAAAAAATCATGCATACCTGTGGTTTGTCTACGTATACTATATACTAGAGATTTCATGGAACCCTATAGAAAGTGGTCAGGTGGTGTTAAACTGCACGATGTCGGTGGCCACTCGATTACGACGAGACGATTACCACACGACATGTAGAAATTCTTAAACTTCTGACTTATAAAATTTTATGTTTCTTGTACAGTATGTACTATGACGCCGTCCTTTGGGCACCGCATGTTTGAGAGAGCCATTAAATCAATCCTAGGACATATATCATTGTCAGATATCAGCCATCATTTACAGTGCACTCCTTGCGCATATTTGAAGAAAAAACATCCTATAATACCTCCGATACAAAATCCATTCGAAACAGTGACTTCCAGTGGGAAGAGGCACCTGTTGCATCTGGCGTGGTTTGTCGTCGCTCTAAATTGTCTCAAATTTGTTTATTAGGTGATAGAATGTGCACAACGGCCGTGAAAGCCATAAAATGTTTGCAACTTACGTTAACTTAGGCAAACAGAGAATTGATTAGGATAATAAATTTTAACAATTTGTACGCGTTTAAGCATGTAGCGATTCATTAGGAAGTGTTACTACTCAATATTATTATGTATTCCCGCTGTCGAACTTCGAGTGTGCCTATTGAAAAACCCTATATTATTTGTATTTTTTCATTTCTCGAAATGTTAAAATAACCCATTACTTCCTTAAAAACCCACAAACAGAAAATCATTCTAAATGGAAATCAATGTTAACAAATTTTTGGTTCATGTTTTTTTTTTATTATGAACGATCGAGTATATACACACATCAAAAGTGTCTAGGAATCAAAATATATTTTTGCAATAACTTTTCTCCTGATTGATATTAATTAAAATTTTCTTTAAGGATTCATCAAATAAAGTGTTTTCGTTTGTCACAGTAACGATAAACCAAGTCACCTTTGCATTAATAAAGAAATTTGCCATTTTCCTAATAAAGGGATTTTTGACATTTGAACCACTAACACAAAAGTTCGAAAAAAAGACTGAAATAACAGTTTTCTCTAAAATTTTATTGGGTAACTTAAACAATTAATAATCCGTATTTCTACCGCGAACACTAACAACACAAGAACATCGGTTTGGCATACTCAAAATGAGTTCATCCAAATCACGCTGTGGAATGGCCGCCCATGTTCGTTGCAACAACAAAAAAAGGTCTTCTTGCGACTGGATACCCTCCATATTCGGCAGAGCTCTTCTCTGTAGCATATCCCATGCATGCTCAATCGGGTTCAAGTCTGGCGACTGAGCAGGCCAGGGCAGGACATTGATGTTAGCTGCGGCGAGAGTCTGTCTTACAACTCTTGCGGTGTGCGGTCGTGCATTATCATGCATTAACTGAAATAAGGGACCGATTTGCACTTGTAGAGGAACGATGACGTCTGATACAATCGTCTCAGCATAAATTTGAGCGTTGAGGTTGCCTCTGATCCAAATCAACTCAGTTCTTCCGCCGATCCAAATACCCGCCCATACCATGATGGTTCCACCACTATAAGGATGGACTTCCTGGCAGGATTTTAATCGCTGTTGGCGTCCAGGGGTTCTCCAGTGTCGTATACGTCTTGTATCCGGTCTCATACCAAAACGAGACTCATCAGAAAAGCACACGAAACGCCATTGTTCTTCTGCCCAATTTCTGTGTTCAAGAGCCCATTGATATCGAATCCTACGATTGTGCATTGCTATAGGTGGTACCCGTAGCGGTCTTCGGGAATGAAGGTTCACTTCATGCAAGCGGTTTCTGACTGTTTGGTCGCTAATTAAGTTCCCTGAAGAGTGATGAAGCCTCACGGCTAACATCATGGCGGTTATTGTTGGAGCTCTTCGAGTTAAGATTTAAATGTATCGGTCTTGTCTCCGTGTGGTGCAGCGATACCGTCCTCCATGGCGCTCAGCCACGGTACCAGTGCTTCGGTATCGTGTCCAAAGTCGACTGATAACACTCTGACTTGTATTCAGAGCTAAAGCCACAGTACGTTGCCGGGAACCAGCTTCTATCATTCCCACGGCTCTGAGCATTTCTTCCCTGCTTAAATGACGTCGCCGCTCCATAATAACGTTGGTTTTAATCAGTAGTAGGGAAACAGTAGCACTAATAATGTCTTCAATGCGTTGTATGTTTTTATAGGGAAAATATTGACAGCTGATTTTCATCTTTTACTCGAATTTGATTCACAGTTCCTGATTCAAATTATGAAATGCACCAAAAAGGATCCATATAAATTTATAAAATCATAAATTTATTACAAAGCCACATCTCAATCTCAAGAAATCCGCATAAAAATGCTTGATCCCTAGACACTTTTGATGTGTGTATTTTGAAAATATTTTCCCCGTTATTTTCCTGTCTACAGTTTTGTGGTTGTTACAGGATAATTAGTAACGTAATTTGTTATAACGTACCTATTATTCATTATTTGCTGTGTAGTATGCCACTTGTAAATTAGTGTTTTACACAAGTGGATAGAAAAGTGTAATTATGTGCTCATAACTTGCATCAACAACTAATTAATATGGCCGAATTTTATTGTGAGTTAATTTCTCCTATTTTACGCACACACGTACACAGACATTTATCGTGTGAATTCGGAATCTGGTAAGACGAACGCTTGCCAAATTTCGAGTCACTTCCAATATCATATTTTGTTAAACTATATAACTGCTATTCACATTCACGCAAGAAGTTTTCCAAGAGATCCACGCAAGAATCAAATTTAATTGGCGCTGATATTTTTTGTGATAACTGCGATCAGGAAGGAAATTATATCTCTCGGGGATCGGGGAAATATATTTACACAATTATACTATTAATAAATCACCAATTTATCTATATTATATAGCTGCCAATTTGTCAAAAATATTGTTGGTACTCTGTCGCGGCAAATACATTCTTTCTATGTTCTAACCTAAAATGGTATTATTTAAAAATATTCAAATATGAAAGTTATCATTTACCTTACTTTAAAAAGTAAAAATAATAAAAGGTAGGGCATAGCGGATTTACCGCTCGAATTGGAGCGCCTGTCTGGGGAAGAAACCTCCACCTCCGATCACAGTAAAATAATGAAATTTGGTATTTTATGTAGAATGCTTGCCGAAGACCGAAAATTTAATTAAAAAATACAACCTTGAGCTGGTTGAGTAGAATATAAACATAATTTTTATATTTTCAAGAACGAAGAAATGGTCAAAGTTGTCATTTTTAGACCATTTTTGTTACGGAACAGAAATGGTCTGAAAATGAAAACTTCGACAGACCCCATTTCTTCGTTCTTGAAAATAAAAATGACAACGTGTATCTCAAAATCTAAACTAGTTATGAATTTGAAATTTTTGTATATGCTGATATCTCATATCCTGTATTTGTAAGTATATTTAAGCACTTGAAAAGATGATCGCTTCAGATGAAGCGTGTAAGGCCCTTCTGGCCATAAGCATGAACTACGGGTGTGTTTTAGTCAGGAAAAGTCTGACATAATCTTGCAGCCGGCTGTAGGATAGAATAGGTAGGATGAGGATTTCACACCGCTTCCCCGCCTGGGAGTAAACAAAAAAAACACGGCGGTTATCATTCAGAGTTTGAGACGCAGTTTGACTTTGATCTATGTATTTTAGTTGAGATACATAAATTGATATAAATTGGTTTTTCTTATTTCCGATTTAGAAAATAAAGACTCCTGTTCAAATATATTGTGGTAACGACAGGTATCTACGGACCATACACGGCGCGTGACACGACACGCACTTCGCCGGTTTCTAAGATTGATTTGATATTTGTTTAGCTTTATATTGTTTTAAACTTTCATGGTCACTAACATTATAGATATTAATGGTATTGTTACCAGGTACCTTGTTTTTTATGAGTCTCCGATATTACGGCACTGTTGCAAGCGCCATGATCACGAAGAAACTGATAGTAGTATTCAGTTACTCCGTGATCATGGCGCTTGCAACAGTGCCGAAATATCGGAGACTCATAAAAATCGAGTTACATTTAAACAATCCCGTTAATATCTATATTTTTTTAGCTTTGTTTCTGTTTTTGTTTGCAGCAGTATTATTGACTACAGTATGGTTGCCATTGGTGTTAGCAAGTTACTACTTCCACGAGCCATCCCGTATCATATTGAAGCCTGACCCGCTGAAAGATCATGACACTTTTGGATTCTCAATGGGCTACCAAGATGGAAATGCCAGCCTAAGTATATATTTCAGTTTAGACTACCGTACAAGTGTTATAAATGAATAGGTAAACACACCTCAATAGACGGTTCTAACAGAAGAAAACTGAGGAATAGGCTTTATGACAGTATTAAGTATGAATATTGGCAGCGATTTTACTATTCTGAAAGAACAAATAATTAATTACTTTTTGAATTGTCTGTTATCGTATGTATTTTGAAGTGAAAACTTCTTTCGAGGCGTTGTACACTTTTTTAGTATGGGTAAAGAATGTTAAACTCGCGCCAGGACACGTGGCCTGATCGAAAATTCGTAAGACGAAAACAATAAAATTGGAAAGGTTGTTGACTTTCAATATATTGGACGAAACATAGCAATATTTTATTTTATCGTAGTATAATAATAAGTCTTTAGCAGCTTTATTGCTAAGAAAATTCATTTTTTTATAATTTTTAATTAATTTTACATAGCAAGTTTCATCCAAATCCGTTTCGTATTTTTGTGTCATTGAGTAGCAGGTATTAAAATTAGCAGGATACACACAAATTTTCTTTTGTCAATCAACCAAAAAATTACAAAGGTAAAGCGCGTCAAAGTTTGGGATAGGGGCTCGTGACGTCACTTCTAAGCAAAAATTGCACCAAGATGTGACATCATGCGACATTTCAAACCAATATCTCTGAAATATTTTGATTATGTGAAATAAGAAAAAATATGTGTGCAATACTTTTTAATGATGTATCTGATAGACAAAGAAAAAAGTTAGTCAGCATCGCTATTGGACTTTTACATATATAGTTACATATGTATTCGCGGAGCTCGATGGCGCAGGTGGTTAGCGCGTTTTGGCTGCGATCGTTGAAGTTTAGCAACTTTCGCAGTGGTCGGTCATTGGATGGGTGACCAAAAATTTACTACCTTGAGTTCCGCGTTTCGGAAGGCACGTTAATCAGTTGGTCTCGGCTGCATCTGCAGTTATTAGCACCCACCACTCTGCACTGGGCTCGCGTGGTGGGTTATGACTCAATCTCCCTATTCCATCCATAGGCTTACCCTATGAATGGAATAGGAAGTGCCCCAGCGCCCCATTGCCCCAATAGTGGGGACATTAATATGCTGATCATAATCTAGCTTATTGGCAAAAACACCTCAATAAAGTAAATTGAACTCCCAAGTTATAGAGATATCTATTAAAATAACATAAACCTATTTATTGCAGTTGTTGGAGCGCCTCAAAGTAACTTAATTGGAAAAGTATTTCAATGTGATCTGGAAGACATTTTGAAGAACAGAGCGGAATTTTGTAATGATGTTAATATAGACGTTGATAATCTAGCACCGTATAATAGAAGTATGGGCATCTGTAATTTGTATTTATTTTTAGATTTGGTGGCACAAGCATGATGGCCCGTCTGATTGTAAGCGGCCACAGTTTGACATTATGACCCCATCTTGTGCCATGTTTGACATTAATAAAGACGTTGATAATCTAGCACCGTATAATAGAAGTATGGGCATCTGTAATTTGTATTTTTTTCTTAGATTTGGTGGCACAAGCATGATGGCCCGTCTGATGGTAAGCGGCCACAGTTTGACAGTATGACCCCATCAAGTGCCATGTATGACGTTAATATAGACGTTGACAATCTAGCACCGTATAATAGAAGTATGAGCATCTTTAATATGTATTTTTTTAGATTTGGTGGCTCAAGCATGATGGCCCGTCTGATGGTAAGCGGCCACAGCTTGACAGTATGACCCTATTATGCGCCCTGTGGCCCGCGGAACTCTGGATAAATTATCTCGTCGATAAATTTTAATCTACTATTAGAAACTTGTTTTTAAAAAAGTCTATTATGAGGTGTCTGATTATATTTCAGTCAAAAATGCTTGGGTTTAAAACTATCCCAAACGTACCGACAGGTTATTTCTATAGGGAACTAGCAAACCCGGCGAACTCCGTTTCGCCACCAGATAGATGGCTTCGTTTTATGTAACATTTCGTTTGGTGATTAAAAGAAGTTTTTTTTTTAATTTTTCCTGAATTTTCTTTGCTATAAACCTCACGGAGCCCGAGACCTTTCCGACGAATGCAAAACCGTGGAAATCGGTTGGTGCGTTCTGGAGTTATAGCGTCAGGAAGGAAAACCCGACTTATTTTTATATAGTAGATTATGATAAAAATGTCATGATTTTGAATTGACACTCTAACCATAATAATATTTTACTAAGTAAACATTGCTGCATAATTATATTATTTAACGCTGTGAAGTTTTTTTGGACAGTTTTTCTCCACAGCTAAAACGTCCTTAACTAGTGGTAGGGAAAAAATATAGAAATTATGGACAACTCCGTGCAGACATACAGACAGACACGAACCACTTTATATATTTCAAAGGTGTATGATAATAAACTATCAAACACAATTAATTTAAAACTGAGCTAACAATTTCATTTCAGATTACACACCAAATTTGAAGTTCAATCTTGGCGCTTCCATAGCTGTTACATCGGATTATTTTTTCGTAAGTTTCAGATAGTCTGATAAATTGTTGTCACATTGTAAAACTTCAGTTCAAACAATATAAACAATTTGGCGAATCCGTGTCAATAGATCAAGTAATACCGGCCTAGTCTACCGCAAAAGGTACATTAACTTGTACTTTGTAACTACTTACGTGTTGAAATGTCATTTTTAAAACCAGACAAACGTCTTCGCATCTAGTTCCTCGCTCAATACCATGCTACGAGTCAAGTTAGAAACTAGAAAGTCACCTACTTGCATCCTAATTGCAGTCGTCAGTCAAATTAAAACAATTTAATAGTGCGTTACGCTGCGATCGTTGAAGTTAAGCAGTGGTCGGTCATTAGATGGGTGACCAAAAATTTACTGTTTCACGCTCCTCCGTGCTTCCGAAGGCACATCAAGCCGTTGGTCCCGGCTGCATCTGCGGTCGTTAGCACCCACTATTCCGCGCTGGGCCCGCGGGGTGGGTCATGACCCAATCCCTCATTGCATTCATAGGGAAGGCCTATGCACCAGCAGTAGGGACATAAATAGGTTGATGATGATGATGATGAAAAGTGCGCTTTAGTCGTTACTTACTAATTGGTCCTTACTTATATTACGATTCTTCTTCTTCTGAACGGTGAGTGTTTTTCGCAACTCGACACTAGGTGCCTATTTTGCGTGAGAGGATGGCCTTAGTCATGCCATCCCAACTCCCCTCAAGAAGCACAGCAGTCTCTTGGTGTCTCCGCAGGCCTCGAGTAGCGTCTGCGGGCTGCCCAGGCTCTGAACAGAGGACTGCCCGAGACACCTATTTAAAAAAGATGTTTATTAAAGTGTCCGTGTCCTGTGAGAATGCTCACTATTTGTTTCAAAGCATGTCTTGGTAACTTGCAAAACTTACTTGCTAGCCGTGGGTCTTACCTTAGGTTTGGCCTCCCTGGCGTGCCTGCAGTCTGCAAGTCCAGTCCAGTATTCGTTATGTTATCGCAGGTATCGTTCCCTAATCCTCTGTTACGATTTTCCAGACATGTGCCCCGTTGTGGACAACCATCCCCATAAACAATCCATCAAAAAACTTCTCCTATGGCACTTGTTTCACCTATAATGGCACAGCGCAAAGATACAGTGGCTTGATCGAGAATCACCAGTTAAATCCTGACTCAGTACATCCTTTCAGTGAGTACCCTTTGCTATTTATTATTGAGACTACATCTACAAGTATTGGGGGTAACCGGCAGTCCGGTTCACTAGCAATATATATAAATGAAACATCATATTACAAGTATCACTCACAGCAAGTGAACCTCCTAATACACCTTGGTTCTATAATGGTAACGTAGGACGTATGGATATACACACATCAAAAGTGTCTAGGGATCAACATATATTTTTGCAATAACTTTTCTCCTGATTGATATTAATTAAAATTTTCTTTAAGGATTCATCAAATAAAGTGTTTTCGTTTGTCACAGTAACGATAAACCAAGTCACCTTTGCATTAATAAAGAAATTTGCCATTTTCCTAATAAAGGGATTTTTGACATTTGAACCACTAACACAAAAGTTCGAAAAAAAGACTGAAATAACAGTTTTCTCTAAAATTTTATTGGGTAACTTAAACAATTAATAATCCGTATTTCTACCGCGAACACTAACAACACAAGAACATCAGTTTGGCATACTCAAAATGAGTTCATCCAAATCACGCTGTGGAATGGCCGCCCATGTTCGTTGCAACAACAAAAAAAGGTCTTCTTGCGACTGGATACCCTCCATATTCGGCAGAGCTCTTCTCTGTAGCATATCCCATGCATGCTCAATCGGGTTCAAGTCTGGCGACTGAGCAGGCCAGGGCAGGACATTGATGTTAGCTGCGGCGAGAGTCTGTCTTACAACTCTTGCGGTGTGCGGTCGTGCATTATCATGCATTAACTGAAATAAGGGACCGATTTGCACTTGTAGAGGAACGATGACGTCTGATACAATCGTCTCAGCATAAATTTGAGCGTTGAGGTTGCCTCTGATCCAAATCAACTCAGTTCTTCCGCCGATCCAAATACCCGCCCATACCATGATGGTTCCACCACTATAAGGATGGACTTCCTGGCAGGATTTTAATCGCTGTTGGCGTCCAGGGGTTCTCCAGTGTCGTATACGTCTTGTATCCGGTCTCATACCAAAACGAGACTCATCAGAAAAGCACACGAAACGCCATTGTTCTTCTGCCCAATTTCTGTGTTCAAGAGCCCATTGATATCGAATCCTACGATTGTGCATTGCTATAGGTGGTACCCGTAGCGGTCTTCGGGAATGAAGGTTCACTTCATGCAAGCGGTTTCTGACTGTTTGGTCGCTAATTAAGTTCCCTGAAGAGTGATGAAGCCTCACGGCTAACATCATGGCGGTTATTGTTGGAGCTCTTCGAGTTAAGATTTGAATGTATCGGTCTTGTCTCCGTGTGGTGCAGCGATACCGTCCTCCATGGCGCTCAGCCACGGTACCAGTGCTTCGGTATCGTGTCCAAAGTCGACTGATAACCCTCTGACTTGTATTCAGAGCTAAAGCCACAGTACGTTGCCGGGAACCAGCTTCTATCATTCCCACGGCTCTGAGCATTTCTTCCCTGCTTAAATGACGTCGCCGCTCCATAATAACGTTGGTTTTAATCAGTAGTAGGGAAACAGTAGCACTAATAATGTCTTCAATGCGTTGTATGTTTTTATAGGGAAAATATTGACAGCTGATTTTCATCTTTTACTCGAATTTGATTCACAGTTCCTGATTCAAATTATGAAATGCACCAAAAAGGATCCATATAAATTTATAAAATCATAAATTTATTACAAAGCCACATCTCAATCTCAAGAAATCCGCATAAAAATGCTTGATCCCTAGACACTTTTGATGTGTGTATATTATTATAATTAAAAAATCTCCTAATTGTGAAGCATGTTCGACCTCTGGAGTCGTTAAATATCCAACCATATGAGTAAAGAAGATGCAAAGATTTATGCAGTGCGCGTGTGTGAGCTAGCACTGGAAGCCTGTCGCCGCAAATAGAAACGTTTCACTGCGTACGCGACAGGTGCCAGTACTCACTCACACATGCGGCTCAATTTAAATTCAAAATTCATTTATTTAGTTAAGGCTTTTACAAGCTAAGCTTTAATATGTGAAAGTCGAAAGCTACACTACTACTACACCATCGGTTCGCAAATCTGCGGCGGGAGACCATTTTCTGAGAAAAAATCCGGCAAGGAACTCTGCAAGGGCTGCTTTTTTCTCCCTGTTTTATTTCATACAGTGTCGTCAAATTGAAAGCTGAATTCGAACTTACAAACATCTATTGAGCTCAATTTCCATCACATAATGTAAAATAGGTAACGATAAATATACAACAGTCCCGAAATGTCCAGTAAACAATTTCCAAAACAAATGAGGAAGAAAGAGAGTAAGTGCAAGGCTCTCTTTAAAACTCATCCAAGGGAGACAAGTTTACAACTTCGAAAATTATCTGAAAGTTAAAAGTACGACTTGGCCGTTTTATCATTTAAATACTGTTTAACAGTAAAGTAGCAAATTTTAATATGTGTTTTAATTCATTTAGAGGTAATATAAAGCTTTGTCTTTGTCTGTGCCTTCTTCACTCTTTATATCCTTGATTGATCAACAATTTTAAGACCTTCTATTGATTTGCAGATATCATGTTTGGTGGCACTGGTTGGCGAACTTTAATTGATGAAGTGAACGAAATGCTCTTGGTAGCGAAGGTTGCACTTGTGGGCGATGTCGTTTACATGAATTCTTCTAATCCTCTTGAAAAAGTACGGTCGCTGGTAGCAAAAAGCAAGGATACAAATACAGATCTTCATAGGGAATATTTAAAGAACTATCGGCTTTTCGGTAAAGTATCGTCTATTCTTTAATAAAAAAATCATAAGTGCTTAGGCGTGAAGTAAATTTTTACCAACAATGAAATTATTATTCTATCACATTCATGTAATGCAGTGCGACAGATTAGCTTTTTAGCCTCTGTGTATAAGTTTAAAACGAACTCCCACATTTTACCAAAATTAACAATAATAAAGAAGAAAAAATATTGCGTTGCATTGTGTACTTGGTTCCTTTACTTTTGTTGTGTATATATATTTCTTCACCTCTATGTATGTAATTGAACTCCCCCTAAACAACTGGACCGATTTGGATAAAAGTTTATGGCTGCATTCGAGTGGTTCCTTGAATGGTATGGATTCACAACTGAACACGATAAGTTCAACAGAGTTGCAGTTGGGTTCTAAGATAATTTTATATTTTTGTCAGGCAGCATTATATATTTCAAATGAATTAGGTCCACTTGCACGAAAGTTCTTTACTCGAGTTAAGGCTTAATCGTGTTTAGCACGTAATTCTATATTTGTCAATTGTTTTAAGTTAAAAAAAGCTAGAATACTGCTAAAATCTGATTAACTTTTGAATTAAACTTGAATTAAGAACTTTCGTGCAAGTGGGCGTTTTACTAGTCTGCTTATTTTACTAACGAGAGAGTTTTTTAAACTTTGAACTCGGTTTTAATCATGTCATTCAAAACTAAAAAATTACATGATTCAGGAATTTTATGGAGTTAAGCATGTTTATAAATATGAAGTTTCTAAAATATATTATGATCTTGAGATTTGAAAAATGTAACGTATTATGAACAATATAATATGAGACATGTAATCTCGCTATTTTAACAAAAAGAAAAACTAACGCAAAATACTTATCTCAATCGAAATTCACGATGAGTGCTATTTATGCACTTAGGTGTAAACCATCGTTAACGATGCATCTTTAATAAGTCTATCATCATCATCTTCAGCTATTTGTTGTTCAGTTCTAGTCAGTGATCTCCTCCATGTTCTTCGGTTTTGTGCCTTAAGCATCCAGTTTTGACTTACATATTATCATCTAATTGCATCTCTAAGGTGGGCGGTGGGCGGCGTAAGGTGGGTGGAATCTCTGAGGTGGGCGTCCACAAGATCTGCTGATATTACGAGGCCTCTCCTCCTGCAAACCAGGAGTTTGCTAACGTTACGACGACGCTGACTCGCCATTTCGTATGGTCGTCATTGGAAATTGCAAATTTTCCTGGAGATACATGTGCCACCAATGTCCCACCGCATCATGGTAACTTTACTGCCTCGGACCGGGACTGCTTATTTGGATTTATCTTTATTCGAAGCTGTCCTATGTACTATAGGAAGTTTCACTATCTACCACCTGCGACCCGATAGTAGCTGAGGCTCACCCCTTTCTAGCCACTAATTAGTTTATGCTTTCCAGGTAACTCGATTGTTGCTGGAAATTTCTTTGATAATGGTATGGTTTATTACGCTGTTAGTGCAATAACTGAGTCAATGGAGGGAATCGTGAGTAATTTTATAAGTACAAATACTATTTTCAATGAAGCTGAAAGTGTTATGTTATGTATATTAAAACCAATTATTAGAACATTTAAACCATAATGTTTTATTCATAAATCTAAAGAACATTTTACTAGGAAAAAAAAATCGGTCCAGCATGCAGACAGGATTTCAGACAGGACCCGCATTTCTGAAGTTAAATGCTTAAAATAAAATTAGAATAATTTACTTTCTGCGATCTCAGGTTTCTATGTAGCGACATTTCCGCTCACAAGCGCAAAACAATTTCACGTAGTTTCTTTAACGAGTGTTTTTATCACCTTGTCAATTGATATGTTCCAATTCTTGCATCAAGTATATACATTTAAATGTAGTGAGTCCAACATTAATCTGTCAATTTTACATTATTAGGTGCACTTCCTGAAAGCAAGATTTTCGAAAAGTGAAAAAAATACCAAAAAGATCTACATGCAAAAAGCTTCCTCAAGAAGTGGTGTTGCCCGTTCAAAGAAAAAATATATTAAAATAACTGATAACACAGTTGGCTCGATGTTCGGAGCGGCTATGGCAGCAGCGGATTTGAATAACGATGGAGTTTCGGAGCTGCTGGTGGGAGCGCCGGCTCAAGATGGGCAAGAGAGCGGATCAGAAACGGGCGCCATCCATATATACTTGGGCGGTGATATTGTAATTACGCAAGCACAACACTTTTGGCATTGATAGGAAATCTAAGATGTTGTACGGAATAAGGTGCTAGTTTATTCTCTGCCGGGAGTAACGTGAAGTCTCTGTATTCTGCAAAACCCGCTCCGACATCCGATGGAGTACCTACTGTTTAGTTTGTAGAGTCCAACTCATCCCGACAGCCATTGGGCCAGTTTTTAAGCTGGCTGAGCGGGTGGGCGGGATAGTGCTGAAAGAGTTTCACATTACTTTGTTACCTACAAAGAGAAGTGTACGTCACGCATTATCCTATCAATAAAAAAAGTTGCTAGTCCATCGCCTAAAGCAATCTCTGACTGTCCTGCTCTACTATGTAGTTGATAATTCGTATCTGATTATAGTCCATTAACGAACTCACACCACACAAGTCACTTTTACTATTTGCACAGTTAAGTCAGCATGTTTATGTTTTTCTTTCACTCCCAGTCCAGTGTGGAAGACATTCGAATGAGGATGATTGCTATTACATTTTACTATATAGTTGATAATTCGTATCTGATGATAGTCCATTAACGAACTCACACCACACATCAAGTCACATTTACTATTTACACAAATCAATCAGCATGTCTATGTTTTTTTTTCACTCCCAGTCCAGTGTAGGACACATCCTAAAGAGGATGATTGCTATGACATTTTACTATGTAGTTAATAATTCGTATCTGATGATAGTTCATTAACGAACTCACACCACACAAGTTACATTTACTATTTGCACAAATAAGTCAGCATGTCTATGTTTTTCTTTCACTCCCAGTCCAGTGTGGGAGACATTCTAATGAGGATGATTACTATTACATTTTACTATGTAGTTGACAATTCGTATCTGATAATAGTCCATTAACAAACTCACACCACACAAGTCAAATTTACTATTTGCATAATTAAGTCAGCATTCCATGTTTTTCTTTTACTCCCAGTCCAGTGTGGGGGACATTGTAATGAGAATGATTTCTATTTAATTTTAGAGCTCTATTAACGAAAACTACAGGCATCGTGAGATTGTGAGCAGCAAAGACAGCTCTAGGTTTGGGTCTGCCATCGCTGCCACTGATGTTGACGCTGATGATCTACCAGGTGAGACATCGTGAGTTTATGTGCTTGAATGTACCCTCTTTTTAAACATAAAGAAATATATTTTTTATTAAATAGCCTCCGTCTTCCGCCTATCTCTCCGTCTCACAGCAGGCTGTTCTTACTACCAATGTTAGTTAAAAGACATAGTTAAAAAGGTGGGCTTATCTTTAAAAGAGATCACTTTCAGCACACCTAGGTGTTGTCGGTGATTTCAAATTTAGCGGGAAACAGAAAGTGCAATGAAATCTACTTACCTATCTAAGCCGTAAAAGCTTAACAAAATATTCTGAAAATGTGTACCGTACGTGAAATGTACTTTTCACAGAACAACACACATGGTCTATAAATGGAGCCCAAACGCAAAGTTAGTTAGCTGATGCAGCAGAAAATATGAATTCAGAGCAGTTGGTTTTACAAGAAGATTGACCATTAAATATTCAGTTTGTCTGTTAGGGAGCAAATCGTCCGGAAATATAAAAATAAATTAGCAGGTGCCTGCTACTTCGTCTGCGTCGAAAAAAATTGTTTCCCATACAAAGTCCCACCCAGTTCTTGGACTCAAACAATCTCCATACAAAATTTCAACTAAATCGATTAAGCTCGGTTAAGCGTAAAGAGGTAACAGACATACAGGGACACTTTCGCATTTATAATATTAGCACAGATATAAACTGTGATATTAATATGAATGCCATTATTGAAAATATTTAAGCTCTTTCTCTATGTATTTCCAATTCTTCATTTGATAGACCGTACTCGTTTGAAAATCAGTTAAGGGAAACATTTCATAAATTGATTCAGGATTATAAGCAGTTATCGGGTTTACTGAATATAAATAAGAAACTGCCAACTAGAGATACGAAAACCAAAATCTAAAGTTAATATTTCAAACAGGAAAAGTTGTATTTTTTTTGTAGGAAGATCTTTAGAACATCTGAATCGATTTCGTAAAGTCTCTCATCAGTAGAAAGCAAAGTTTACTTAATTTTAATTTCACCCGTCCAAAACCAGGACGGGTCACTTATCTTCAGATATTAATTTAATTTCAATTGCAGAAATTTTCGTCAGCGCACCATATGAAGACGATGGAGTCGGAGCAGTTTATATATTGTCAGGCTATGAAATAAATAAAACCCTTATAAACGGCGAAAAATACAAGCGGATAGATTTACACAAGCTCAGAATGATACAAACAATATCAATGAAGGAGTTCAAGACTTTCGGTTACAGCTTACAGAAGATACCAGATAGCAACGACAATGGATGTGACGGTGAGTGAGTATTGATATTTAAAACATTCCCCGTTATAATTAGCATAAACAAGTTTTAAAAATGTACAAAGCAAAAAAATAGAACAGAATTTTATAATAAGTTCAACATACAGACAAAACTTTTTGTTAGCAAACTTAACTATCTGGTACCTTATTAATAAATATACATACCTCCACAAATTGCAGCTCTCTAGTGTCAACAGACTCCAAACCTCATCGGACAGACAAACGGACATGGTGAACCCTAAGAACCTTATTCGTCAGAGATAATTCTTGATAAACTGGAATTTGTCTAAATAGCCAAACACATTCATAGTATCACATTCTCTAACTAAATGATTTAATCTAGCTTGACTAACTTTAAATTTCGCAACTTGGTCCGCGTTAAAGTTAGTTTCTTTTGAGAATCCCATAGAAACCTAAAGTATTTCCTCGACAAAATATATTCTATGTGTCGATCACCTAGATTTAGTGCCAAAATATTTATAAGACCAAATTTCATCCTTTCTTTAGCCGTTTCACATGAAAGAGTACAAAAGTCTATATAAACTTTCGCATTTATTTAATAAAGTAAGAAATAATATTTGTGGGATGGTAGGATTAGTAGGATAGGATAATTGAAGCTTCTGCTGATACTATTATATCTTTTTGTTTAATGAAATCTTTGTAAATGTTGGTGTTGCACACGTGGAATTCGCTCACACATAATGGACAAGAATTCTGCCTTTGGCCACTAGGGGCGTTTTAACGCTTGGCCCAAAACTTCTGTCAAATACATACATTAGCTAAGCTTTTTATTAAACAAATTACAAATGCCGCGTTGTGCAGTTCCTGTTTGTTGTGAGAACGGAAGGCACCAGTTTCCAAAAGACCGGAAATTAAGAAGATAGTGGGAACTAGCAATAAAAGGGAAAAATTCAAGGCTAATGACAAATCGAGGTTATGTCACAAACATTTTAATAAAGATTCAGATACTAAAAACAGATGTAAATGCAAATTATGTGCCATTACTGTCCAGAATATTTTTTATATGTGTTATGTTATGCAACTTTACAGAAGGTATTGTAAAATAAAAAACTGTACTGTCAAATTGTAGTGTATTTTCTTGCTAAATTGTATAAATATGACAAAATTAAATGTTTGGAAAATAAAAAAACTATCCCTAGATTATTACAATCCTAGAATATATATTCACTTTATTCTTTTATATGCTTCAATATATTTTTTTCACATATCTCCTCTTAAAAGTTAGCAAGATAAATTAACTTAAATCATAATAATTAATCAGAAGCTGTAAGATAAATATATTTATATACTATATAAACCAAGGGCAGGATGGTTCAGGCTCGTTTGATCAATCTCGGTAGGTTATTAACAAATTGGGTACAAAATTATAAAAAAAGGTAATGAAGTACACAAAGAAATAGTTCTATATTTTTTTATAAAAACAATTTTCAATAAGAAAAGACTGAAATTTATAAAGTTCTACTAAGCACTGCTATGAGAAAGGCTCACTAATTTATTTAAAATGAGATTTCTTCTTTTGTTGTTGTATTCTACCACATCTACATCCATTCTACAGGGTGAAAATATCATACGTTTTATGTCCCTCTTTCTCATTGGAAGATCTTTTGACTTTACAGGTGTTTTGTATAAAATTTTGCAGGCTTGTGAAATGTTTGCAATTTTTCTGTAGGTGTCTGGTACTTTAATATAATATTTTCTTTTACCTTAAGCTCTACAGCATATAACACCAGAGCAACATGTTTGCAATGGGCCGTTGTGCCACTTCCAGCAACACATTCACATGTACTTTCTTCAATATTGCCGTTATTGTGACTTTTTATATTTATTTCATACTGCAGTTGTTTCATTGCTGCTCTACCAATTCCTTTTATAAAAGTGTAATCACCAGTTTTTCTAGCCCTTAAAATCATCAGTTATCTAGATTGATATAAATGTAGACCATCATCAGGATTTTATCAAATCTGTAAAATAATAATTGATTTATGGAATTGACTGAAATAATTTTAATTGCATTTCTTTAACTATCCTTTAATGACACACGCAAGTGGTACTATTGCTCAGATGGAACACAAATTTATCACAGGATGTGGTTATACTTCACTCTACAATGAAATAAATTGCATACTTACCGACTAAAACATAATTTTATATGTCGCTTTGAAAGGTGGGGTAGTACTGAGCTGCTGTTTACGTCATGGTATGTATCTGGGGCAGGTAATTGCATCTGGGTGTCTTCATTATGATCAGAAAAAAAATCTCCAAAATTAAAATTGCGGCCATATGCCTCAAGACTGTAAAAAAACCCAATGTTAAAGTTTCCATTTTAGTCAGAGGTAACCTAACCCTATTAGATGTCCGATTGATGCAAAAATAAGATAGCTTTGACTAAGAAACCCGCTAAAAGTTACTGAGATCCATGAACAATTAAAATAATCATGGAAAATGCATCTTTGTAGCGAGATTGAGCGTTCTAGCATAATATTAGAAACAGTACCTTTCTACAAGATCGGCTTTTCAGCCTTGCACAGATGCTCCTCTCCTTTTCAACTCTGTTCTCAGTTGAACGACAGACAATGGTGGCATACATTTTTAGCACTTAATGATATTTTAAATAACAAAAAATCACGTTTAAAATTTGACAGCTGCAGTTGTCCGCTTTGGTTTTGGCCAAGTGTTTGCAGCGCCACCTACGTTGAGCTTTGCGTGTACTTCTCCATTGTGGCGCGCCTGCCCCACACACAAGGCTCTTCTAACCTCTTTCTATGTTCTGTGATTGCTCTGCTGTTAAAAGAAGTTGGTCCATGCCCTGTACAAATCCATCACATCTTTCATTTATAAATTATTTACACTCGTAATAACTTTTGAATTGTATGAAACTTGGTAATGGTCTAATCCAGTGGTTCTCAAACTTTTTAAATGACGGAACCCTTTTGGGAAGCAAAATACTTGATGGAACCCTACAATAAAACAATTATTTTTATAAGTGTATTCTATATTAATCAGCATAATAAAAGTACAATGTATCCGTTACTAATTATTATTTACTTCACCACTTGGTAAGGACAATAATAGAAAACATTAAAAAAGAAAAAATCTAACTAGTGGGAGGTATGAAACTGTTTTTTATTTTTCATCAATTGCTTGATATCAGGTTTGATGGAAGAAAGTTGGAGTCTCATATCAGCTTCGGCGTCCAGTCTATTGCGATATTTTGTTTTCGTGGCTGCGTAGGTAGAGAATCCTGTTTCGCACAAATATGTAGTTGGGAACGGGAGAAGAATATCCAGAGCCATTTGGCCAAGCATTGCATATTCATCTTGGATTCTGCACCAAAAATCATTAAGAGGCGTCGTTTTGAACAATGACTCCATACTTGTGTCTGATGACATTTCTAAAAGAGATTCATATATCTCATTTGACATGTTTTCAGGCTTTTCCAAGTTGGGTAAAAAAGGATTATGAATCCAGGAGTTCACTTTAATTTTTGTATTGTGTTCTTCGGGAAAATACTTTTCAAAAGATGCGCGCATCGAACTGAGATATTGGACCAATTCTTCAAACACATTATCTTCAAACATTTCTGAGTCGTTTTCGCTAACAAACTCAGTGAGTAACGTAAAACTTTCTATTTCTTTCTTACCAATGCAAATGATCCAAAAATCTAATTTTCTTTTAAAAGTAGTTATTTTATTATAGGCCTGAAACACTGTTGTCTGTTTACCTTGCAATGATAAATTTAATTCGTTAAGTTTTTGAAAGATATCCGCCATAAAAGACAATCGGAACAACCAAGTTTTATCATACAAACGGTCCTTCAAATTAAAAGAAGTATCTGCTGAAAGAAACATTTGTAACTCGGCTCTAAGTTCAAATAGCCTTGTTAAAGTTTTTCCCCGAGACAGCCATCGCACTTCTGTATGGAGCAGCAGTGTTTTATGTTTGCTGCCATAATCTTCACACAATAATGAGAACAATCGGGATTGTAGTGGTCGTGATTTGATAAAATTAATTATTTTTACCGCTTCATCCATAACTAATTTTAGATTAGACGGCATTTGCTTCATCGCAAGTGCTTGTCTATGCAGAATACAATGACTGGAACTACAATTAGGCGCTTTATTTTTCATTCGTGACACTGCTCCTGCTGTTTTACCTGTCATCGCCTTGGCCCCATCTGTACAAATGTCAATGCAATTGTTCCAACTGAGATTATGTTCTTCAAAAAATATATTTATTTTATTAAAAATTTCTTCCCCGGTAGTGTTTGTAAGCAGCGATGAACACATAAGCATGTCTTCTTCAAAAGAACTTTTATATGGATATCTCACAATAACCAGCAGGATAGCCAAACCAGCGACATCAGTCGACTCGTCCATTTGCAAAGCGAATCGTGTATTTTGTAGACGTGTAACTAGTTCTTGTTTGACGTAGCTTGCCAGATCATGGATTCGTCGTGAAACAGTATCGTTTGATAGCGGAACAGTAGAAAGATGCTTTGCAGATTTTTCATCAAGCATACATTTTGTTATGTCTAATACACATGGTTTTATTAATTTCTCAGCGATAGTGTGCGCTTCACCTGCTTGTGCAATGCGATAGCTAACTAAGTATGATGCCTCCGTGGCCTTTTCGTTGGTAGTTTGTGTTACATGCATCATATTTTTTTGACTTTCTAATAACTGATCTTTTTTGCGAACAAAAAATTCTTTATTCTTGTCTTTAGTCTCGGGGTGTACGGTTTCTAAATGTCGACGCAATTTGGCAGGTGCCATGGAACTATTAGGAAGCAGTTTACTACAGAGCATGCAGAGAGGTGAGCCGTTGGAATCAACAAATCCGAAACTGATATAAGATTCATCATACTTCCTTTTTTTCGTCTTTGAAACCGTCGAGCTTGACGTCGTGGCACTCGTGGCATCATCTTCTGGATCGGTGATTGCTAAATTCTCCGCGCGCATTGCTTTTGAACATTCAGCGTCATTAGAAGATGTTGTTGGAACACGTTTAACACCTTTAAGCCAACGTTCCATTCTTCTTTATTTATAATGTTACAAGTCAGGATAGTGGGGTTTAAATAATGCACAATCGTTACTGCGTATAAGAGACTAAATTTAGAACCTACAGGGAAGAAATGTATAAAACTGAGACAACAGAATACAGCAGGCAGTAAAACAATGAACACCAGTTTCTCGCTAGCGAGCTTGTAAGTAGGTAGTAACTTATCGCTCCGAACGCTAATCATCAACTGACGACGCCAACGCGCGATCGCCGCTTTTATACTTAGTCCTAGACTCGATCTCAAATATTCTCGAAAATACTCGAGTCGGCACCTTTGATAAACAAAAAGCAAAAATAAAAACAGAAATTTAAAAATAGCGTTGTAAACAATATCGACTTTATCCTTTGAAGTTAGAGACGAAAGTCGCTAGTTGACAACTATAGCGTCTAATTCAGAGGCGGCTTTTATCAAAGAGACTGAGCGCTTACAAGTATACTACCCGCTCGTTTTAAGTTTGCCGCTGGCGATAGGTATGAGTGTATGACGTTCGAAATTTTTTATTTAATTGTAACAATAAAAATTGTGTACGTTAGATATTTGGGTAAAACTATGACACATTATAAGTTTTGTTGTCACGTGGGGGAGGGTACGCGCATTCCACAGACCGGCAAACTTAGAGCGAACGCGTTGTACAAGTATAAAATTGTTGAGACCAAACTTATGAGATATTGTACCAGCTAATGTAACACAAGCTTATACAAATACAAATAAATAAATAAATAACATTCATAGCGTTTTGTCTCCGCGCGGCCGCGGAGTCCGCACAGCCGCGGAGCGACCAGAGAGAGGTGTTTTGATTTTTTTATTTCTAAATTCTTGCGGAACCCCGACAGAGGTATCACGGAACCCTAGGGTTCCGCGGAACACACTTAGAGTATAGCTGGTCTAATCCAATAAGTAATTTCCAAACCTTTATTCAAGACTATCAGGTACTTACCTGCTTGATAGAGTCTTGAATAGGAAGTGATTTATTTGGATAAGAATTAATACCCGGGTATGACCGGGTACGAATAATGTGGCCTAGTTTGTATCAGCGTTGTTATTGCATATTTTAACATGAAGAAATGATACCTATTATAAAGCTGGAGGGTTTGTTTGTTTTTTTGGTTGAACACGTAAAGTGCTAGTCCGATTAAAAAATATGTTTCTGTTGGATAGTGCATTTATCAAGAACGGCTATAGGCTGTATAAAACCACGCTACGACCAGAATGAGCGTAGCATCGATGAAAACTGTTGCAAATACGGGTAAAATATTCTATTTGTGAGTTTTTTTTGCGTGAGCTTCGTAAACGGTTGAAGTTACACAAAAATTATGTACGATGGAATTTGCTCCTCTTTAATAATAATAATATTTATTTTAGATACTAGATCCATAGAAATGTTAGTAACAATCAAACCTATAAAACTATGTTAGTACATTTTAAAAACAAAGTTATTTCATATATATACCTTCTGAGGCACCGGTCACATGAACATGTGTATGTACCCAGTGCCTCAGAATGGCACACTCCGGTTTTTTCCCGATAACATCGAGAATACTGTTGGCGCTCCCACGAACCCTGTGCATCAACAATGCAATTCTCTTGCGCATCACTGAAGGGAAGTCGTCTAAGTGGGCATCTGCGAACATACCTGATGCACTGCAGTAGCGTGGGAGCATCAACAACATCCTCAATCCATTATTATATTGGACAAGGATAGCGTTGTATGTCCGCTGCGTATATCCTTTAAAAGTTTTATAAAAAGTTTGCGACAACATATTTTAAGTTTACTCAGTATTTAACATTTTTCCTCAATTTAACGCGGGTGAAACTAGAGGTACGCTCCTATTATGACATAACTGTATGAGATTAGACATTTGGTATCACGGACTTTTTTGTAGATAGTGATGTCCTCTTTTAAACTTATATACATCACTTTGCTCCATTGTCAATGATTTCTGCAGTGTACGCGATTATGTTTTGGTACTTTTTTCACACGTTGAGTTATATTATCGAAGTTTTCATAGGGAACCCTAACTTTTTTGAAAACACTCTATAGCCTATGTTCATCAGTAATAATGTAGAATTCTAAATATGAAAGAATTTTTCAAATCGGTCCCGTAGTTTCAGAGCCTATTTAGGACAAACAAACAATCGAATCGTATAGATTTATGTTTGTATTTAAAATTTAAGATTCAGATCACTAAGACAGGATTATTTAAATATTAACAACGATGTTACATTTATAAAAAAATATATGACAGCATTCTGTTCAATAATGTAACAAACCTGTGTAATAATAATAGTGTAATAATGTGTGTAATATAAAATTTATTTTTGAAACGAAGACATTTTATCTTTATGTCAATATCTTTAACTGCCTTGGATACTCACAAGATTTACGCCATTTATTCTTCTTCGAAAGGAAATTTCAATAAATCGATTTGAATAAAACATATTTCGCTTTTATTCGTTTAATTCAATAAACCGCTTTGAGTAAAATATATTTTCATTTCATCTGATTCCAGTCTATTGACTGGCACATCAGCTTACCGCAAAGGCGAGAACGGTTCTCAATTGATTTTTAAGTCAACAAGTAAGATAAAGGCTTTACCCATGATAAAGTACTTTTTCATTATTAGTGGTATAGTTCATATTAAACGTAACTAGAGTTTATACGCGAAGGAAGCTTTTAAGATATATTATGCAAACATCGACGCCGGATCATTAATTTTAATTTAAACAAAAATATAAATATTAGTTCTAGACAAGTTTAATTACATAAGCTTGCAATATTTTGGGAAGATTTGATAACTGCTATTAATATTGACAGGAGCTTAATCTAACTTGATTCTTACGCCTTTTTTCCGACCTTGTTTATGTTAAGGTTATGGATTGTTCATTCTGTTGGATAGTCATGCTTACTTAAAAGTCTCTTCGGTGGTGTCGTGTGGGGCGGGTCGTTACGTTCCCTAAAATATGGTTGAGCGAAGCGATGGCTGGTTCATGCGTTATACTCGTGAACAGGTGCTGCCATTAGAGATGAGTCTGTCCTATTTTGATATTAAAGTTGTAAATTTCTAGTTACACCTAATATCATCATCATCATCATCATCAGCCTATTAATGTCCCCACTGCTGGGGCACAGGCCTTCCCTATGGATGGAATAGGGAGATTGGGCCATGACCCACCGCGGGCCCAGTGCGGATTGGCGGGTGCTAACGACTGCAGATGCAGCCGGGACCAACGGCTTAACGTGCCTTCCGAAGCACGGAGGAACTCGAGGTAGAAGATTTTTGGTCACCCATCCAATGACCGACCACTGCGAAAGTTGCTTAACATCAACGAGCGCAGCCGAACGTGCTAACCACCCGCGCCATCGAGCTCCTCACACCTAATATAAATAACACTATTTGTATTTATACTGGGTGACACAGCAATCAAAATGCAGGTGAACAATTAATGTATATTTCGCATTATGTAATGAAAGGTCACTTCAGGAATCATCTCTGAAGTCAATTTTCAACTTGACGACTCTGTAAATGATAAAACAGGGAGAAAAGACAGCCCTTGATGAGTTTCTTGCCGGTACTTCTCAGTACAAGGTCTCCCGCCGTAGATTAACGAACCGATGACGTAGCTTATATACATTCATGAGTGCTTGTAACAGCCTAAACTGAATGAATGATTTTGATTATGATTATGTTGGGGTATTTTTGTAAGACTACAGTATCTTGTTCTTCATAATCATAATCAAAACATTTATTCGACACAGACATGGCTACATTTTACATACATATATAGATGGACAACATTAAACATTCACTTAATACCTATGTGCCTGTATCCACAGCTGAGCCGAAAGGGGCCCAGTTCAGCATTGTGTCAGTTGTTACATGCTTGTGTGTTACATGCTTGTTTTCCACCTTAGTAAGGATAGTCCGTTTAAAGATGTTTAGGGGACGATTAATTGTTACTGGATACTTCGTAGATTTTAACCAATAGGTATTAAAGAATCAACTAATCAAATGGTTTTGTTAAGGCTACTAATTCCTAAGCTATCTATGGTCAGCGTTATCTACCTCATTCTTAATTCATGCTTCAATTTGTTTGATCATTATCAAAATCTTGAATATACTTGGTCTATTTTGTATAGGACTTTAAAGTATAAAAAAAAATATGTGTTATTTACTGTACTTATTTTCTTTATTACAGAATTGGCGATCGGTGCTCCCGGCAGTAATCATATTGTTTTGATGAAATGCGTTTCTGCTGTAAACATCACCGTCTCGGCTAATCTCGTCGGCGCTAAGGTTTCTCTCTCTCATTATTGTGCATTTAATGCAATCTTAAGGTGAACAAGAATGACGCGCCTGCCGAGAACCCCGGCGGATGTTGGTCGAGCGGATTGTAGTTTGAATGAGCCATAAAAATCAATGTCCGCTTAAAGCCGGGTCTCCAGCAAATTTTTTAGAAAACTTTCAACAAAAACTACGAAACTTTGTTTTTGAAACATGTTTCCCTACACACGCCATCTACTGCTGACGTGGCTGTCGTACACAAAATACCGCTATCGAGTTGTCAAAGAAATGGCCGAAGCAACAAAACCCTGCCCCTCGACCCGCGCGGGGGTGATTTGTGTACGTGTTTTCCATCGGGCTCGGAAAGCAAAAACATTGTTGATGCAAACAAACTTGTGCAGTGAAGCAAAGTTTTGTCTAGACGATTTTGTTAAATGTTGATATGGTTTTGTTGGTGGTGTAGGGCAAATCACGCACTGGAGATCTGGCTCAAGAGGGGAGGCGCGCAATGTTTTTCCATACAAAAATTCTCGACACATTCCTCTTTGATTTAACAGTGGAGAATTGATTTTCATACATAAAATATAATTATACTCAGTCTATGCTCTTATGTTTTCCTTTTTTTAAATAAACATATTTGTATCACCAATAAAGACGTCTAGTGTGGAAAAAAAACAAAATAGTATAACTACTTATTATTCATTGTGTAAATTTTTTTTTACATATATCTAATTTTCCAGGAGGAAATCGTCGGGAGCCAAACCTCGAATTATTCAATTTTAATACGCAATTTTCAGCGTTAACTACTGCTGTCCCTATCACACGCTATTTGCCAGTGAATGACAGCTATAGTTTTTTCAAATACCTATTTACCTTAAAGGTCTCTCAGTTCGCGTCCGCTGCCATTAGCCATTATCGCTATTGCGCAGATGTTGATTAGTATGAGACAAAGCAACATCGTCACAACCGCCATCCGCTGCGGTCCGAGGCTTGTGCGTTGTGGCACTAATGCTAAAATTTAATGCTTGTCAAAGCCACGTGTTCTATTTTTATATGCTTTCCCATAGAAAGTGGCAGCGTTTAGTTTAAAAATAATTGACGTCTCTGATTATGGGCGATAAGTTTAAAGATTTTTGTAAGGCATTAGAGCTTATTAGCGCCATACTCTTGATTACCAAATTTAAGATATTGATTGAGAAAGGTAGGACAGCAGATTTTCCACTCAAATTGGGTCTGGGGAAGCAATCTCCACCGAGAAGACCACTGTAAAATAACACTACCTTTTGGTGGTGTTGTCTTTCTGCTGGTGAGTAGGATTCCAGGGCTCGGCAGGGTAGGGGATTGGGTTCAGGCCGGCAAGGTGAAGATGGATGGAGCGCTGGGCTCCGCTTTCACTTAACATTAGTACCCGTAGTAGTAGTACGAGTTTGAGCTCACAAAAACTGTCATAGTTTTCGTAATTGTAAATTATGTTTCTATGTAAATTTTGGTAAAAAGTAACCAAATTTACTTAAAATTTAAGAAGACGCAAATGATTTAGTAATACAATTTAAACACTGTTAATTTGTATTGAAATGAAAACAATAAAATTAGTACACTAAGTACGAGTGCGAGCTCACGGAAACTATCATTGTTTTCGTAATTGTAAAACTCGTACTAAGGGTACTGGTGGGATGACGTATTTTGTTGCGCTCCGAATAAAAAAAAGAAATTGGTTAATTAGATCAATACCGAATAATGCGGGTATATTATACTTGTTATAAAAGTATAAACTTACTTATTAATAATTTGATTTCCAAGATGGTTCAACATATAAAATATACTTACTTACCTTTAGTATGTTATTTAAATTGTTACTTATTTTCCTCAGATTGTGCAAGAACAAGACAGTAACTTCACAGTTAAAGTATGCGTTAGTGTGAAGCATTTAAAGGGCAAGAATTTCAGTATCGGTGAGAGCAATAATTTGTTTATCTGTTTTAAATTCATTATTACACCATAGGCGCGTTATGATCGTTCGATTATTTCGGATGATTTTTTCCGATATCTGATTTTAGTACATTATGTCAACGATATTAATACCCTAGGTACACCAACACGAATTAGGTCGGCTACGAGGTTACACACTGCTGCGTTAATAACGACGCAATATAAGCATGACGAAATATCGCAATATCGCATTCGATATCGGCCGATAATAATGCGCCTATGGGTGGGAGGTTTTTATTTATTTTGATATGATTAACTACATACTTCTCTACTGTATTTTTTGAATATTTGTTTGTTACGTTTTCAAGTCTAGATCATAAACCTAAATAAATATAAATAGCGTTTATAAAAGCGCGTTACACCTTTTAATTTCTCTTGCCAACAAAATGTAACACGCTTATAATTAAAAAAAAACGAGTGTGCTTATGACCACACGACTGAAGTGAAACTTTTTTTTAGCTCCATCTGTATGTATGTATATATATGTATATACATATACATATAGTATATGTATATATATATATATAATTTGTGTACAATATATCCATGTATGTGCATATACATTATTATACATATTTCATTCATTAGCTATAAGAGAAAGAAAATGTCCGCGCGCACTGCTTTCTCTTGCTTTTATCCCCCAATCAACTCCCGTTTGCCTCGCTCGAACACATTCTATTCGTAACGCGTAACGCATTATTAGCCAGCTTACCCCCCAAGTCAAGCGTGCGTAGAGAAGTTCACTTCAAAATTAGGATATAATGTACCTCTTAAAATGGTACCTATATTTCTTACCAGACTTAAAGAAAAATATGAATGTATCCATGCACACAAATACATGATTTTAGTGTTACCATCACCAGTCGCAAACCCTGTTCCGCAGTTCAATAAAAAACTTAAATATAAGTTATTAACGAAATTGTTACCATGTACCTTGTTTTTAGCGAGTTTCATCAGTGCCGAAATATCGGAAACTCGCTAAAAACAAGGTACATGGTATCACTTCCGTTAATAACTTATATTACTATAATGCTAGTGACCATTAATGTTTAAAACAATATAAAACTTTAATAGGTGTATTTCGATTAATAACTTCAAAATAACCCTTATATTTTATATAACAACTGTCTTCAAAAGTCTACATACAAATTGAAATTTAATTATACGTACATATTTACTAATTGATTAATTTAACTTATTTGAACATTCAATGTTGCGGAGTCTAGATCAATCATTAATTGCCCTAAACCGGTTAAGGCTGTGATTTATACTTTGTTAGACGCCAATATCTAAATTAATAATATTGAATAGAGAGGCTATCTTGAAAACATTATAATTGATATCTGTTAATTTGTTCAGGCACCGTGAATTTTGAGTTACACGTGGCAATAAAAACAGTTATAATCAGTAAACGTTCTACACCCCCTACAAAAATAATGATTTTTAACGTCAATTAAAATAATGATTAATAACGAAAATTAAAAGCACAATATTGAGTTAACGTTGAGACACTTTAAAAAAACGAGTGTGCTTATGACCACACGACTGAAGTGAAAATTCTTTAGCTCCATTTGTATGTATAATAATAATAATAATAATTTATTGCATAAAAATATGGTATAAAAGGTGTTTGATCATTTTCATGTCTCACATATTTTACTGTTAAACAGCATGCAACAGTTTTTAAATCAACTTAAAATTAAAGTGTAATGCTTGTCAGCTTATCAATATCATGTCAAGATCATTTTATACTCAATATTATACAATGTCAATAAATATAAAATTATCCATTAAAATGTAAAAAAATAAATGTCCAATGTTAAAAATTTGTTTTCTCACAATGTTTCAATAATCAATAATAATCATACAATGGTGTCGATTCATAATAAAATAATAATCAAAAAGTAAAATAGTAAATGCACCAATATTTGCTTTTAGGATCCTCCAGTAATCAGTATCGTACAATGTCAAACAAATTAAATAAATCATCTAAATATATAATACATGTCCAAAATCAAAATTTCATATATTGAAGTCCATTCAGCCTACTTATCCTCAAAATACTCTGCAAGTGAATAATAGCATTTTTCTATTAATAATTTATATAGATGACGTCTGAATAAGGACATAGGTAATGACTTTAATGGCTCAGGCAAATTATTATATATTATCACGGACATTGTAAAGCTATTTCTACTACAAATTTCAGTTCTAGAGTCTGGTAAACACATATTTTTTGGATACCTAGTGTTAAAAGTACAGCAGTCTTTTTTAGTTTTATAAAGGTCAGGGTGCATTTTGACAAAGATACATATTTCAAAAATATAAATACACGGAACTGTCAGCAACTTATAAAACTTGAACAAAGGCCTGCAAGAAACCCAAGAATCAACATTAGCAATAGATCTAATGCATTGTTTTTGTGCAATAAACAGTCTTTTAATTTTTACAGAATTACCCCATACTATTATGCCATACCTTATGATCGAGGCTACATATCCGTGATATGCTTTCAGTGCGGTTTGAGTATTGCTTATTCTAGACAAACGCCACAATGCATACGCAAATCTATTTATTTTGTTACATACTTTGTCAACATGTGCTTTCCAAGTACAGTGATTATCAAATTCTATACCTAAAAACGTTACTTTACTAGTTTCTGCGATTGTTTTGTTGTCAAAAGTAACATTTAGTTCCGCTTTTTTTGCACCTTTATTAGTAAATTGAATGATTTTAGTTTTTTCTATATTTACCCTTAGGTTATTACAATTTAACCAGTTAATAATGTCAGTTACAGTTGAATTAATTATGTCATTTAGGTTTTTGTCAGATTTATTACTTAAGACTACTGCAATGTCATCTGCATACAGAGAGCAAAAAAAATTTATAATTTTTGGCAGATCGTTAATGTATAGTATAAATAGTGGGGGCCCCAAAATAGTGCCCTGTGGTACGCCAACATTATTAGGAATTATCTTTGAAGTATAATCCTTTAACTGAGAATTACTATTAAGATATTTTAGTTCTACGAATTGAGTTCGATCAGTAAGATAACTTTTAATCCATTTCAAAGCAGTTCCCCTAATACCGTACGCTTCGCATTTTTTTAAAAGTAGATCATGTGAAACGAAATCGAAAGCTTTGCACATGTCGAAGAATATTGCAACAGTTTTCAGTTTATTATTCACATGTTTTATTATTTCATTAATTAGTCTAAAAGCCGCTAATGTCGTCGACTTTCCCTTCTGAAAACCATGTTGGTTAGGATCAAGTATTTGAAATTTTCGTGCATATTTCATTAGGCGCGTTTGCATGCATTTTTCAAAGACTTTCGATAAGACAGGAATTAGAGCAATTGGTCGATAGTTAAGAGGATTTGCTTTGTCTCCTTTCTTATGGATAGGTTTTACCACGCTTATTTTTAGCCTATCAGGGAATATGCCTTGTTCAAATGATAAATTTATTATATGTGACAGGATCGGAGAAATAATATGCTTACATTCCTTCAGTGTATTAGTGTCTAACTTATCGTAACCTACCGAATAAGTATTATTTAAGGAATTAATTGTTTTTGAAACTTCTACCTCGTCTGTGGGAAACAGAAACATGGTAGATTCTATTGATTTGATATTGCAATAATTGATGTCAAAATTTTCATTATATTTATTAGTCATGTCAACAAATTTTTCATTAAAAATATTACATATGTCATTTGGATTGTTGTATATAGTTTTGTCTAATTTAACTTGTTTTATTTGACTGCTCAATGTTGTATCGCATGCTACATTATCTTTTATTATATTCCAAGCGGCTTTAGAAATATTCGTAGCTTTTTTTATGTAAGAAATGTTCCAGTTTTTCTTTGCTGTTTCAACACATTTTTTTAATAGCTTGTTGTAGTTTTTATATTTAAAGAAATCGGTAGTTTTTTTAGATTTAAAGCACTTAATTCTTAACCTCCGTTTCGTAACTGACGCTATTTTTATTCCTTTTGTCAGCCATTTTAGGCCATTGCGAACGTGGTTTTGTTTTCTAACAAAATTTAATGGGAAACATAGATCATACGCAAGAGTAATTATATCATGAAATTTGTTGAATGCATTATTTGTGTCGCTTTCAATGAATATTTCGTTCCATGATAATGCGGCTAGGTAATCGACAAACTTAAACTTGTTAGCAGGGCTGAAGTCTCTTTTTTGCGTGAATATTGATTCCGGAGATACCTCTTTCCTATTAAGACAAGTCACAAGTAATTGAGCTTGATCATGATCAGAAAGGGCTAGTGGAACATTTTCTCCTATTGCATCGCTACAGTTGCTAATGATTTGATCCAAGCACGCTGTTTGCCTGGTTGGAGTTTTAATGTGTATTATTAGATTAAAATTTTGTGTAAGCCTGTAATACTCATTTACTATATCTGATTCCTTTAGTAAATCAATATTAAAATCACCAGTTATAATGATTTTCCTGTTTCGGTTATGTCTTAATTTTTCCAGAAGGGATTCTAATTTTTGTAAGAATATATACGGCCTACTATTAGGTATCCTATAAATACAAATTACAATCGTCTTGTATTCTGGTATATCAATGCCACATATTTCGAAAAGGTAATCACATCTAAGTTCTTCGAAAACAGTCAGTTTGTTAAATGCAAGATAATCTCTACAAAATATCATAGAACCTCCGCGCTTCTGGTGTTTCCTAGAGTACCAGTCCGCCAAAGCAAAGCCGTGCAGTGAAGCATTAGACTCATTCCCTGACCTAATGAAAGTCTCGCAAATGCACAGAATATCGATATAAATGTTTTTTGTAGTCAGTTTATTTAGCGCTATTTGTAGTTCATCTTGTTTACTCAAAAAACCACCCATGTTTTGATGCAATATGCTTAATTTGTTTCTTTTAACCTCGAAAAAAATCCTTTGAAAAATCCTTTATATATACATGCATGTACATATAATCATATTTATACAATACATATTTCATTTACTAGCTATAAGAGAAAGATAGAAAGAAAATGGGTACTTAATTCCATTAGCTGTGGTTGAATTTCGGGATGTAGGGGGGGAGGGGTAGGGAGGCTTCCCCCGACTTCCCCCCACAAATGATTTTTGGCGGAAACGCATTTTTTTTAATTAACCTAACCTAAAAATTCATTAAATCTGTTAAATGTAGTGGAATTTCAGGGGGATAAGTGTTAGGGAGGACCCCTCAGAGGGAGGGGTAACCCCCACTCCACCCCCCCGTGGCTACGTTTTTTTACAGATATGATAATTATAAAAAATTAGAGGGGTTTTAATCGTAAAACTGTACTTCCAGGGCCCAAGAGGTGATTCTTGATTTTTTTTGTAGAAAAGGTCTCTATTAACGATTTTTTCTTTCTGTCGCTTCGCCGGCCGCTGCCGCGGCTCGCTCGCTTTGCTCGCTCGGCGCGTGCGTAATGGCCACACCACTGACCTAACCTAACCTAGTGTGAATTTTCACCGCTAAGTAGGACGCCATAGTAGTCAGACAATGTAAATATCAACAGGAGTACCCGCTAAGTAGGACGATGTAAATAACAACACGAGTAAGAAACGCTATTAACTGCGACGAACTCAAAGACTGCCTAACGGATCTCAAAAAAAACACGAAATTGCGGTCTGCTGTCATTTTGACAATAGTACCAACATAATAAACATATTTTTACCACAAACAACGAGAAACATGTTATATTTGCATGAAAAAATGGCAGCAATGATCAAAATGGCTGTCAAAATTGACGTTTTACCTACAAAAATATTGATTTTCAATATGTTTTTTCTCGAGTTCTATTCGTTTCCGCCTAAAAACATTTCATGTACGTGTTTCTAATAATTAAAACTTTGCGTGACAAAAAAATCAGCTCGCTACTCAATCAAAGCTAGTGGAAAGCTGAGCCAGAAAATGTGCACGCGCACTGCTTCCTCTTGCTTATATCCCCCACTCAACTCCCGTTCGCCTCGCCTTAACAGACTTTTCCGTAACGCGTAACGCATTTGCCAGCTTACCCTCCAAGTCAAGCGTGGATAAAGAAGTTTCACTTCAAAACAGAGACTTCTTTTGCCGGAACATAACCTAACTAAATCATTGTCTGAGTCACTACCAAAAGTTTCTCAGGTAACTCACAGTTAAATTGTGTATTTGACAAGTTTTAGAAAACGATCTCACGTTATTGACTAATGTTTATGGAGTCCGTAAAAAGGATATTCATCATTCTGTTGTGTATTTCAATAAAAATAACCAAATCAAAAACTCCAATTTCAAGTTGCCGCGAAAACGTTTCTCTGGACAATATGGCGTCTTACTAGTGTGTGACGTCACACGACTGTTATAAAACGTCAAACGATACACTGTAATGTCATGTTAACCGGAAGTTTACTTGCGTGTGACGTCATTTTAGGCTCCGCCAATCCCAAGCGTTTTGGGTCACGTGACAATAGATAACAAAACTATTATCTTTTCCGTGGGTTTTTAGTAAAATTATGAATATTTTTTTGTACAAATAGTAAAAACCCCTGCCAATATTCATTCTAAACACAGATGCTATCAATTGGCACTTTATTTTTAATATTGTCAAATACCCTATTCACGGTGTATAAGTTTTGAATTATCTGTGTTTTGGTGGTTCCAGAATTGAAAGCGAGTAATGAGATAATTGGCACTGGAGCTATGATTGAAGTACCACAAACCAATTTCCAATGGACAATCACAGGGAACACGAAGGAAGAAATTAGATGTGAAGATGTTGTTGTGAGACTGGTGAGTGGATTATTCGTTAAGCTTTTGTTATACAGAAAATAGTGAATGCAAAGCGAATTAGGTTTTTATAAATAATTATTCACTTATTTACACTCGAGAGCAATGAATCCGGGTTATATAAAAAATCCTTAATTGCTTAATGAAATAAATTGTGTTTAGTAGACAATTAAATACTCCTTAAATTAAAGTCATATTTATGAGTCACCACATTTTATTAAGTAAAAAATACATAAAGGAAAAAACTGGCTGAGCTCGTCTTAAAACAAAAATAGAAAACATGACATTTTTGAACAACATTACGATTCTAAGGAAAATATAACTAGAAAAAATTTCACGCGGATCAGGCAGCAGACGGGACTCGAATCCGCACCCTTCGCTATCCGGGCCAATGCACTGACCAATTATGCTACCGTGGCCCTGATGGCCGCGTCGAAATACTTCTAGCCTTCTTAAGCTGCATGGCAGCGCCATCTCTTCGCATTGTAGGTTACCCACAATGTCAAATGAATACTTTTACAAGAATTAAAAATTTGAAAGAAGAGATAGCAATTATAGTTATAATTTTTTAAATACATATGTAACTTTGATGCTTGATGTTTAAATCTAAAGAAAATATAACTAGAAAAAATTCCACGCGGACCAGGCAGCAGACGGGACTCGAAACTGCACCCTTCGCTATCCGGGCGTATGCACTGGCCAATTATGCTACCGCGGCCCTGATCGCCACGTCGAAATTCTTCTAGCCATTCTTAAGCTGCAAGGCAGCGCCATGGTTAATATGAATGATAAATGACAGATTAGAAACAAAAGCAAAAACAAATGCAGTAATTTCTTAGTTCCATCTTCGAAGGTCTCCCTTTTTCTAATTTGATGAGAATATTTAATTGTCTATCAATTAGAATTTATTTCATTAACCTATCATTCTTAGTTTGCGAGATTTTTACTATTCTTTTAGTGACCCGGATTCATTGCTCTCGAGTGTATTTATAAAATAAAAGGTTTGAGTACGTTTGACTTTTGCCGCACGGGATCAAAGCAATTTTATGAGATAAATTTATTATTATTATCACGAAAAACATCAAAGGTATCATTAAGATAAAGAATACAAGAAAATGCAACTGAACACAAGATCGGATATAAGATGTTGAGATTTAATTTATATAAGTTCACGTATAGGTTAAGTGCCTGTATATTTATTATATTGGCCTTCACTTATGTTTAGGTAACAAATTAAAGTTCTTGTTTACCGCCCATGTTACCCGTCGTCAAAATATTTGTTTAGGTACATACTTCAGTAGATCAAACACATTTATGATGGCAAATTCAGGTACAAAATTGTTGACATAACATTTCAGAATGATAACGAACCGGGAGAATATAGTTTCTCAACAAAAGTAGAAATGGACGAGGAGAAAATAAAGAAAAGCGACAGTAAGTACAGAACTTCAAAATTTTATCTCTTATCTATTAGACAAGTCCGTCCGTCTGTGGTGCTGTTTCAGCGGCCAAACCGTAAGAGATAGATAAAGAGAATATTTAAGTTATAAGTTAAGTTAAGAATAGTCTAATAAGACTACAAACCGGATTTGAGTAACGTAGCACTTCCGGTTTTCGAGAAATCACGAATTTCAAACGAAACCACACAAAATCTCCGAAGTTCTCAATTAATTAAATACATTTTTTTTAAATCAGGTTTTGGTGAACATTTGGTTCACTGGTTTGCTAGTTATCCTATATTCAGCTAAGGTTATTGCAAGCACTCACGAGGAGCTTGATGGCACGGGTGGATAGTGCATTCGTCCAGCGATCGTAAAAGTTAAACAACTTCCGCAGTGGTCAATCATTGGATGGGTGACCAAAAACTTATTATTTCGAGCTCCACCATGCATCTGAAGGAACGTCAAGCCGTTGGTTCCAGCGACATATGAAGTCGTTAGCATCCACAAACCCGTACTGGACGCGCGTGTTGGGTCACAGCCCAGTATTCCTATTCCATCCATAGGGAAGGCCTGTGACCCTGCAGTGGGTACATTAATAGGCTAATAATGAGGCACTTATGGTAGTAAATAAGCTATAGCATTGGTTTACAAAAGTACGTCACTAGATGGCACTGAGAAGAGAAGTAACGCCAATAAAACTCAGATTAATTTTAGTGAGTAGCAGAGCGTAACTTTATATAGCCTAGCTCTAGCTAGTACCTGAGCTCTGTTTAATTTTTAAGCTATTGCATAGATTTTATCGCGGGCTTTGAGCGCGGCGACCGAAAATAACCTGAGAAGAGTGCATATGAAAACAATTTTCGCCTTTCCAGTATTGATCGAAACGGCGCAGTGTGTTAAATTTTTTTCACGGGACCAACGTTCGACGCATCACCGCGGTCGTCGGTTCAAATCCCGCACTCGTTTTTTTTATTATGTTTTTTTTCCTTTTTTATATATGTATATTAGACCCCAGCAGCACCTGTTCTTATTTTTATTTGTCTCCCATTTATTTAGACTTTATAATTATAATTTAGATTTTTGGACTAAAGATGGTAAACTATGGAGCTTTTGGAAGTTTTTTGGCGCCGGGCAATGCTGTTGTTTGCTGTGCTTGTCCAATAAAGTATCATAAGGGCTTGCCTCGCCATCTATTAATATCAAAGAAAAAAATACTGCATGAATAAAATAAATAAATAATTATATTTGCATAAGTTGATAAATAATGCTATGCAATAGCTTTACCGCGACAGTCCCCGAGTGCCACACGTATTTTTTTCTAGTAAAAATGTAGATCATAACTTAAATAGGTACAATATACTGACTGACTGGTAGAGAATGCCTAATGGCATTAAGTCCACCATTGGTACACTCATTTATGCAATAAAGTATAAATAAATATAACTAAATTAATGCGCCATCACAGGTCTAGTACCCATTGGACCCTCAAGATTCGACCCAAAAGCAAAAAGTGCCCATTGGACCTCTTTTTTTGTGTCCATTGGACCTTCTTAAAACATTTTATATTCAATGTGCCCATTGGACCTCTTTTTTGGTGCCCATTGGACCTCCTTAAAAAATTATATTCAGTGTGCCCATTGGACCTCTTTTTAAGTACCCATTGGACCTTCAAGATTATACCCTACTGCCAGTTCGACCTTATTAACAGTTTTGTTAAGCACAGTACAGTCATGTAGAAAATTGCAGACAAAAATAAAATTAATAGTAGGTATTATAAAGCCACTAACTAAATACTGTAAAATCAGGTTACTTTTTTTCTTCGAATTAACGACATTTCGCCGTCCCCGGAGAATAAAAAGATAACTACAAAAACGTAAGTTTTCAGGAAAAATAAAAAAATACTGTTTTTTGTCTATTGCTCTATAAATACTGGACGCAGACAGATGATAGTAACCTTTAAGAAAAGCAAACTTTTAACACATTTGGATTTTTTTGTAAGGTACTCGTACAGTAAGATATAATGGAGATAGTTAGAAAATAAAAAGTGAATCAAAAGTAATCAAAATTTAATTTGTATAATGTTTATTTTTATTTTATTCGTATTGACAAGGAGCCAAAACCAAATATTGCACTACTGACATGTATTTTTATTCTATGTGTTATAAGGGTGCAAGTGACAATGATAATACTTCAATATCTTTTTTTTTTCGTAAATATTGTAAAACCTTTTTTTCTTTAAAGGACATAATATATGTTTGTGCTTTAGGTTTAAAAGAATGATCATTAATTACATTAATTTAAAATTTAATTACATTAATGATCATTAACGTAAAAAGGTTTCACTCAATAGGGCGATCGTACACTATAAATACCCTTACAGCGCAACACCAAATCCACAAGACCTTTCAAATCGAACAAAGTTCGATTGATTCAAAGTTCCTTAAAACAGCTTGGATCTAGACAATCTAAGCAACATGATGGTGGATTTTGCAACGAAATCATTTTTTGATCTAAGACTGAAATTCTGAGGTAGATTGAGTGTTTTTATCGACATTTATACTCCTCTTAAGCACCTAATGAAAGGAAGGTTATAGATTCCAAGCCCAAGCAATCTCTGCGCTTAAACAAAAGGATGGCGCCGATCTCATGTGTGGGAGAGAGAGAGAAAATTTGCTGTCTCGTTCCGATTTATGACCTATGTTGCAGCTAGAAAATAATCTTACCACCGTAGACCATTGCTTAGAAAAATTACTCACATAAGTATCTTAAATATTTAATTTGGTAATTTATAATGTTTTACAAAAGACTGTTAATTTTTTTATGGAGGTAGGTAGTGGGGTAGTGGGTCTTTTGGCAGACTCCAAGTTTTTATGAGACGCAGCGCACTTAATTGTGAATCGTTTGACAAAAAACTAGAATTTTATTTTATCCCGGTTTTTTATATTAAAATAACATAAATCTATCTAATAATTGATTTGCAAATGGCAAGTTTATTTATCTATTTTTTGTTGCCAAGCATCAAATATATTATATTCAAAGCGTAACAAAAGCAGTGATAATAATCCATGACTGGACTGATTGACATATGCCACAGTGATTGAGTTGACGTTATAAGCCAACACGCACTAAAAATATGACGTTACTAAGATAGGGTAGCCAGCATACTTAAAAAATAGTTTAATTATTAAACACGATTTTAAATTAATCGGTAATGAATAAAAAAAACAAAGTATCTATACATGTTATACAAACTTTCAAAATATATATATTTCGCCCCTGCCGGAAACCGACTACCGCTTTTGAACCATATCCTTTAGTTAAAGTATGTTTTTATTATAAGCAATTTCTGGCTAATTGTAAAAATATGATTAGAAATCATTTTTTTATAAAATGTAATATGAAAATATTACATTAGTATTTTATTTTATGAATATTTAGAATACATAATAATTGTGCTTCAATAGTTAATGTGAGTGATATAAAAACTGTATGTATAATTTAGTTAAGATATCTGATAAAAAAACATTTCTATTTAAAAGTAAAATAACAAAATCTGTGATTTGATTATTATATTCTATGGTTTGTTGCTGATGATTGATGTTTCGAATTTTATAAATATGTTGATTTTAAATACTTACATTTATAACCTTTGTGCTTTTATTTATTATCAATATTTAGAATATATAATAATTGTGCTTAATCTATGTGATATAACAAACATTATTTATAATTAAGTTAAGCTATTTGATAAAAAATAATTTCTATTGGCTTTAAAAGTAAAGTAAAAAATCCGTGATTTGATTATTATATTTTATGTAAATATTTATATTGGTTGTTACTGATGGAGAGTTTTGAATTTTATAAAAATGTTGATTAAATACTTAGATTTATAACCTTTGTGTTTTTATGTCTTTTACAATGTTACTTTACTACACGACTGTACTTTACCGTTCCAAAAGAATTAGCCAAATAGTTAAGAGCTGCAATAGCTCCCATTGTGTTGTTAAGTACGTCTTTGAGGGTCCAATGGGCACCATGTTCTTGATAGGAGGTCGAACGGGCACTTTTTTGTAGGTAAGGTCCAATTAGGAGGGTCCAATGGGTACTAGACCCCATCACAGTCCAAAACAAAAGTAAATTAACTACTTCACATTAACTCAGTTGCAGATGTAACAATCTATATTACATTTTTATAAAAACAGCGAGCGAAGCCGCGGGCAAAAGCTAGTACAAAATATAAATTTCAACATACAATATATCTATATACAATAACAAGTATTTATGTCTTAATTTTAAGAAGCATGTAAATAACTTTTATTGTTGGCTTAATTCACAGATTTCAATGAGTCCTGGGTGATGGTAAGTCCCCAAAGTCTTATGGATTTTAACTTTGAAGTATCCAGACATTGCACCGGAAGAGATTGTGATCCTAACTTAAACGTGACAATCGAGTGGACTGTTAGGTACTGAAATTTTTATGTATTCAGAGGGTCTCAGATTACAGAACAAAAGGCTGATGGAGAGTACTGAAAACGCAATGCGTGGCACCATAGCAAATACGAAGACAAAATCGACTATCAATTCGCGTCAGTACACCACTACGCATCATGTTGTGTATACGTCCCGTGAATATAAATTTTTGAAGTGAAAACTTCTTTAGCGGCATTGTACAGTTTTTTTGTAATGGGTAAAAACTGTTAAACTCGCGTAAGGATACGTGGCCTGATCGCGTCATGACATGTGGCCTGATCGCGTCCGGATACGTGACCTAATCGAAAATTCGTAAGACGAAAACAATAAAATTGGAAAGGTTGTTGACTTTCAATATATTGGACGAAACATAGTAATATTTATTTTATCGTATTATAAAAATAAGTCTCTAATTAGGACGTCCAGGTTGTAGCTGTATTGCGAAGAAAATGCATTTTTTTACAATAGATATCGCTAGGTGCGCGTAAATGTGACTCATGTAAGTTGATTTTTCTGAGAGATAAACTTTTAATTGTAATATAAATTGTCATGTTTGTGTACGATAGCGCAATAAATAAATATTGTATTCTACCACATAAATGAACGTATTTTATATTGAAAATTAAAAAAATTCGTGCAAAATTATTCCCTAAACATTCTAAAATATCAAAACTGCACAACGTTAATTTTCAAGTTTTCACTTCTGCCGGCACTCCCGGAGTGCAACCCGTCGTTTTTTTATCAACACTGTGCCGCCTTATTCATACATCGTAAAAACTGTTCACAATGACAAAAATTGTCTTCGTATTTTCTTCGGTGGCACGTAACACACGTAACGCACGCGTGTACCATGCGCTCCATCTGCCATTTGCATTTTGTTCTGTAATCTGAGCAAGGATATTTTATATCTTCCAAGTTCCGAGTTTTGCTTTGAACTACCATATCACAAAATCCCTTTGATAATTCCTATTTCAATTAGGTATGTCTGTTCTCGGAAAAAAACATATGAGATTCAAAATTATCCGTTTCAAAATGTCATTTTTAAGGTTCCGTATCCAAAGGGTAAAAACGAGAAAAAAACCGGACTAATGCTAAGTTGGACTCGCCCACCGAGGGCTCCGCACAAATTTGTAGATACGCAACATAAACGGCCGTATCTTTTTATACGTTAACTTAGGAATGTGAATTTTTAGCAGTTTCAAGGCACCATACTTTTCAGTACATGTATTAAATTTCAACTCGATACTTCCACGCGTTCCCGAGATAAAGGGGTCTTCACAGACAGACATACAGGCATACGTGACAACCTATAAATAAGGGGTCCTTTTTCTCCTTTTGAGCTAAAGTACCCTAAAAATATCTAGAAAAATATAAAATGCTTAAATGAATTGCATTTCCAACAGTGACTACTATCAACTGGGAACTTCAGATACTTTATCACCAGTATTGCAAGTTTTTAATAGCGGTAACAGTTCCTTCGAGTCCTGCGTATTGGTGCACGTGAGTGGGGCACCAGTTTCCCAAATCGGTTGCGGGGACAAATCCGATGGTTACAAATGCTATATGCCTAGACCTCTGAGAAGAAACGCCATGGTATGAAGATAATATGTTTATACTGAAATTATAGAATTGTAAATAAAGCTGAAACAGCAGTCATGGTAACAGACACATCCATCAGCGTTATTTTATTTTTTATTTTTTTTAAGTAAAGAACAGTAATAGGGTATTTGACAGTATTAAAAATAAAGCGCCAATTGTTAGCTTCTGTGTTTAGAATGAATATTGGCAGGGGTTTTTACTATTTTTACAAAAAAAAATCATGATTTTATTAAAAACCCACGAAAAAGATAATAGTTTTCTTATCTATTGTCACGTGACCCAAAACGCTTGGGATTGGCGGAGCCTAAAATGACGTCACACGCAAGTAAACTTCCGGTTAAAGTGACATTACCTTGTATAGTTTGACGGTTTAATGACAGTCGTGTGACGTCACACTAGAAAGACGCCATATTGTCCAGAGAAACGTTTTCGCGGTAACTTGAAAATGGAGTTTTTGATTTGGTTATTTTTACTGAAATACACAACATAATGATGAATATCCACTTTTTACGGACTCCATAAACATTATTCAATAACGTGAGATTATTTTCTAAAACTTAACAAATACCCTATTAAGTTGTTTTAACCGGGGTACCCAACACTATTTTGAAGTATAGCTTAGGTGAAATATGTTGAAAACTCGATTTTTCACGTAAAAAACAGCGTTTGGTAAAACAATTTGATTACTTTCCTGAAACTTAATACTTTTAACGGACCAAAAAAAAAACAGTGGCCTGAAAAACGCTTCAAAGCAACAGCATAAATTTATACTTGAATAGTTGCTTAAATCGTCTTTTTTTGCATTTACTTTTAAATACTTAAGAAAAACCGAAACAATTGCCAGAAATACATTTTGTGACTGTCAGACAGTTTAGTAGACACATCCAACATGTGTCTATTAAACTGTTTGCTAGTTTTAGCTTCATGTACTATAAAACAAAAAAAAAGCTCATTTTAATATTATCAATTTAATTTTCAGCACACCATACCTATTGTTTTCAACGTGAGCCAGCCCACGAACCAACAGAAGGAGTTGCGAATACAAGTCTCTCTTTTTGAATTCTGCAACCAACCAAACGTTAAGGAATTCGAATTTGTTCTGCCGTACAAGGTCGATGTGGATAAAATAGTTCTCAAAAGGTAGGCCCGAAGTTATCAAACCACTTGAATAAATGAAAATAAATAATAAATATCGTTATTAATTTGTATGCAAAATAAATCATATGTAGGTATAAATCTAAAGAAATTTTTTTTCAAACACGCAGCTTTCGCTATATTCCCGCATTTTCTAGAAAAAAAATCTTTAGGTTTACAAATGTAGCAGTTAAATGCTAAAAATAAATTTAATAATTTATATCTATTGATTGCTGGATGCGGATAGCGCAGGACCGCGCATTGTGGCGTTCTTTGGGGGAGGCCTATGTCCAGCAGTGGACGGAGAAAGGCTGATGGATGGATGGATATCTATTGATATGGACGGTTCAAATTTGTAAGGAGGGTGATAATTAGGCTTCGGCAGACTCCAAATTTTTATGAGATGTAGTGCACTTAATTGTAAATCGTTTGACCAAAACTAGGATTCATTTTGTCCCCGTATTTTAAAAAAAATGTAAAATAATACTAGCTGACCCAGCGAACTTCGTACCGCCATAAAAAAATAGGGGTTGGTGGTAGAAAGTTGAAAATTTAGGGATGTATGTATTTTTGTATGATGTATCATAAAAAAAAAATAGGGTTGGATTACCCTTAACATTTAGGGGGATGAAAAATAGATGGTGTCCGATTCTCAGACCTACCCAATATGCACACAAAAGGACATTGTTCTGCGTCCATACATAGTTAGCCTAAAAACCAACAATCTTGAAATATTATTTTCTAGGTTCGAAATCGCAAGTAAATGACTGTAAAAACAAAGATTATTGACGGACACTTCTGAGAACTTAAATTATTAGGAAAACTAATTTTTTTTGAGGTTATGTTTAATATTCAATGAAACATAGGTCAACCTATGAACTTACCATTACCATTATATTCGGTGCGATTTTAAAGAATAACTGTTAGAAAAAACTTGGTTAGGTAGAAATCATGAATAAAATGAAAACAATAGTTTTGCTTCTTATTATTTATTGACTATTATTATTCACATATTTGTATCATATTGTATTTATTTGTTAAAAACATGTATATTGTGTAAATATGCAGCGTGAATGTGTATCAGGTGCTCCTGAATAATTTGGCAGTATGATCCTCTCAGGATGTTGTGGCACAGGTTCACTAGCACTTGGTAATAAGGTCTCTGCTCTTTGGTAACATCGATGGCATATTAGATAGCCGAAATAGTAATCATCATCATCATCAGCCTATTAATGTCCCCACTGCTGGGGCACAGGCTTCCCTATGGATGGAATAGGGAGATTGGGCCATGACCCACCACGCGGGCCCAGTGCGGGTTGGTGGGTGCTAACGACTGCAGATGCAGCCGGGACCAACGGCTTAACGTGCCTTCCGAAACACGGAGGAGCTCGAGATAGTAAATTATGGTCACCCATCCAATGACCGACCACTGCGAAAGTTGCTTAAATTCAACGATCGCTGCGGAACGCGCTAACCACTTGCGCCATCGAGCTCCTCCTCCGAAATAGTAATAGTTAAATTAAAAGAAAAACAATCGCAAATAAACACACACAACAGGTAATCCGAACGAGAATTTTCCGTATATAAAAAGTACTCTTTGACAAGAATGCACGAATGCCACAAATTACTACGAATGCAAACTGCCTGCACCACAACCACAGAGTATCGAGTTTATGCCGATCCTTCACTTGACAACAGTTTGTCCTTGTCATGCTTAATAAGGAATGAAAAGGACAGGCTGATGTCATGTTTTTAAATAGCAAATACGAATAGCCAAGTGAAGTGCCGGCATTAGGAAGAAAGTGTTTTTTGTTTGCAGCGCTGTCATAGATTATCACATAAAATGGTATTTATTGTCTCAGATTATTTATTGACTTTTTAATTTAGCTTACTTAACTAGAAGTGTCCGTCACAATCTAAATACTGATAATTATCTCAAAAAATATACTAAGAATTATCATAAATGCCAAATTGGTGTTGGTTCTTAGGCCAATTTTAACATTGTCCTTTCACGAGAATCGGGAAAGCCGTTTCGGAGGAGTTTAACCACAAACACCGCGACACGAGAATTTTATATATAAGATAAAATTATATCATTTTTGATTGGCAAATGGCAAGTTTATTTTTTTTGTTGCCAAAGAATCATATTCTATTCAATAGGTAACTAAAGCAGTGATAATTATTCTGTTCACCTTTCATTACATTGTTAGGTAGTTTTTGGTCATTTAAGAGGAATCAATCATAAATTGGTTTATTAAGTTTACCATTTAAATCTTTGAGTTTATCACGATTTCAGGAATATCATGCATGACGAGATTGATTGACATTTGCCATAGTGATTGAGTTGACGTTATATTTTGCCACACACTAAAAATATGACGTAACCTATGACATGGGCGGCCAGCATCATTACTAAATTATTAAAATTTTCAACACAATTTAAAATTAATCAGGGTTAAATAAAAAAAATAAAATTATCTGTTCACCCTACTTATATTATAAATGTCAAAGTTTGTATGTTACTCAATCACGAAAAAACTAACTACTGAAAGGATTTTGATGAAATTTGATTGTAATTAGGTATAAAATCATCCACCCTCAATCCAAATCATTATACAACAGTTGCATAAATAACGCCTGGCCCGCGTGGATTTTTTTCTAGTAAAACTTTTCTTTAGATTTAAACGTCTAGCAGTTAAATGCTTAAACAATAAAACAAAAACATAACTATAATTGCTATTTCTTCTTTCAAATGTTTAATACTTGAAAAAGTATTCATTTGACATTGTGGGTTACCTACAATGCGAAGAGATGGCGCTGCCTTGCAGCTTAAGACTGGGAAAATTTCGACGCAGCCATCAGGGCCGTGGTAGCATAATTGGTCAGTGCATTCGCCCGGATTACGAAGGGTGCGGGTTCGAGTCCCGTCCGCTGCCTGGTCGGCGTGTATTTTTTTCTGGTAAAACTTTTCTTTAGATTTAAAACATCTAGCAGTTAAATGCTTCAAAAATAAAATAAAAACATACTAAATTGTTATTTGAACATTTCAGCTCTGGACATGGTCAAACCATTTCCGATGTAGAAATAAAGGATGTTAGAGAAGAATCAATAAATGACGCTCACGAGTACTTGGTAAATATGATGTTTTTACAATCATACTAAGATTATATATGTGAAAGTTCTGTATGTTTGTTACTAAATCACACAAAAACTACTTAACGGATTTTTGGATGAAAGGCACGCAAATAGTTTGATTGAGACATAGAATGCATTTTATCCCGGCAATAAATTAGTTTCCTGTGGGATTCTTAAAAAAGCAAAGTTTTTTTACACACACTAATTAGCCATTCCTCAAAGTAAGCACTGTAAGGCTTGTGCTATGGAATGCTAGTGTAACGAATAAAATCATATACTGTACATGAATAAGTATATTTATAGAGAAATACATATTAAACATCCATGACTGGAGTAGAAATGCTCGTATTCAACAAACAAACATCTACCCCCATCGGGATTCGAACCCTCGGACCTCTCGAGTCAGCGACACCATGAAACCCGGCGTACAAATCACTCGGCCACGGAGGTCGTCAAAGTCAAAGACGTCAAGTTAACGCGGACAAAGTCGCGGGCGACCGCTATTATATAGGCAGCGGTTGCGATTGCACTCGAATCGGCTGATAGGCCTTCATTTGGCTATCGCCTAGGACTATATTACCGTTCGGTAAGTTTTCCTATCAGTTTGCTGGCACTCAAGGTTTTAGCAGAACTGATGTATACCTACCGCCTAAATGGTGTGACTGATGACATTTCAGTCGCCATCCATTTTGTATACTTCATGACTGATGGAATTGACTGAAACCTGCATGAGCGTCTAACAGACGCTTAAACGAAGCGTTTAGGCATCCGTTAGTAAGCGCAGAAATCCCCGAATCTGTGATCCGTTTGGCCGACTAATCGGCATATTTAAAACCGACAAATAGGCTAGTCGGCCAAAGTCATAATCAGCACATCTCTACGATTAATATATTTTTTTGGAAGTCAGCATTTACATAAATACGTACCACCACACATCTTCCACACGATCATTATGTAAAGTTGAGTTCTTAATACATACAATTGTACTTAAATATATTTTTTTCTTGATTAGATAGTAAACGAGGGTCCTGTGACGTGGAACGATATAAATTTAATGATCGCTATAGAAAAACGGCCTTTCATTCAGACGTACAGGGTATGTTGTTTTATTATTATTATCATGTCATATCATTTTTTTTCGTTATCATCTGTATTAATGTTAAAAGAGATAATGTTTGTAATTTTGTTAGTAACTTTGTAGCAAAATAATGTTTGGAACTAATGAACCTAATAAAAATTCTTTCAGCAGTAGAGAGCTACATTATACTTAAGTAACGTAGACTATATTTCATCTCGTAAAAACAAATTTCAGCCATGGAGGGTCGCCATTTTTTATATTTAGCTCAATTCAACATTAACACATATCATCTGTAAAAGTTAATAAAACCTGGACCTAGAAAAGTCCCCTGGGGCAGCGTATAATAATTCAAATCTTTAATGTTCTTTTTTGAACAACAGGTGTCAACGTATGGGTGCAAAGATATCTCCAATGACCAAAGTGCCCTTTTTGAATGCAGCTTAAACTTAAGGCCTCATGCTATCGTAAAAGTAATAGCTACTAGTGTCATACAAAAGTCAAAAATAGGTGCGTATACTAAATATTTCATCTAAACTAACATTTTTGGCGTCCGATACAATATTCTCGGGAGTTAATAAAAAACATACTTTAATTCTCACTACTTGAGGACTATTGGCAGCAGCAAGGTTATTAGGACCGAACTCCCAGTATACAGCACGACACTGCACCAACTCTGTAGATTGTTCCAAAAATAGCAGCACACTCACTTAAAATTAGTATAACGTCACGCAAAAACTCACTGATAATTCAAAGGCTCACGGACAAAACGGCAAATCCGCCTCATTAGGAAATCCGTTCGTGGCCTAACAAAGCTTTACAACTAAAGCAACGCACGAACAATGAATCTAATCTACCAAAAAAACTTAAACTTAGGCTAAGAACTCCTTCACGTCGCAATTTTTACCCGCGTCCGCCGCGGCTGCGGGCCGCATCTCACGCAGAATGTGAAATTGTAGTTAAGACGAAGATTTGCGCCCGCAGAGCACACGGGTTTTTGCGGCACCCGTTGCGGGTTTTATATACAAATATATTTAATAAAAACATCATACAGTCGGCTTATAACCATGAATCCCACACTAGGAGGTCCTGTATCGTAGGTACCCAATGAATGTAAACGAGATTGCGACGTGTGTGTGTGTGTGTGTGTGTCTCTGAGTGTGTATGTGAGTGTGTGTGTTTGTGTGTGTGTGTCCTTGTTTGTACGTATGTGGGACGGTGAGAGACAAGGTTTTCGGGTTGGGTTATGTTATTCCAGTCGAAGCACGTAAAATCTCCTCAAGAAGGGAATGTCATAATTAACAATAACTCGGAAAGAGTAATAGCAAGTAGCAATAGTATAAAAGGCTTATTAACATCTTCCTCTATAAATGCTTATTTATATAATAAATAAGATGTATAACAAAAATATTCTTTATTAATGACAACAAAAGGTACAACAATAATTACAAATTAAATAATTAATTGAGTTCGCCTGTCCGGGGCACGGTCGCTAGTAGACTGGGAGCGTTGCCTCGCTGTATCGCTAAAATGATTCGTGGAGCGAAAAAGCTACCCTGTGGGTCCCCCGTAGCCTTGCACAGGCGAGCAGTCATATTCTTAAGAAATAATCTTGCAGTAGTACTCCAAGGACCTATTGCCTCTATTATTATTTATATTAAAAATCTTATTATGTATACCTTCCTTAAATTAGGAACGAACCACAAGATCTTAGTACACACGTTGCGGGGACAATTATAGCTTCCACGACCTACGCGGTTTCAGTGCGGCTTGGTCGATATTAAGGACTGCACCCAGTCAGAATTGCAGCTGGGACTGGGTGTTTGAGATAATAAATTTTGTGTTGTTGACTGTAATGTGTATTCTATAAGACGGAGAACTTTAAAATTATGTGAATCAAATCATTAGCGTGTACGGTCCCACTGAGCAACATTTCTTAAATTTTACTGAGTGCTTGCCAAAGTAGCGTATTGTACTATTCTATGAATGAATGAATGAATGAATATTCTTTATTGCACTATTTAACAAAATATAACCAACATAAAACTCAAGGAATACAAACACAAAAGGCGGTCTTATTGCTTAGGTAGCAATCTCTACCAGGCAACCTTTGGCTAAATGAAATCATACCATGAAAAAAGAAGAAACTGCGGGCTAGTGCATTTTAAACATAAAATAAAATAAAATAGACGTAAATATAAGAATATAAAAATAGTAAATATATAAGGAAGCTATAAAATATAATACAAAGTAACTAACAGATAAAAAGGAAAAGATCAGGCAGAGTAAAGCTTGAGGAAATATATAAATATTGTTATCGCGAAGACAGCATTAACTTTAATAAAACTCAAAATTCAATTGACATCTATGGCAACCACGGTTAGTGAGAGATTCATATAATTTTCTTAATTTCAGTGGAAAATTTAAAGGATGGAAAGTTGCAAGTAGCCTCACACTTGACTTTATCATTGGACCATAATAATACAGTTGTGAGAAAGACAAAGTAAGTATTTGTTATTTTATTCGTTCATTCGATTCATATTCATGAAATTAAATTCAGTTTCATTGTTTTTCAACAAACGTTAGTTTGTGAAAATTTATTGTTTTATAAAAATAGATTAAATGAGAATGAAAGGCTCTGGTTCGAATCCAGTCTGATGCCATTGGTTAGATTTTCTTCAAATATATAAAATTTAATTTAAATAACCTAGAAACTAATGAATAGCAGATTCATACTTAAAGATATAATGAAACTGCTTTGTTAGGAATTAACAAATGTTTTGATTTTTGGCAAAGTTATCTCAAAATTGTTGCCTGCAATGTAATAACTTGGCCGAATTGATTTTTTTGCAACATTTAGTTTAAAAATATCTCTTATACAATTAGCTGATTTGGCCATACGTATATTTTTTAAATTTACCTTGTTTTTGACAAAATTAATTAAAATATAAAATCTTTTTATTTTTTAAGTTTGACTACGTTCATCATATGGCAAAAAGAGCTGTCACTTGCCCAGAATAAACAGTTGATCATCTTCTTGGCTGTTCTAGGCGCTTTGGTAGCACTAGCTTTGGTTATATTTATTCTTTACAAGGCAAGTAAATAGATTACCATGCTATGTATTATTATTTTATAAGGTTCTACGATATCATGAAAGCACCTGCTTAGAGGAATGAAACTTTTCGTCAATGATGCGCTCATACCTAAACCAAATTTAACGATTTACAATAATACAAACTCAACCACATATTCATTTTATAATTTCAATGAACTTATCTTAATTCTTTCTAAATATTTACGGTCAAAAATAATAATATCGAATTAAATACCTCGTCTCTTTTTGAGTGAGTAAGAAATCAGAAGTATAAAACAAAATTCTATGCTTTTTATTTTTAATGACTAAAAGAAAGAAAGGAAATTAAATTTTATTCCATCCAAGAATAATAAATAAACTAAAATTTTAATCTTATGATTTGCTTCTGAAGAAGCAATAAAAGTCCCTGACTTTGTAGTAACTGAACAATCAGTGTGAACATTGTGCATTATGCATAACTTTATGCTTTGTTATGCCTTTGCGAGGCAGCAGAGCGTCAAACCATGAAATGTATTTAGCTTACGTATCCCATAGAGAATTTAATTTACATTTGGAGTTAAACCTCACACAACCAAAGCTGTGGAAGGAGCTCTCTGTTGGGATGTTCTCAAATGAATAGAGCTTGATAATGGTTCTTCAAATGAGTCACAAAGATTTTTTACAGATTCAGCGATGCGTGTAATATACACGATTCAAAGCCTGTATTGAAAGTTGAAATACAATATTTATCATGACCGGCCATCGCATCGAAAGCGAATGCAGTTTGCATTTCAAACGTGTCTTTAATGTGGCACTTATTATGTCACTTGGCAATAATTGTAATAGCAATTCAAGCGGGGGAGCTGTCAGAATATTAGCGCTACTGAGCCTTGTGGCAAGTTTCGTAGCAGCATAATCATAATCATTAATTCAGTTAAGGCTGTTATAAGCACTCATGAATGTCTAGAAGCTACGCCATCGGTTCGTAAATCTACGGCGGGAGACCTTGTACTGAGAAGAACAGCTACGGCTGTTTTGCAGCCTAGACTGAGGTAGCGACCTCCATTGGCCTTTCCTTTAAATTTTTTTCTTATAATTTTAAACTTATTAACCCTTTTCTCATTTTATTAATGCATGTTGTTCTGATAATGTTTTCTATATGTAGGGCAATAATATTATTTTTTCATTGCGCTTCCTTTTTTATATACCATTTGATGAATTTATATTATTTTAATGTTTTATCCCTCTGGCATCCTTGTACAGGCCCTACCAGATTATCAGCGCTGTTATGGTGGGAATATTAGTTCCCACGATAACAGCATTAAGCTGAGGCAGGGTCCTGATTGGCCATTCTTCTTTCTCTTTTGTATTTATCTGTTTTGTTTAATTTTATTGTTTTTTTGCATATTGTTTTTTCTTTTTTCTACATATGTATTTGCGTGTATGGCCAATAAATAATTTTTCTTTACTCTAACGGACGCACTCAGAGTAGGCCAGTAACCTTTTACCTTTTCTCTTTAAAATAAATAAGCAAAATTTCCACGTGGTGCATCAGACAGATTACAACTTTCCTTATTACCTTTGCGACAACAATAGGATAAGACAACACTTGACTAAAGGAGACATTAAATGATTTTGACGTTTCTGAGGATGGTTTTAGTGTTCGTTTATGAATTACAATGCTTATTATAAAGTTTAGATAAAAGTTGTATATAATTATAATAATACAAGCGATCGACATGTTATTTTATTATTTACGACTTATTTATCAGTTTCGTAAAAAGTTCACAAGTTCTGTATCACTTGGGAAAAAACGGAACCCTCATAGGATCATTTTGTTGTCCAACTGTCAGTCCGTCTGTCTGTGTGTTAAGAAACTTTATCTCGGGAACGCATGGAATATATAGATTGAAGACAGTTGAAATTTGTCATATACTCAAATTACGGTCCTTTGAAGCTGTGAAAAAATATTTTTTTTATTGTGACTGTTTAATAAGACGCTTAATCATGGGAATTAGTGGAGGTATCAAGTTGAAATTTAAACCAAATACTGGAATCTACAGTCTCTTAAATTTCTGAAAAAAGTACACTTATAAGTTAACGTAAGAAAAAGATACGGCCGTTTGTTGCGTACTTACAAAGTACGATACCATTGATGGGCGAGCCCGACTCGCACCTGTCTGATTTTTTTTAAGAGGTCTGAAAGTTCATAAGAGCTCTTGTATATATATTTTATTGACTCTGCACGTTCTTACCGGTTGACTGGTAGAGAATGGTGGTCATTGCCATGCTGGCATTAAGTCCGCCATGTGCAATGTAAAGGCATTAAAGATTAAATCAATAAATAAAATATACAAGATGGCCGAAAAGTGACGTCCAAAAAATTTTTTTAAGTGTCTTGCCTAGTAAATAAAACTAGTTTTTCACGGGTTAATGCACGAAACTTTATTTATTTATTGACGTTTCGCAGCCCTTACAGGCTGCGTCGTCGGAATCATTTTTTTTTAAATTTAATTTTGTCGAACTACCTTCGAAAGACTTTTATTGAGCGTTCGGTTATTTCATTGTTCGATTTTTAAAGTTTTATGGTCTATGTATGAATTTATTTTTTAATTTAGTTAATAAAGTACTTTATTTAAAAATCTTTTTTGTAATTTTGAATTTATTTATTTGACCCTACCGTAAACTACCATTCCAAAATTGGGAGACCTTTCTGAGAAGAACTGGCGAAACAAACTCAAGAGAGGCTTTTTATCTCCTACTTATGTTAAACGTCAATAAATAAATAAAGTTTCGTGCATTAACCCGTGAAAAACTAGTTTTATTTAATGAGTGATGTGCGTGAAAACCTAAGAAACAAATATGCCTTGCCTAGTGTTAAGAGGTATCTGAATCAACCCAATGTATGTTCTACGATTCGTCATAATGTTCAAGTTACTTTGCCGGTTTTTAATGAATTTTGCAGAAATTCATTAAAAACCGGCTCAGTTTCTAAAATTTATAAAAAAAAGGTAGAAGGTTTCTTAAATTTTTTTTGCTGCTAATTTTCTTTGAACTTTACATTTATGCATAAAATAAATAGCCTCATAACTTTAATGGAAGTTACTTAAAACTTGACCTAAACTTGAGAATTTATGTTAAGTGAGTTATAATTTGAATTTTCAACTTAAAATTAAAAATCTAAACTGCCCATTTCTTAGTTTCTAAGAAGCTTCAGTGAATGTGATAGACTCTAAGCTTTCATAATAATAATAAAAAACTAGTACCTCATAAGCTATTTTTTTACCGAAATCGGTACATGAGTTGAATTTAACCTCACAGTAGTTTCATTAAGTGAATAGTGCTATGAAATGAATGAAATGAAATGAAATGAAATGAAATGAATGAAATGAAATGAAATGTCATTTATTCAGTCTAGGCTGTTACAAGCACTTGTGAAGGTCAAGAAACTACGCCATCGGTTCGCAAAACTACGGCGGGAGACCTTGTACTGAGAAGAACCGGCAAGAAACTCAGCAAGGGCTGTTTTTTTTCTCCCTGTATAGTTATATACAGTGTCGTCAAGTTGAAAAATTACTTCAGAAATACGTCTGAAGTCACTTTCCATTACATCATCTAGAATATAAATATATTGTTACAATTAATTTTATAGTTAACATTATATGTAGTATATAGGAAGCGGCATTAGATAGGTACAATATTACTGTTATGAAAAATGACTAATACCCATTTAATATCAAATTATAAGAAACACTATGTCCATGCATTACGATCATTTTAAATCATCAAGTTAAATGTATCATTTCCAATTTCAGATGGAGTTTTTTAAAAGAAAAGAGAAAACAAGGCTTGATGCTTTGAAAAAAGAACATATACGGAGAAAAAGCATCGTAAGTACTTTTCTTTAAACATCATCATCATCATCAGCCTATTAATGTCCCCACTGCTGGGGCACAGGCCTTCCCTATGGATGGAATAGGGAGATTGAGCCATGACCCACCACGCGGGCCCAGTGCGGATTGGTGGGTGCTAATGACTACAGATGCAGCCGGGACCAACGGCTTAACGTGCCTTCGGAAGCACGGAGGAGCTCGAGATAGTAAAAAAATTTGGTCACCCATCCAATAACCCACCACTGCGAAAGTTGCTTAACTTTAACGATCGCAGCCGAACGCGCTCACCACTTGCGCCATGGAGCTCCTCACTTTCTTTAAACATGGTGTAACAGAAATAACGCACCTCTTGAAAGTAGTTTGGTTGGAATTGGCCTCTGAATCGATTCCTATAAAAAAAATGGGTGCGTGTACTTATGTAGGCGCGTGAGAAGTTATCCTTCTTTGGCATCGTTTAAAATTAGTTTTTAATTGCATGCAAATAATTAATTACAATAAATTAATAAAAAGTCTGGAAAAGGACACAGTCAATAAAGTTCAGTTTTAATTTGAAAAAATAAATAAATAATCAAAATATTCAATTAAAATCGCTACTGAATATAATTTATTAGAACATATGTGATTTGCACTTGTATGAAACTCAAACACGTAATCCGAATATACAAACTAGAAACATGTGGATAAATATTATAAATATGAATACCTATAACTGTTACTTTATTACAAAAAATAAAGATGTGGTTTTTGGTTCTACTACACCAATGGTCAAGAGATGACGCTGTAGTCTCCTGAATCGCGCTTTGGTTCCGTGGTTCCAGATTAATAAATACTTTTGATAGGCCTTCACAATGCAGTCGTTAGCACCCACTAAATAGAGATTCTATTTCTATTTTGTTGGTAGATTTTCTTAATGTGCGGTAAACACAAAAGTAACAGCATGAAGTTGGTCGCTAAAGCGACCAATTTCATGCTGTTAAAACTTTGTGTTACAGTGATGCGCGCGCATCTTAAAATTTCACTCTCATCATTTTTTCATAACGCGCCTAAAGAAGTATAACTTCAAAAAGCCAGTGTGCTTATGACCACAGGACTGAAGTGACTTCATTAGCTCCAATGATCTGAAAATCATAAATTAACCTGAAGATTTGTTGATAGAAAAAAAACCACCAATCCGCACTAGGTCCGTTATTACCCTCCAATCCGACCTGGGTGCATTATCACCTACCAATCCACTCTGGGTTCATTGTCACCCACTAATCCGCGCTGGATCCGTTAACACCCACCAATCCGCACTGGGTTCATTGTCACGCGCCAATCCGTGCTGGATCCGCTGTCACCCTCCAATCCGCACTGGGTCCATTATCACCCACCAATCCGCGCTGGATCCGTTAACACCCACCAATCCGCACTGGGTTCATTGTCACGCGCCAATCCGCGCTGGGTCCGCTGTCGCCCTCCAATCCGCACTGGGTCCATTATATCCCACTAATCCGCACTGGGTCCGTTATTATCCACCAATCCGCACTGGCTCCGTTATTATCCACCAATCCGCACTGGGTCCGTTATTATCCACAAATCCGCACTCTGTCCGTTATCACCCACCAATGCGTGTTGGGTCCGTTATCATCCACCAATCCACACTGGGTCCGTTATCACCCACCAATCCGCACTTGGTCCGTTATCACCCACCAATCCGCACTTGGTCCGTTATCACCCACCAATCCGCGCTGGGACCGATATCATCCAGCAATCCGCACTGGGTTCGCTATCACCCACCAATCCGCGCTGGGTCCGTTATTATCCACCAATCCGCACTCTGTCCGTTATCACCCACCAATCCGTGTTGGGTCCGTTATCATCCACACTGGGTCCGTTATCACCCACCAATCCGCACTTGGTCCGTTATCACCCATCAATCCGCACTTGGTCCATTATCACCCACCAATCCGCGCTGGGACCGATATCATCCAGCAATCCGCACTGGGTCCGTTATCACCCACCAATCCGCGCTGGGTCCGTTATTATCCACCAATCCGCACTCTGTCCGTTATCACCCACCAATCCGTGTTGGGTCCGTTATCATCCACCAATCCACACTGGGTCCGTTATCACCCACCAATCCGCACTTGGTCCGTTATCACCCACCAATCCACACTTGGTCCGTTATAACCCACCAATTCGCGCTTGGTCCGATATCATCCACCAATCCGCACTGGGACCGCTATCATACACCAATCCACGCTGGGTCCGTTATTACCGTTATTACCAAGCACTAGATTCATGTATTTTGTGACAGGTATTGTTCATTGTTTACCGCTGAGTTACCGACGACACTAATCATAACGTGAAATCGTAAAACAAGCGTGCCTAAAGAAGTTTCACTTCAAAAATCCGAACATATAGTGAACTACTTAATTGAATCATTCTAAGCAAAAGAATATGATACATAATACAAGTAAATAAGAGCAATTTTTAAATGCAACTGTACATATAATAATTTACTAACATTGAGATATCACTGGTTCAAATAGTCAGGTCAAATAAGACAGAAAAATAAGTGTGAAGGTGCATAAATTCACATCAAGCTGAAAGTGAGTACAATTGTTCAAAACATAATTAAAAATATCATGTCAAAATGAAAATTCCGTTGGGGATAATTTCTTGTGCAGTGGAATCACTTTTTCAGCATATTATTCACCAAGTTATACCTATGCATATTTTATATTTTTAATGTAAGTTACAATCACCGATAGAAAAATATTTTTACTAATATTACAGCTACTGAGATGTACGAGTATATGCATGGCATACTTATGCATATTATAACGCTTACAATTTTTAAATCGTTATATCTCTGGAATGGTTGCTCTAAGCCCCGACTAGGCCGGGAGGCTGCTGGGTGCGAAGACGCGGAAGAATCCCTAAACGGGGATCCCGCGGTTTCGCACTAAGCAGCTTAGAGGGTATTCGCAGGGTTTTTTAACGGATATTATGCCGTAAAGTGCCCGTAAGAGTTACGGGGTCCTCAGTGGGCAGCCACTGTGGGGGCTCGTAAGGTTTGCGGGAGTCAGGTGTGTGGTCTGTTCGGCAGTATGCCTCTTAAAGGCGCCGTGGTCTATTAACAGAGTTTTTGCCTGCGTGAAAAAAAAGGAACGGTGCTCTTATGAAAAAATATTAATACTTTTTTAAGATAATTTTATGATCTTCTTTTTTGTCTAAGATAATTTTACGATAAAACTTACCATTTTGATGAAAATAGCGATTACCCCATTTTTTGACCTTTTACGTGTGTGCTTTATCTGTTACACGTTTATAAAACAAAAGTGGTAAGTTTCCGAGAATAGATACGATGGATTTACCATTGCTATCAACCAGCTTAATCTTGTTTATGTCTTCGGCATTTCATTAATATAAGTTCCGGATAATGCACCACAATTATTTAGCTGCGTATGCATACAATATGCATTTGGATGTTACAAAGTTTTATACAAATATGTTACCTGTTCAAAAGCCATGATCAGTCATAGTTACATAAGTATAATAAACTTAAGGCGGTTCACCCACTGCAGCGCGCTACGGCGAGTAGCGCGTGAGCATCGATTTTATCGTTGTTTGCAAGTATCTCAGTTTATATAGAAATCTCGCGACGTACCAAACACTATAACTAATAAGTTCGCAACTTCCGCACCCGTAGGATAAGAGTGCGAAGACCCGGTCTATACACGACACGCTATACCAGGTACGTACCTGGTCATTTTTCCCCGTCCCCCACGAAAACGGTTAACTAGAGCCGAGGTCCGAGTCTCAGAGACGCCCTCTAGTTGAGTCGAACCCCTCAGGTTCGAGTGGTATAGAGGTTCCAGACGAAGAGAAGACTTCCCCCGTGGGGAGATGCTATCCGCTTGGAATACTTCTAGAGGCACTCCCCAATTCTCGGCTTGAGGTCCCCTTAGGATCTCGCCGTCCCCAAACCCGATGACGCTGTAAAGGTCATCTGAGACCAAAAGCATACACATTAAAAAAAAAATGAAACGGTGGCGAGTGACTGTAGGCGCCAACTGAGACCCCTGCGCCCGTTTGAAACGTACACGCTTCACTATAAGTAAAGCCGCCTCTAGGCTTAATATGCCTTCCGAAGCACTGAGAAACTCGAGATAACTCCTTTTCGGGATATTTAAAAAGTTGCCTAACTTTCACAATCACTATCACTTTTCGCGTTAACTACTCCAATTCACCTTATCGAACTCTTGATTTTTATCAGAATTCCTTAAAAAAAAATATTCTGTTTAGGTTTATGATCTAGACTTGAAAACGTAACCATCAAATATTCAAAAAATTCAGTAGAGAAGTATGTACTTAATCATCAAAATAAGTAAAATCATCCCGCCCATAGGCGCATTATTATCGGTCGATATCAGATACGTTATTGCGATATTTCGTCATGCTTATATTGCGTCGTTATTAACGCAGCAGTGTGTAACTTCGTAGCCGACCTAATAGGTACATAATGCAACGATATTAAATACCCCAGATACACCACGTGCGCTCAAAATGTGTCCCTATCAAGAAGTCACTTCAAAAATCTTAGTTCAAAAGTCAACATGCCGTGAGCTCCGTGAAAAAAATGCGGAATAAATACTTATAGTATGTAAAATGTCGTATACCTCTAGAGGCACTCGCCAATTCTCGGCTTGAGGTCCCCTTAGGATCACGCCGTCCCCAACCAACATACACACACAAAAAAAAACTTCCGCGTTAACTTTTGTTTTTTGAGACTCCCACAGGGACCTTACATTTTTCAGGGATAAAAAGTATCAGATTATATACTATACGCGTACCAAATTTTATCCAAATGCGTTCTGTAATTTTTGCGTTATTGAGTAACAAACATAAATACTACTTCTATTTTATAAAATTAGTAGGATGTTACTTAGGGCTGGGTTTAAAGCAGCCCCCCAGCAAATATAAAAATAAATTTCTGCGGATCATCAACCAGAGGGGTGCAATCATATGCCCCGGGTGCAATATTCGGAGCCTTCACTTATTCGTTGCTCCCAAACCTCTTAATCCGGCCCTGATGTTACGTTGTATTTTCTTTTGTTACAGAAACGAACTATGTCGGAAGATGCAAATGAAGAGGACGTAAGTATCAAAAGTATAAAACAAAACCAGAGAGATGTATGGCATGATTTCCCGCTTGAATATACCCTTAGATTAAAACAAAAAGGGAAGATACGATACGCTCATATTAGCATCAAATAAAATATAATCCGACTCAACTATATATGCAACTCTCAAACACGCACAGTTCTGTAAATAATCATTCAATCGAGCGAGCGAGACAGAACTGTATGCTTCTACGCAGCGCGAGCGAAACGACGAGTCCGCTTCCGAGTCCGTACGGCTTAGCTATATAGTTGTCCTTTTCTTGATAACAAAATGGACATTACGTAAATAACATTCACGACAAAACGTGATTTTTAAGAAGAAAAAGTTTTTACAGTTTCACGAATGAAAAGTGTTAACGAGGCACTTGTTATTTGATTCTGAATTATTTGTGTTCTTTATAGAAGCATCGAAGGCATTGTTTTATCTTCACAACACAGAATATACGCAATATTGTTATACTGAGTGCACATGCAGCATGTTTGAATGTCCAACTGTGACTAAAGCGAATTATGGTCATGCACCACAATTTAAGCGGATCACTTTTGAGCCGCGAGTACCGTATCTTCCCTTTTTGTCTTAATCTAAGAATATACCACAATAAAATAACACTACCTTATGGTAGTGTTGTGTTTCTGTTATTGAGTTAGGTTCCGGGGCTCCGGGGTAGAGAATTGGTTTCAGGTCTACAAGGTGGAGATGGATTGCCATTACGCCATCAGGTACGTTGGCATAAATTTCTGGGCCTTGCACCTGTGATTTGAAGAAGAAGAACAATAAAAAAATCCGAAGTTTCTGGCAAAGAATTTTTTAGAATGCTACGGAAATCGGATCGGAATCACAAAAATGTGATGAGATGGCGCTGCCTTGCAGCTTAAGAAAGACTAGAAAGAATTCTACACAGCCATCAGGGCGGCGGTAGCATAATGGTCAGTGCATTCGCCCGGATAGTGAACGGTGCGGGTTCGAGTTCCGTCTGCTGCCTGGTCCGCATGGAGTTTTTCTAGTTATATTTTCTTTAGATTTAAACATCGAGCAGTTACATGCTTAAAAAAATATAATTATTATACTTTTTTTTATTTGCAGTTAGACATGGAAGTTGAAGATGATTCACCATTCGAGATAGTCGATATGAGCGATCCTGTATTGCAGCAAGAGAGCAAACTTTGATCTTAGTCAATGGGAAAGAAAACGCAAAGCTCATTAAAGATGGCGCTTTGGTCGTTTGGTCCATTATAAGCAACCTGTCACTTCTAGGCTGCGTTCTAAAACTACGGTCTGAGTGCAACTTTTTACCCTGGCGTTTCAATTTTGACATGAAATGTATGAAACTTCGTCGAATTTGACATTTGTAGCACCTGGAGCGCAGATTTGGAACGCGGCCCAAGTATATCGGAATTTGTCATTATTCTTGTGACTTTAACAGTACCCCTAGCACGGACCAATATCGAATTCGTATCGTTTGCGAGTCCGAAATGTGAATTGTCAAATGTGTACTGATTTTTAGTTCTCGTTACGTACTACGTGTGCCGCTGCTGTTCAAGTTTCCATATAAAATTTGACATTGACATTTCGGTTTGCAAACTATTCGATTTCGATAATGGTTCGTGATAGGGGTACAGCTGTCTCGATTTGTTATGGGCCATTCGAAACCTGCGCTTGTGCCGGCATATAGTGTCAGTTTTCTCTCCCATACTTTAATGTTAATTATATTTATACTTAATTATACGTGTGATACAATACACAATTTTTGTTTTATTTATTTTACAAGGGGTTGATTGTGAAAATCGGTAAATATCTTTCATTTATTCGAAAAACCTATCACTAACTGGCCGACTAGAAGGTATTTGACGACCTCCGTGACCGAGTGGTTTGTACGCCGGGTTTCATGGTGTCGCCGACTCGAGAGGTCCTGGGTTCGAATCCCGGTGGGGGCAGATGTTTGTGTGATGAATACGTGCATTTGTACTCCAGTCATGGATGTTTAATATGTATTTCTATATAAGTATTCTTATATATGTACAAGATAATAATATGTATTCTATCCATTACCCTAGTATCCCATAACACAAGCCTTACAGTGCTTACTTTGGGGCTAGGCTAATTGGTGTGAGTGTTGGAAATATTTTTTTAATTTTATTTATCAATACTCAGTCAAGAGCGAGTATTTAATTTAATTTAATTACCTTAGTTTACCTATGGAACATTTCTTTATTATTTCTTTATACTATCACAAACGGCATCAACTATTACTGCAATTAATTTCTTAGTTTTAAAGTTTCTTTATCTTATAAAACACTATTTTTTTTAAGATACTCCCTTTTTAGGTAAGGCAAAGGGAACAATGCCCATACAGCCTAGTATTAAGTTCCTCTTCTAAAGAATCTTCTTTTTTAACATTAGAATGCCGGCGTGACGCATTTTAAAGTTTCTTCGAATGTTTGGCACGAAATATATCAAGTTGGCTTTTTTGCTTAAGCTTAATAAGCTTCTGTGAGGTAGCCAACACTAATATGAAGTTCTCACATCCACTTGACCGGAATAGCGTATATTTTAAAGATTCCACTAATTCTTCAGTTGCAGTTCAGACGGTTGTAACACAAAATCACACCAATTTTATTTCACAATATCCACTATGAACGAATTTAGGAATAATTAAAATAAGACGCCAACCGCACTCAATGAAACCAAAAACTCGTGGTAGCTCTATTTGTTAGACATAGTAGCATGAACACCACAATATACATAATACGTTTTTGTAGCGTCTAACTGTCAAACTCCACAGTAATATGACAATTGAAAAAAACTCTTTAGAGCTTTATATCAGTGCACGGTGCTCATGCTCGGGGGGAAAGAGTGTCCCGTGTTCCTCTATATTCATAACCAATTCATAACTGTCGGACTTAGTTCCAAACAATTTTCCGGCGTCGATGTTTGTTTCAAATAAACAAAAACAAACCTGCACACTCGACTAATCCGAGCGTTCCACATCCAGTTCAAACCTAATTATGAAATTGGCGCAAACAAGTAATGATTCGACTATTGTTGGCCTCGGGGCAATTGTTGCTACGTGAAGGATCCATTCAAAATTGTAAACAATCGCGAGAGTTTCATCTGAAGCGACACAATTACCTACGCGACATCCGCCCGCCCGCCGTGGGGAAAAAGGGTACGAACGCGGTTGCGTTGCTAGCGGGCGTGTTAACCGCTTGTTATTTTGCAAGCTTCCTGTAAAAGTCGCCTTTCGTAGCGCCGCCTTTATAATGTGAATAGTTTATACTGGTATTTTTTTTATTTTTGTGTTTTGTTGATAAATCTAGCCAAAAAACGCCGCAGACAAGAGCCAATTAAGCGGGCTCCGCTGCGAGAACCGCATCACGCAGCGATTGCTCGTCAGAGACGTCCGCTCCGCGTGCAGTTTCATGTCATTTCATAGAGTAGTGCTGCAATGGGAGACCCGCCTCACGAAGCGCTGCGACATGAAATAACATGACACAAACATCTCCGTGCTCGGCTTACCTTTAAATATCATCGCTACTCGTAGTTTTGATCGTGTTAATTCATATTAGCTTGTCCATAATTTTTATCTCTTAGTTGCGGTATCTGTTTGTCTTTTTGATGTGTAACATCTTTCCTCACGCTTTCGTGCAATTTGTGGGAGTGATTACGTGAAGTGGGACGGAAGTGTGTAACAGGAAGTTGGGAAACGCGCGCTATTTGATTTGATTTTAGTACATAACCTTCAAATGGCTTATTCCTTTTGTAGTAGGTTTTATTTCTTTTTTTTACTAATATAACAATAACATGTGGTGTCAAATGTTACACATCATATGCGACTACTGTAAGGCTCGCTCGTTTTTTTTTAACACTTATGTTCTTTTTAACTTTTGGTTTAAATCATTTATTTCAAAGAGTTCAAAATACTACATTACAAGAGGAACCTTACTGATTTGTTACTAATTTTCTATTAGCTGTCTTTAAAATTCTGAATGAAAAATTCCACTATTTATTATTGAACGAGACACACGCTATAAGCAAGACCTCGGCTATAAGTAGAAGCAGCTGACGAGATTACTACACGGCCATAATACATACGTGAGTACATGTTACGTTACGAGACAAAAGTCGTCCCGACGAAGATGGATCGCTGCATCTTTCCCTTCTTAATTTCAAACTAGACTGAACAAAAGTTCAGCCGTGGATTTAATTCAATTCCGAGGTTTGCTTCACTGTAACTTGTTTGTATATACGTACACGTGTAACTTGTTTATATTCAAAGGTCAAGGGAGGGTTTATTTACAGTTTGATGTGTTGATCAGTTAGTGAAATGTTGATATTACAATTATGTTCTTTAAGTGCACAGTGAATTAAAGACGATTGTTCAGTACGTCTTTCACGTATAAAGTTGGGTGCTTGTGGCAAGTTTTTTTTCGTTTGTCACCTAAAATTTTTTATACCTTAGGTATATTAGGTACTAAAAACACGACTAACAAATTATAATTTTAATTTTTTAAGCATGTAAATGCTTGACGTTTAAATCTGAAGAAAATATAACTAGAAAAAATTCCACGCGGACCAGGCAGCAGACGGGACTCGAACCAGCACCCTTCGCTATCCGGGCGAATGCACTGACCAATTATGCTACCGCGGCCCTGATGGCCGCGTCGAAATTCCTCTAGCCATTCTTAAGTTTCTACCTTATTACAAAACGTAGACTAAAAGTTAAAACCTAGACTAAAAGTGATGCTGTCACTTGTTGTTTGCTAAGAAGAAGAATATTAAGTTTAAACCAAGACTAACTTAAGTCCGCGTTTTGGAATAAGGCGGAGAGCGTCCAAGTTATGGATGTACGACGTACTTAAATAAACACATACTAAAGGAGATTCATGAAGCAAGTTTCTTAAGCGCATTGAGTCTGCGATCGTCGAAGTTAAGTAACTTTTGCAATAGCTGACCATAGGATCGGTGACAAAATTATAATATGTTAAGCTCATATAGAAGGTATATAAGAGGGTACATTTAGCCAATGGTATCAATTCACTAATCATTATAGTTAGGTGGCCTAAATGCTTGAAATATGAACTAGTCTTCCTACAATAATATTACAAAAATACTCGTACTACTTAATAATTCCCACACTTTCACCAAGTACCCGAGATCCGAAGTAAGCATTGTAAGGCTTGTGTTATGGGACACTAGGGTAACGGATAGAATACATATATTTTAAACATATATAATTATATGTATATAGAAATAGCTATATATAAACATCCATTGCTAATGATTGTCTTTTCAGCATCAGCTAATGCTGAGGCAGGGTCTTGGTTAGCCCTGAGATTTTTGAATATGTACCTGTAAATGTGTAAATGAGGGTTTATAAAATATATTCTAATCTACTGTATTCTATTCTATTCTGTTCTGTTCTATTCTATTGTACTAAGGTACAAATGCTCGTATTCATCATACTAATGTTTGCCCCCACCGGGAATCGAACCCCACGAGTGGGCGACACCTTGAAACCTGGCATATATACCACTCGGCCACGGAGGTTGTCTACTTAACTGTACTATACTTTGTATTCGTCTACGAGTCCGCTCCGCATCTGGACAAACGACTTTATCGTGGGTGTTCCAATAAAAAGAACAAAATAGCTTCACCTACATAAATCTCGGGCAACTTCGAAAGCGACTCTATAAAGTATTTAGTTAGGCGCACCGCGTCTTCTAATTTCCGTTCAGAACACAATAAGAGAAAGTACAATTCGCGCAAAAGTTTCAAGGCGTAAACATTTATTTCGCGCTGTGGAACAGGGAAACTTAGTACCTACCTACTCCCACAGGCGGGGTGGTTCGATTGAACAAATTATGCAAAAAGTTCACGGCCTGCGATCCTGGCTTTAATGCCTGGAAATTACTGGACCGCAACTTCGTCGACGCTGACTACGGAATCGTACCTAAGCCTCAGTAGCTCATAATTACGAGATGCATAGTACTTATCCGAGATATAGATTGACAAATACAAAAATGGCCATAGAAACAAAACCACAGATAAGAATTATAGCTATTAACTGGATTGTTAACATGTACCTTTTTTTATAAATGTCCGATATTTCGGCACTGTTGCAAGCGCCATGATCATGGAGTAACTAAAAACACTGGTTTTTCTGTACA